GGAGAGTCTGCAGGGGAGCCTCTGTGGAAGGGAACGAGGAGGAGTGAGGAGCGGCGCGCTGCCGCCCCGCGACACAGGGAAGACAGGGAGGAGCAGGCGAGGGTGGGAGGGGAGGGAGAACCCTGGGAAGACCAGAGACAAGGACACCGGGGTGCATGCTGCGAAGGCGCTGCACCGAGGGGTGACCAAGGCGGTGGTGCCAAAGGAGGGTCTGGTGCGACAAGGCGCGACACGAGCAGGGGGGCGACAACTGACCTGACGCAGACGCAGACGCGGCTACCCTAGGGGACTCAGTGGTAAGTGTGTACAGGCCCGACCCCGGCTGCCGAGTGAAGGTAGCTAGGTGACGTCCCATCTGAGCACACGTGCAGTGTGGCACATGCTCGTAGGCAGGGTTGAACTGGTGAACACTCGCGTTCTGGAGCGTAGAACCCGCCACCAAGTTCGTAGAGAATGATGGGAGGTAAAGACCCGACAGTGTGCCGGACGGGTCAGCAGGACAGGGGAGGACAGTGGTGGAGGTCGCACGGACTGGACCCCCAGAGGGGTCTGCCAAAGAGACTGCAATCGGCCGACTGAGCGGCGTGAGGGTGGTGCTGTCGCGAATGAAGGAGCGAGAAGCACCGAAGTCAAGTGTGAAGGTGGAAAAGGCCTCAGCAGGCGCAGTACCAGAGAGAGCAGTCTCACCAGCACCTAAGGCAGCAGCCTCACCAGCACCTAGGGCAGCAGCCTCACCAGCACCTAGAGCAGTAGGCTCTATACCTGGGTCAAGCGGTACACACAGGTAACTGGCACCGTCAGCACTAGTAGGCAATGCATACATGGCATTGAGAATAACATGATCGTGAAGAGCAAATACATCTACCCTCTGCCCATGCAGCTCCAGCCAGGTGGGGAGCTCAGCCTCGTCCTCAAACTCGGTACGCCAGGCGTCGCTCAGACGGGCGAAGCAGCGGGACTGTGTGTGACCAGGTGTCCCGCAAGGCTGACCAGCCCGATCACCTGTGCGAATGACGTACAGGCAGCGAACGGGACTCAAAGACTCTCTACTCTGAGCGTACCACTCGTGAAGCTGCTAGGAAGTAAGTGTCTTGCATGGACGCCGGTGCAGCTGCAGCTGGCCACTGCCAGACGCTCCCAACTGACCAGCTCCAGGGCGACAGCTACGACGGCTACCGCCACATCCCCAATTAGCATACCACTCACGAAGCTGCTGGGGCGGGAGAGACTCGCGTGGATGTCGCTGCATCTAGCCACCGCCAGTAGCAGCAGTAGAAGTAGTAGTAGCCTAGCAGTAGTAACAGAAGGAGCAGTAGTAGCAGCGCAGGCAGAGCAGGCGCGGCAGGCAGGCACGCAGGCAGGCCGGCAGGCAGACAGGCAGGCTGGCAGGCAGGCAGATGGCGCGGTAGCGTGCTAACCTGGCGTGAAGGGCAGGCGCTCGCCGGGCGAGCAGGGTCGGCGCTCGGTGGGCGGCTGCACGGGGACCAGGGGCGGCGTCGCGGGTCTAGGTGCGGCGTCGCAGGGTCGAGGGGCGGCTGCACGGAGTCCAGGGGCGGCTGCATATGGGGCGGCTGCTTCAGGGGCCCGAGGCGGCTGCTCGGGGTCCAGGGGCGGCTGCTTCAGGGGCCAGGGGCGGCTGCTCTGGGTCCAGGCGCGGCTGCTCGAGGGTCCAGGGGCGGCTGCACCAGGGGCGGCTGCTTCAGGGGCCAGGGGCGGCTGCTCTGGGTCCAGGGGCGGCTGCTCGAGGGTCCAGGGGCGGCTGCACCAGGGGCGGCTGCTGCAGGGGCCAGGGGCGGTTGCTCGAGGGTCCAGGGGCGGCTGCACCAAGGGCGGCTGCTTCAGGGGCCAGGGGCGGCTGCTCTGGGTCCAAGGGCGGCTGCTTCAGGGGCCCGGGGCGGTTGCTCCAGGGGCGGCGTAGCTGGTGCAGGGCAGCGCGTGGGTCCCACAGGTGCCGTGATGGGCGACGAGGGGCAGCGCGCTGTCACCGGAGAAGGTGACGCGCGGGGGCGGCGGTAGGCTGCGCGGGCGGCTGACGTAGCGCGCGGGGCCGAAAACGGGCTACTCGGGCGGCGGACCCGGCGCGCAGGGCCTAAGCAGGCTGCGCGCGGGCAGCTTACGCGACGCGCGGGCCGGCGGCAGGCTGCGCGGACAGCTGACGTGGCGCGCGGGGCCGAAAACGAGCCTAAACCAGCCTAAACGAAGAGCGCGCGGGCTGCTCAAGCGGCGCGAGCGGGGAAAAATAAAAAAGGGTCTCGCGCGGGCAGCAGGCAAGGCAGGTGAGGAAACGTGGTAACGGTGGGCCCTTATCTTAGATCCTAGAGACCTCTAGGCTCTAGATACTATCTTAGAATCTTAGGCATGAAGTTGTTTGATTGATTAGGTCAAGGGGGGGTACAAGAAGAATGTCGAGAGAAATGTTGTACCCCCTAGTGCTAACCCCCGTATAGCCTAGACAACCTAAACATAACATATAAATATAACTTGACACAGCACTCCCAGCAGCACCTCCACCAGCAGCAGCAGTAGCACGAGCAGCACGAGCAGTAGTAGTAGTAGCAGGGCGGCTTGGTGGGGTCAGGGAATGAGGTAGGGCGGCGCGGCTCGGGTTGGGCAGGGCGGCACGGGCTGGGTGGCGCGGCTCGGCTTGGGCGGCGCTGCTCGGCAGGGCTGGGTGGCGCAGCTAGGCAAGGCAGGGCGCGCCGTGGGCTGCAGGGCAGGGCGTACGGTGGACTTGGCAGCAGAGCGTGACGTGCGGGCTGCAGCCGGGCGCAACGCGAGGGGCAGCAAGGCGCGACGCACGGGCTGCAGCAGGGCGCGACGCGCGGGGCAATAGCGTGCGACGTGTGGGCTGTAGGGCGCGACACGCGGGCTGCAGCAGGGCGCGACGCCCAGGGCAGTGGGGCGCGCGCTAGGCAGGACAGCAGGGCGCGATGCGCTGAGCTGTAGGGCAGGGCGGTGCGCGAGCCTAAGGGCAGGGCAGCGCGATGCACGGGCTGCATGGCAGCTGGGCGCGGGCTGCAGGGCAGGGCAGCGTGCGCTGGGCAGGGTAGCAGGGCACGACTCGCAGGCTGCAGCAGGGCGCGACTCGCAGGCTGCAGCAGGGCATGACGTGCGGGCTGCAGAAGGGGAGCGCGCTAGGGCAAGCAGTGCGAGTAGCTGCAGGGCAGCGCAACACTGTGCGAGCAGGGCCGGACAGCGCAAGGGCGCTTGGGCAAGAACTAGCGGAACTATCAGTGTGCCTTAAAAACCTTACAGGTTTCCTGCTCTGAATACCATGTCCGAATCAACTGTGCAGGAATGACTAGAAACAGGGCAGTACAGGTTTGTATAGGCTAACTCTAATTGGGGTTGTGCCCCGTACTGAGTAACCCACTATAGCTTAGCAAGTAGAATTGTATCTTGACAGTTGTGGTAGCCGATGGAGATGTTTTCCGAAGCCTTGTCAGTTTCGCAGTGCTGTTTCAACAGTGACAGTGTCAGCTTCTCGAAAAGATGCAGTCACTAGATTTTGTCACTTCGTGTCTCACGTAGTCCAAGATGATCCTGGCTTTTAACTCTTGTGATATCCCAAGGTGAGTGCCCCAGCGATCTCGATCTGTGAAAATTTCCGGTTTGGGCAACGTGGGTTCTGTACTCTACCACGCAGCCGAACACTTGAAGTGCGTGTCAGCTACCGTATTATACCCGTCCCAAAGAGGTGTCGTTTTCAAGGCTTTGGGATGACAGCATGTTATGCAGTCACAGAGCATGGTTCATGGCGAATGTCCAAAACCGTGGAGAGCTTGCTGATTGCTTCATGAGCGCTTGCATCATGATCACAATACCCCTGTTTTTACTTTCTTCTACCCCTTGCGATGATTGTTGCGTTGATTCGGTTGAAGGCGTGAGTCTCGTTGCCATGCTCGCTCCCCTTTCATGCGATGACCTCAATCTGCTTCTCCACGGGAAGGACGGCCTCGTCACGGTCCCTGATTGGCACGCGCATACGGTCTACCACAGGTATTGTCCGGAGGAACCCTAGGTTTTGTAGTTTTGGGAAGTTGTGGAGCTGCTTTCGGGTGAGCAGCGGAAGTCGCTGCTCTTTTTTGCTATGGCTCTTTTGAATGTGCTCGTGAACAGGATCAAGGGCTTTCGGTGGGGGTTCATATGCATCGAGCAGATGAGGATTTTTCTCGCCTGCCCACGGCTCACACATACTTTCACCAGTTCCTCATGCCGCTGTCTGAGAGCATCAAGGCAATGCGCGCGCGTTTGCTCACCCTTATAAGCTCGTTATATATATTTTTTCATAGCTTTGGATTTGCATGATAGCAAGCGGGTCTTGCTTCTGTGTTTTGTAAGGTTGTGAGCAATTCCCCTGAAATATATTAGACCTTGCTGGTTGAGGCTGATATCGCCATAGAAGCCATGTCCTTTGCTTGTTGGAATGACCAATCCAAGCCGTTCGATGGTATCCGCGACACGAACCACCTTGCTACAAGCTCACCCGTACCGTACACTCCACTCCACACCACATCATCTCTCGTCTCCTCATCACTTTCAGCCCAGCCCAGCCTGTGCTCTGCTCTGCCTCCCGATTCCCGATTGTTTGCTCCACAACAATCCCTCCCTACATTTCGTTCTATTCCCTTCATGCCAGTCAGACTCGGACTGGCGGCGACCCAGAATCTCGCAGAGCCAGTGTTGATAAGCAAGACTTGCCGCGTACGCAGGCAGAGCGACTACTTGTAGCGGGGAAGCGGCGAATACCTGTAGCGACCATGAAAACAAGGCGAACGGAGCACGACTGAAGACCGTCTGTCCGTTAGTAGCAGTCCGAAAATGCCGCACCGTGGCGCATGTAGACGGCCTCGTAAGAACGGCGTTGGGTATTTTAGCATGTCCAACGGCTGGATTCTCCATCAGCAGCACCTCGAAGCACCCACATTCTTCACTACTAGTTTTTGCGCTGAACGCGGCTTCTCTACTCGAGCCTCCCGACAGCATTCGCGGCCATCACCATGGCAGCGGCGGCGTCATTCGCTTTCTCCCCGGCTCTTCGCTTCGCGTTCGTCCTGCTCCTCGTCTCCGGCGCGCTTCGACCGGTCGAATCGGAGTGGATCGAGGAATCCGGCGGTTCGAGGAAGGGCGTGTCCCTCACGCGCTCCGCTCACGCGCAGCTCTTGCTACGCCCTCATCCACTCACCCCCCCCCCTCTCTCGCTGCCTCTTGCTACCATCTGCTCTGCTCCTGGCGCAGGTTCGACTCGCTGGGACCGTGATCGACAACTATTCACGCGGCAAGAACCCGTCAGACGGCGACGTGCACGCCAGTATGTACCGCTCCCCGCCACTCTCTACCCAACCCCCCTAAGCGTGTCCTCTGCTTGTTCCAAGTGCACCTTCCATGCGTTCAGTCGCCTTGTCCTGCTTGATTCCCCTTCTCTCCCTTCACCTGCCGGAACGATCCAGTACATGCACGCTCGCTGTCTCACCCTACTCTCCGCCCTCCCCTCCCCGGGCCTCCACCTGCCTCTCCCCCGCCCGTGCAGTTGTGAAGAGCCAGGTGGGGCCGGGCAAGCCCTTTCCGCTGGACCCTCACGGAATCTATGTGCTGTTGACCAGCGCTGATGTCATATTTGGGGACTTTTGCAAGAAGTACTGCGGCTTTCACACCCAAGACTCGCTCAACTCCACCCCTCTGCGCTTCGCCTTTGTGGGGCACCACGGACAGTGCCCCAACTCGTGCGGGGTAAGGGGCACGTCACCCAACGGCAACCCTGCCATCGATGCTACTATCACCACGCTTGCGCATGAGATCACCGAAGCTGCCACGAACCCGGACGTGAGAACGGGGTGGTTTGTTGACGAGGGCGGGGAGAACGCTGACAAGTGCTCATGGGATTTCGGCAGCACCAAGACCGTATCCCTGCAGAACGGACAGAAATACGAGTACAACTTGGTGGGGCTGAATGGGATGAAGTTCCTGGTGCAGCAGAACTGGGACTGTGTGCTGAACAAGTGCGTCCTGCAAAACACCCTGCCTTCTCAGGGTGGCGGCGGGGGAGGCACTCCCTCTCCTTCTCCTTCTCCTCCTTCTCCTTCTCCTCCTTCTCCTTCTCCTCGTCCTCCCTCTCCTTCTCCTCCTCTCCCCTCTCCGTCTCCTCGTCCTCCCTCCCCTTCTCCTCCTCCTGCCTCTCCTTCTCCTCGTCCTCCCTCTCCTCCTCCTTCCCCACCTCCCCCGGCTGGAGGCAGCGTGAGGATGAATTGTGATTGCAACTGTGCGAGTGTTAGCAACCCCATGGGCTGCCAGTGCTCCTGCACCAAGACAGGGTGATGTGTAGCTGAAGGGGTCGCCTGTGTCTTGTGGGGTGGACGCCTCACTGTAGCAGGCACGTCAGATACACCGTCACAGCTGCTTAATTTGTATTGTCCCCTCCCCAGTGACACAGGCAGACTGCTGAAGTATTTATCACTTGACTACCTGTAGTTCCTCTTTTCCCACATCTTCGCATGTTTCCTTGCTGTGTTATGTATTCTCACATATATTGGATTGCGGTGATGTTAAAACCAGGCTGTAACTTAGTAGGAACAGTACGGAGACAAAAATGGCATGTGAGTAATCGGACCTCTATTGGACGAACCAACTGGAATTTCCCAAGAGGACAAATCTCTCACCTGTGAACTTCCTGGGTCAACCATCTTCCAATCCAAGCTGTATTCCTTTGAACTAGAGCCGATAGTTGCACCGCGGCTTTAGACAACAGTGCGTGGAATAGCGATTATTGAGAACCACATTTGCCCAGATAGTGGACCCCAAATTGAAACCCCTAGGGTCCATGATATTGGGGATACAGCACTGCTGCCGATAATCGTACCCCCCCCCCCTCTGTGCAGTAGCGTGTGTGCTGTGCATGTTTCTCCCGCCACTTGGGAGCATGGACGGTATAATGCATCTTCTCACTCTCAATGTCTTTGGATTTGCATCATCTTTTGCAACCGATTATCGTCACTAGACATCATGTTTTTAGGTGGTGGGTACAACCTGATCTATTCTACCCATCATGTTACCATATACGTACGATATATCTATGTGGATCGAGGTGGAATCGGCTGGAGAGGGGACACTCGGAATTCATACAGCCTGTATAGAGCGTATGTTAGGTCAAATTTATCATCTCGGTGATCTCGAGGTTCACAGCATAGGAAGCATCACTCATGCCATCCCACCACCACATCACGAGCAGGATTCGGCCATGAATGGAGGTCACAGCACGTTGCTTGGTGATCACAGCGATTGCGTAACCTAGCAAGTTAACGATATCACCAGTTGCCGCAAATATCACTAGACGGTGTGACGGAAGTGCTCTTCATTCGGTGTGCAGGCGTCAGGAGCTTTTCGGAGATCATGCGGTTACGTTGGCATCACGTGGACTACTACGCGTTAGCGTCAATGAAGCAACAACAAAAGCAAGATCGTCGAACTTTGCCGTGTCCTAAGATTGTAGATGGTGAAGACATTGCTATACCCGACGACATACCTGTCGCATTGTTTCAGCTTCTAGTGAACGACAACAAGAACTTAAGCCATGGGGTTTATCTCTCTGAGTTCCCCGCGACCATCCTTCCGAAAGCAGCAGCCGCTTCCATTCTCACGCAGTTTCTTCCTCAAAAGCAAGTGGTGTCGAAAACGTCAATCCTGAGCACCATCGAATGGATGCTGGACAGTAACGAACTTAACGATACTGATTCCATTACTCCCTTCATATCCAATTTTGAGGAACCTCTACTGCAGGATACGGATTTTCAGGTCGCTTTCGCATCCTCTTATGCGTCTGTGCCTCACAATACTTGGTTCCTTTTCTTTATTGGTAGCATCCATTCTCATAAATCGTGACCATGGCAGAAAATTGGAGAGGAAGTGTTTTACCAGATTGACTGTGATCGCTTGGCATTGGAAAACGTCGATCCTCCACCAGAGATGGTAAGCACTTTCAACATGAAGTCAAATTGTATTTTCATATTCCTTGCGAATTCGTAAGAAATGGCAGAACGTCAGACGTGCAGAGGAGGATGCAGAACCCATCGCGATGGAATCTGCACCAATCAAGGAACATCTCGTTTCGTTATTGGATTTGGAAACAGCGTGCAATTCATCAGCAACTTCAAAACGCGACAAACCATACACGATGGACAGATTCTGTCCCGTGGATCCTCCCTGCATCCTGGACGACCCCATTAATTTCAGTCATTCCATGACGGATCCATCGAAGCTCATGAAGAAGATGAATCCGATGAAGCCATGTGAAGACGCCATGAGTGGTCTTTTGAACAGCCGTACTAACATGATGTCGCTGCTGGGTCCAGGTCGAATGGCCTTTAATCAACTGAAGCCGACATACACAGAGACACTTTGCAAGGTTCTGGAGGAGCCAAATACTTTTGCTCGTGATTCCGCCAAGAGCGAAGATGTTCCGCTGCTTGATGTGCCATTCCCATCACTCAGCCAGTCACCAATGGTTGAGAAGCTGGCCGTGGAGCTGATTCACAAAGAGAAAAGCCTTCGCCTTGAAGCACTTCCCTCCATGAGCGTGTCAATGAAAGACTTCAACGAGCTGGTTGTGGCTCCTCAACTCACTTTCAACTGTGGTGGTATCCGATCTCTTCCAGTTCCACTTCTGCAACAAGACGAATTGCAAGGAGATGGAAATCTCCTACCTGTCACAGCGTTCTTATCTCTAAGCGAGTCACTGAAGGGGAATCTGACAATCGCTTCTCGTTCAAGAGATTTCCTGTACCTGGACTGGCATCTGTCGCAGGATTTCAAGTCTTGCACTTCATCTTCTTGTTCCAATGCTGGCTGCATGCTCGCATTTCAAAGATTTCAGCTGATCCGATCAGAACCACCTCAATCCGGCTCGCTGTTTTCTCTTATTGACGACAGGATGCAGAGCATACCTGCACAAACGACCTCAGGGATTGAGCAAAGAATGGTGCTGCCGTCAGCATTGGTTCGGATGGTGAATGCAGCTTCGACCTCGCCATCACCATATGCCTCTCATGTTGCTACTGCACCACAGCCGCCATGTCAGCCTCAGGTTCGATATGCTGAACCTCAGACAGCACCAAGGCCTCATGCACCGATATCACATGCAAGATTCACACCTTCACCCCAGCCTCAGCCTCAGCCTCGGCCATTGATCATGACACCACCCCCTGCTTCTCCAATGAATCTGCCTCGCAGTCGATTTGTGGCTGTTCCATCAACTGCTGATACTGCTGCTGCACCTGCATCTGCTTCTGTCGCTGCTGCTGGTGCTGCTACCACTGTGTGTGCTTCTGTCGCTGCAGCTGCCGCCGCCGCTGCTGCCTATGCCACAACCGCCACCGCCTCTCCTGCTGCTGTTATGCTGGAGAATAACAAGGATAACCGACCAGACTCAGCTGCTAGAGAGGAGGGCAAGAAGCGGATCAGTTTCCAGCACCAAGTTCAGAAAATGTCAAGTGAGCTCAATTTCTTTATGAATGCAAGGCAGGGCAAAGCACAGAGTCTTCAGCAAGAACCACCTCAGGAGGTGGCAGCCGCAGTTGAGCCAACTAGACTTGTGGAAGAGGCCAGCTTCAGAGCACGTGATGCAGCAAAAGCTTTGGAAAAGGAGGTCGAGGATGTGACTGCTGTGCAACCCATTGGCGTTAAGTCCCCTCCAGCTGCACGGCAATCCTTGAAAGAATTGGATTCACAGGTCCACAGAGTGCAGATGTCACAAGACCTTGCAGATATCCTGAATTTAGCCAAGGGGGAATATCAGAATCTTCTGTGGTCACTGAACAAGGAAGCCAAGACGTCTGTGAAACCCTTCCGCCTGAAGCAGGAAGTCAGCCAATCCATCAAGGAAGAAATTTCTCAGCGGGCCTCCGGCCAGCTATCACACGACCGTGTGCTGCAACAGCTGAAATGCCTACACCTGCTTCACCAGTCTGCAATGCTGTGCTGGCAGTACGGGATCCGTGTTGCTCATCTGTTCTTGGAGCAGGGGTTGGAAGCCGCATCGATTGCTCACCTTTCACCGTCCTTCAAGAGGACCAGAGAAGCACTGGCGTCAGCATTTGAGCTGGTGGAGGGTGGAGCAACGGTGGATCACCCAAAGCTCTCCATGCTGACCTCTATCCTCAGAACCCATAAGAAGTTCTGCCAGTTACAGGACTCTAAGGGCGCTACAGCTTCTACAAGCTCTGCAAATGTGCTGATTGTTGCTGAGAACATGGCTTTTTTCACCATGTACAAGCTGCTGGGAACATGCCAGTTCCAGCCCTTCCAGCTCGGACGTTCTGGAGCGCTCAGTGGGATCGATGGAAGGGGGATACCAGAGGGGAAGTGTGAGCTTGTGCAACGGGAGGTGCATGAAGCGCTTATGATTTCAGACTGCCTCTTGGTTTCTCCGAAGTAAGTGGATGTTGTGTGCCTTTCACACTGCTGATCCGTGGCTTGTTTCTTCAATTCTTTGCTTGTGCTAATTTGGATGTTTTCCTGCAGATATCTGGTGCCTTCATTTCCGGTGAACAAGTTCAGTATGGTGATTATCTTCAGTGATTTTGTGGAAGGAGAAGATCTACGTGTCCTTAATTCAATTAACAGAAATATCCACATTCTTTCTGTGGAGGACCCTGAAGAGACATTGCTAACGAAGGACAAGGTTTGTTACCAATAACTCTCGTTCTTTTTTTTGTAGTGGAACAGCCATGTTGATACCATTTTTTTTTACGTGCAGACCATGCCTACACAAGCTGCAAAGGAAGTGCACCCAATTACGGCTGAGACGGTTCAACATTTAGAGCAGCAACGGACACCAGAGGCTCCCACAGTCATTCTCCTTGACAGCGAACCAGAGGATTGTTATGATGAAATTTCTGCAGCACCTGAAGCTATAAGACGTCCTGCCTCAGTTGAAAGGGGATCTGCTCAATACACGACTGTTGAGGAACATGAACTGGTCTCAGAGCCGAACAGTTGGAGGCAGGAGGAACATCTGTCACATCTTCGTCCAATTAAAGTTCATGAACAGAAGAAGGCTGCTGTGGAATACAAGAGGACTGTCATCGTCAACACCAGGGACCAGTTTGACCCCATTGTGCTCAGAAGAAGACAACTCTACGATAAGATCCTCCAGCTAGAGGAAAGCGGCATTCAGGTAAAGCTATTCTTCTTGTGCATTCCTCTTTTCCAGTATAAATGAATATAAATTGTTTTCTTTCTCCTCCGCAGATCATTGAACGAGATCTGGTAGCACCGGCAGAGATTGTGCTGAATGCGTCGACTTCATTAATCATCTATAATCCCCAGCGCCTGAAAGAAGTTCAAAAACTGGCAGCAATGGATGGGCTCCCATCGAGTTCTCTTATGACCGTGTGCTTGGAAGCTGTTGTGGAAACCCATCTGAAGGCTCTCAGCTTTGCTTACCAGACTTGCTTCCTGGTAAGTCTCACACCTGTCCATTAGAAAACTTGTAAATGGGGTTTACAAGACACTGAGTTAACATGATGGGAAACCAGTGTCACTAACCCGTGCTTTACATCTGGAAGGTGTTTGAGGGAACTGACGCCTATCTGACACAAATCAAGCGCAATGTGGACGACCTTTATGCTGGAGGAGCAGCACTGGATCTGGACGTACAATGCTTCTTCTCGTCATCTGAAGCCTCCACCGAGAGATTGATTCTTAATTTGCTGTCTTCAGCTTCTTCCCCTTCCACTGTTCAACAAATAGGCTCCGAACCATCAGCCTCCCAGCCCTTCCGCACGCCCCTCCCTGAATCCGAGTCTTCCCAAGAGACATTCCTGTGCCGATTCCCATCCCTCAACCCACTCTCTGCGCACATCATCATGACCTCCGGCTTCCCTCTGCCTGTTTTCATGTGCCTGCACCACGAGCAGCAAGCATCAGCAACAGTTCCTCGTGGCCTTCCATCCCGCTCCCTCAGCCTGTTCCAGGCCCAGTGTGAACACAAGACTTCGGCACAGCAAATACCAGCTCAAATCCACATGCCTGTTCAGGGCTCACGGAATTCACCTCCATCAGAAGGCAACCTGCCAGTGTACCCGAGTGACATGAGGCAAACCGGTTATCATCCTGAAAGCGCATATGCTGGCGTTCCACCACTTCATCATGACATGCCTTTCAACGCAGACCCTCGGTATACTTCAAGTCATGAGCACTCAGTTTATCCTCATCCCCCTCCCGCTGTTTCTGCTGCTGCTGCTTCATCTGCGTACTTGGCGTCTAGTTTTCCCTCTGGAAAGCGATCGAGGTCTCCTCCAGAAGTGCCCTGGGGCCATCCTTCCGCTCGGCCAACAGCCTCAGAAGCTGAAACGCTGGTGTTAAGCGATGATGATGATGTTGATCCTGATCGGCCTGGTGGTGGATGGAGAGGATATGAGCAGCAGCATCGCCAGCAACAGCTTCACCAGCAGCAGAGCAGGTTCCACCAGCAACCACAGACACACGAGTTGTATGACAGACCAGGATCATCAGAGCGTTTGAATATGCCAGCTGCGGATGTGGATGCGTATTCATTTGGTGATGAACCCAGCGGTGCTCGGAGCTTCCCGTCTGCATTTGAGATTGAGCAAGCTGATGCCGCACCGCTGCTTGGGGATGAAGAATACTACCATAACCACATGGCTCAAGCTCGTACAGTCAATTCTCCAAGCAGCCACTATTCTGCATCACCTGCCAGTAGCACGTACTTTCAAGGTGGGTTTTCTCCTGAAGAACTCTTATCTTAGCAAGGACTAATAAATCTTAACATTCATTTCCTTGATGCAGGAGCAAGTGACTCAGAGCCTTCTCAAGCTCCCTCCGCTTCAAGTGGCGTCAGGTCTGCCTTGCAGGGCAGGATGTCAAGAAAGCAATCAGCAGGTCACCAGAGCAACCCTACAGGCAGCGCTTCCTTCCATACGGAAGTTCCCCAAGCTGGCACTCAGGGAAACCCATACGGCGCGATGTCCTCCTCCCCTCAACTCTCATGCTATTCTGTCCCAAGGACTCGGCCTGATGACCACCAATATCCATTGAGACACAGTCCTTATCATGCGCAACACAGCCAGTCTGATTATTATCAACAGCAGCAGCAGTGCCCTTCTAACCCCCAGCAGTATCGGCCGCAGCATCAGCCGTTGCAGAGCTCTCCAAGTCAGGAAACATGGACTTCCCCACCAGCACCACCTCAGGCTAACAGGCAGTTTCGTGGCAGAGAGAAATCCACGAACCCTAACAAACGTGTCTGCACGAGCCTCTTCCAAGATGACTCTGCAAGGAGGCAAGAGGAAGCTGATGCGTCTCTGCAGATTTTCCAGCACATAGGGAGCAAGATCCCCAAGCATGTGCTGGTGAAGCGGAAGCTGCAGGGTTTGCAAGCGTTTGATCAGAGAGGGAGCTCTTCTAGCAGAGCTGAGGATTCACGGCTGTCTTGGACACCAAGCGACAAGAGAGCAAGAGAGGTGAGCCTTACCTGACCACGTCAATCTGTGTCTGTTCTGGTGTGGAAGGTCCAAGTGGCGTTGTATATAGGAACTGACAATTAGACTTCTGATTGCAGGTTCTGGCTTATGAGCGAGCTGAAGGTGATGGGAAACAGTGCAAATTGGTGTGGAAGAAGCCAAGAGCAAGCTTGGAGTAGCTGACTGGTTTGGCTGTGCTTCAACAGCAGTTCCACATTGACTACGTTACAACGATGTGTTGTGAACACATGTTTTACTTCGTTACCACTATATTTACTGAATTGACGCCATACACTGCAATGCTGATCCACCCACGTCTTTGTAAAGCATGTGGCAGTTTCTGCATGACCGGAAACGTCCAGCCTTTTCTCTACACGGACCCTCACCAAACCGTGCATCCTATTCCACCCATGTCAGGGAGCCAAAGAGGAGAATCTTCCCTGGTAGTGGCCCTGGACTGGGTGCTATGAACATAATCTTGCCCTTGGCAATATCCACTTGCGTAATGCAGATGAATCCAGCGATGCTCCTGCACTCCAAGAAATGGTACAACGAAACACATGAGTCAAATGATAAGAACGCTTGCAACACCTGCAATGCAACCGCCGCAGAAAAGCACAGTCGACCACTTACGTAGACAAAGCACACCCGTCCAAACAGACAGTACAGTTTGCACACGCCCACAAAAATCTCACCCTGTAACAGCGTCCTTCTCCTCCTTGGCATGTGAAACTGCCAGTACATGATGCTCCAGCTCTCGAGAAAGAACCACCAGTGCAGTGCGAAGTGGGTCTGAAACCCTCGCTGCTCCGATAGGCAGCGCTGACTGTGGTGCCTGCGGCCCTCCCCCTACTCTCAGCACCGTGTACTCTGACCAGCTGGCCGTGCTTGAATGAGGTGAAAACTGACGCTCTGGCCCATAGAAATATGCCTGGTGAAAAATAGAAGAGATTTAGGAAAAGATGGGAAAAAAAGACAGGAAGAGATATTTCGGATCAGGTGAGGGATGGGCTGGTTACCAGAAAATCAGAACACGGGAATTTTTCATTTACATTTTTTGTTCTCTTACCTTGATGACTGCTTGTCTCAACCTCTGCCTAAACTTGGAAGGGCGGGACACGGCACCTCCGGACCGCACAAGCTTCACCACCTCCACTGCTGCTGCATGGCCGGCAGGGGTACCATCCGCTGCAGCAGCTGCTGCTTTGCTTCGATAGTGCTCCGACAACATGCTGTAGAGCCGCTCCTGTGATGAGGAGAAGGGGGAAATGGGAGGGGGGGGGGGGGGGGGTGTTGGGGGAGGAAGCAGGGGCAGGAGAATCGGATGCTGAGGTGAAGAGCGCTAGGAGCTTCACCACCTCCACTGCTGCTGCATGGCTGATGCATGGCTGATGCATGGCTGATGCATGACTGATGCATGGCTGATGCATGACTGATGCATGGCTGATGCATGGCTGATGCATGGCAGCACCACCATCAGCACCATCAGCAGTAGCAGCTGCTGCTGCTGCTGCTTTGCTTCGGTATTGCTCCGAGGGCATGCTGTAGAGCCGCTCGTGTGATGATGGGAAAGGGAGGCGAGGAGAAACAGCTCCTCTGCACGTATCACTTCTCTGACGGTATCTTCTTGTGTATCGTCTTTTGAGGCGCCTCAAAGCTCTGCACATATCACTTCTCTGACGGTACCTTCTTTTGTATCGTCGACTGCATGGTGGAAAATGCAGCGCTCAGAGAAGGATCCTGGGGGCTGAGGAGGATGTGTGTCAACACTGGCAGCTGAAAATAAGCATGGCATGAGGCACACAAGCCCAGGACCGGCCTGTGACAGGGACATTCATCTCGGAGCAAGCGCAGAATGAATGTTCTTGGCCCAGCACAAGCACCATGTTGGCTCTCACAGCATTGAGCTTACACTCACCCACAGTGTTGGCCTAGCACACGCACCATACAGAGGTGGTGCACCCAGCTAGCTCACATAGACGCACCTGCCCCAACACAAGCACCACGAATAACATTTCAATGTAGAAACCGCATGTAATGAGTCTGCTTTTTGAGTCGACTCAAAACCATACAGAGATGGTGCACCCAGCTAGCTCGCATAGACGCACCTGCCCCAACACAAGCACCACGTTGGCCCGTAAGGCATCAATGGAGTGCAGCAGCAGCTGTAGAGATCACACAAGCCCAGGGAGGTGCAAGGAGAGACGGGAAGAGATGTGAGGAACAGGATAACGAGGATCGGAATGTTGGAACATAAGGCATCAATAGAGTGCTGCAGATTTTTGAGTCGACTCAAAAATCGACTCATCACACGAGGATCGGAATTTTGGAACATAAGGCATCAATAGAGTGCTGCAGCAGCTGCAGAGGAAACGAGGAGAGAGAGCGCACAGAGAGAGGGAGGTGAGCGAGCAGATAACAACAATAGGAACCTCGATATTCTCTAAAGAGGACGGCAAATGGCGAGGGAAGAAAAACGGTGGGATTGGTAAAGACCGTAAACCACTAACCTGGTAACCAGCCCAGTCCCATCAGCACATACCTGGTAACCAGCCCCATCAGCACATACCTGGTAACCAGCCCCATCAGCACATACCTGGTAACCAGCCCCATCAGCACATACCTGGTAACCAGCCCCATCAACACACACCTGGTAACCAGCCCCATCCACCCATCCCATGCTGTTCGCTATGATCCCTGCTGCTGCCCATCCTACTGCATGAAACAGTGGCCCTTGGGCCAACACACCCAGTAACCTGCCCCATTAACACAGCATCATCCACTCAACACACACCTGGTAACCAGCCCCATCCACCCATCCCATGCTGTTCGCTATGATCCCTGCTGCTGCTGCCTCCACTGGAACCGCCCCTATTGCTGCCGCTCCTATTGCTGCTGCCCCTCCTCCTGCCTCCCTCCCTGCTCCTGCTGCTCCTCCTCCCTCCTCCAATCCTCCCTCTCCCCCTCCTCCCTCTCCCAAGGGAGTGATGCCCAGTCGCCTGTCTGTCGCGTCTGCCAGAGCCGTCACTAGAGCACGGTATAGGTCAAGGTTCGCACTGAAAGGGGGAAAGGAGGGAGCAGGTGGGGGATCGGGGTGGGAGGGGTAGATCGGTCAAGGTATAGGTCAAGGTTGGCAGTATGAAGGGGAGACGGTGGGGGGAGGGGAGGGGAAGGTAGGGGGTTGTCAATAGGGTGTTGGGGACGTAGTGAATCTAAGGGTTGCCTGCATGGCCAGTCCCCCGTCTGTCGCCTCTGCCAGTGCCGTCACTATGCTCGGTATAGGTCAAGGTTCGCACTGCAAGGGGGAAAGGAGGGAGCAGGTGGGAGGGTTGGGGACGTAGTGAATCTAAGGGTTGCCTTGCCTGCATGGCCAGTCGCCCGTCTGTCGCCTCTGCCAGTGCCATCACCAGTGGCGGTCACGGTGAAGGTAAAGGTGCTTTTGAGAATTCTCAAAAACACCCTACATCACCTGAGAATTTTCAAAAACACCCTACATCACCTGAGTATTTTCAAAAACACCCTCAGACAGTGCCATCACCAGTGGTGGTCACGGAAAAGGTAAAGGTCAAGGTTGGCAGTATGAGTGGGAGACAGGGGGGAACGTTGGTGCGACCATGTCCTTACACAAATACCTCATCGCCTAGGCCCGATTTTGAAGGCGCCTAAAAAAAAAAAAAAAAAGGCGCCTCAAAATTGGTGCTACCATGCCCTTACACAAAAACCTCATCTCCCCCGCCCACAGTACGCACCTGGGGTTGGTATGTCCGTAAAACAGCACCAGAGGCGCCTCCTCCACCGTCCTCGCATTCGCTTCCAGCGGTGCTTCCACTGGAGTGGCCGCTACAGCCCCCAGCACAGTATGCTATGCTACTACCAGGCTCACAACAGTATGTGATGGTAGCATGTCGTTTCTCGACACCTCACCTCCCCCACCCACACTACACACCTGGGGTTGGTGTGTCCGTAGAACAGCACCAGGGGTGCCTCCTCCACCGTCTTGGCACTGGCTTCTAGGGGTGCTTCCACTGGCGTGGCCGCTACAGCCCCCGGCACGGTCACACTGCTGTGAGCCACGTCTAGATCCACGTAGGTGGGATGCCATTGCTGTCTGGCCGCCCAACACAGCAGCATTCTGGCCAGGGTTGACTTGCCGCTGTCAGTGGGGCCAACTAGCAGTACCCTGGGCACCTGAACAAGGGAGAAGAGGGAGCACGCACGGGAGGCACAGTGACAGTGACACTGCTGTGAGCCACGTCTGGATCCACGTAGGTGGGATGCCATTGCTGTCTGGCCGCCCAACACAGCAGCATGCGTGCTGGTGTGGACTTTCCACTATCGGTTGGGCCGACTAGAAGGACCCTGGGCACCTGAAACAGGGAGGAGGGAAGAGGAGAGACAGGGTGAGGGCGAGAGAGAGGGAGCACAGGAGGCACAGTGAGAGTGCTGTGGGCCACGTCTAGATCCAGGAAGGTGGGATGCCACTGCTGCCTGCCTGGCCGCCCAGCACAGCAGAATACGTGCTAGAGTGGATTTGCCTGAGTCTGTGGGACCCACTAGCAGCACCCTTGGCACCTGAAAGAGCGGGAAGGCACAGTGACAGTGACACTGCTGTGAGCCACGTCTGGATCCACGTAGGTGGGATGCCAATGCTGCCTGGAATTCCTGAAAAAGACACTCCTGCCCTCCCCAACCTGCGTGAGAGGTTGCGAGAGGTGGATGGAGAACATCTACTCCACCTAAGACACACTTGGTGAAAGAAAGAACTACCTTGGTGAGGCCAGGAGAGTTCATCTTGTGCTCCAGCCAGATTCTGCTTTTTGAGCCACCTAAGAAACTGAGAAAGTTTATGAGGCGCTTCTGAAAAACGAGGCATGCTTATAGACGCTGCAAAACGCGAGAGAGACAGATTTTGAGGAGCCTCAAAGGAAGAATCACCTTGGTGAGAACGAGGGAGTTGATCTGGACGCATCCGATGCATGAATGAGAAGGGCTGGAAGTGTACCCGCAATTTTGGGGCACTGTAAAACCTCGCGTGTGGCGCTCTGCATTCGCCTTAGACGCTTCCTCTCGGGCCGTTACTAGTTCTCGGCCTTTCGCGATCAGTTAAGACTGACATATGTTTTCGTATACGCATGTACCACCAGTGTATAGTGAACATATTACACAAAAAAAATGCACTAAATGCTCCCTCATTAATTTATGTGTCATCCTTTCGCAAATACATTTCGCAACTAAAGAGTAAGTGCTGAAGAGATTGTAACACCCTACCAATCAGCTGTAAGCGGCACTGACACAATGCGGTAAGTCATGATGAGGTCATGGCAGCAACCCAGATGGGCTGGAAATTTCGCGAACCCCCAGAGCACAAGATCAGTGTGCGAACTACAGCGATTTTGAAATCACCTCGCGAACTTCTCTGTGGTGCCTCTCCCACATTCTACCTGGTTTGGCCGCTCCAGTCTGAAGCTAGGGTCTTTCGCTGAGATCGCCCAAACTGGGTTCATCGCAGCATCTTATCGCATGCGACCATGTTACGACTTTCCTTCCAACGTTTCGTACTCCCAGCGAAGATACTTATAGCGAAAATTAGTGACAACCACCCCTGCCCAAGCTAAATGGTAGTTCTCAACCAAGGTAGATTTCGTCAGTTCTAATGGTAGAACGTGATAGCTTCCAGTATTGCATGACTGTTATTATCTCTCGTGAGTCGTGACTATGGCTGGCCATAATTTCTTGCCTCGCAGGGATTGGGACCCCTGCTCGTCCAGCAAAAAAATGAGAGAACGTCGTAACTATCCCGACGACCTCTTGGTTTCCTCGTCTTCACCCCCAGCTGCTCCAAGCTCTTCGTTCCTTCCCGTTTCGTCTTCGCCTCCTCCTAGACCGCTCTCCGTCCCCTCCTCTCTTTCCGCTTCTTTCTCCTCCTCTTTCTCCTCCTCACTAGCAGCAAAGCAGGCTCAGACCATGCTTTTGAGAGAATTAGTGGAACCTGCGCGGAAGCTTCTTCCCGCGTCGCCTTACCTGAATCCGAGCTCCAACGGCCATCCGTCCACTCCACCTCCTAATCTCAAGGTACATATTTTAACTCACTTTCATGAAGCATGCTTTCTCTCACTTTGTACGGAGTTGCTTCGTGCAAAGTGAGAGAAAGTAGGCAACTTCGAACATACTTTTCCCATTCACAGTACGTTTTATTCTCGAGATTTGGAACATACCCGTGGCCGTTCTGCATTCTCCGTTCCCCACTCCCCGTTCCCCACTCCCCATTTACCACTCCCTCTTTCCACTCCCCACCGCTCTCCTACCCTCAGAAATCCCGCCATCTCTGCGCCACCATCATCCAGGCCGTCTCTCGGTTCGTCGCCTCGTTGTCTCGCGTCAAGCCTGCTTCCCTTCCCTAACCCGTCCCACTCCCCACCCTCCCTCTCCCTCCCTTCAGGAATCCCGCCATCTCTGCGCCACCATCATTCAGGCCGTCTCTCGCTTCGTTGCCTCCTCATCCCACGTCAATCCCACACTGCCCTTCCCTTCTCCTCCACTCCCCCCCCCCCCCCCCCCCCCTTCCCCTCCTCCCCTTCCTCCCCGTAACCTCAGGAGTCCTGCCATCTGCGCGCCACCATCATTCAGGCCGTCTCTCCCCTCATTGCATCCTCGTCTCACGACAGGCCAACTTCCACAGCCCCTCGCTTTCCTCCCTCCCCGTCCCTCAGGAGTCACTTCAACTCCACGCCACCATCATCAAGGCCGTCTCTTGCTTTGTTGCCTCCTCAGTTCAGTTCAGTTCAGTTCAGTTCAGTTCAGGTCAAGTTCACTTTCTTTGAGAATTCTCAAAAAACAAGTTCAGGACAAGTTCACTTTCCTTCCCCAAACTCCCCCTTTTTTTCCTCCACTCAGGAGTCCCGTCATCTGCGCTCAACAATCATTCAGGCCGTCTCTCGCTTCGTCGCCTCCTCCTCGCGCATCAAGCCCTCCCAGCTGCCTATGCTCGTCTCTGCGTTCTTCATCTCACCCATTCCAGCCGTTTCAAACCCATGTCATACCAGACCAAACCGTTCTAAACCTTCTGCCCTTGCAACTGCTGCTCCCGCCGCCGCGTCTGATTCTGCTTCTCCTGCTGCTACTGCTGCTGTTGCTTCCGCCACTGTTGCTTCGCCTGTCCCTGCTGCTGCCCCCCGTACTGCTGCTCCTCCTGCCGCTGCTGCTTCTGTGTCCTGTCCGACTCCTGCCGATGCTCTTCTAGCGCTGCTCTTAGCAGAGCAGCCTGCATGTTGCAGGAGCGGTGGAGGGTGCGCGGAGGTGGAGTGTGGTGCTGCAGGGTGTGCAGCAGATGCTGAGTGCGGGGCTGAATGCATTCGAGTGCTCACGAGGCCTCCTGCCTCCACCAAAGAAGCTAAGGTACTTCGCTTTATCTTCTGTTTACTTTGTGCCTATGCCGTGCTTTGCTTGTCTCCTGCCTGCGTATATCCAGTACTCTTCCTCAGTAGCCTTCAGTTCTCCACCTATTTCCTGCAAACGATCAATGATTTTTTTTTGTGTTCCAGTTTGGCACAGATGATGTTTTTTTCCATAAATCTGCCATATGCCCGTCCCTCACTTGTCTTCAACCCTTCCTCCTTCCTTTCCTTGCTTCCCTTTCCCCGCTCCAGCTACAGCATTTTCTCGTCCCACTCCTCCTTCACATCGCATCCCGCCTTGTCACTGCCACAGCAAATTCGCCCTACGCTCACTCTCCAATTCCACCCAACACCAGGGCCCATTTCCACCCGTATCATCTAACTAACCTTCAACTGCAACCTCTGTCGACCAGTCATGCACATCCGCTGTCTGCCACTCAGACTCATCTGGGCTGTGCGTTTGACACGTGCTGCCATGCCCTTGCTCGCCTATCTTCTGAGCTCGGCCCACTGCAGTGCTCCCAGCAGCTGCTACTACACGCTGATATCGTTGATGCTACTGATGTTGGTGCAGCAGCAGCTGCTGTCGCTGCTCCTCCTGGTGCTCCTTGTTTTCCCGCTGTTTGCACTCCTGCTCCTGTCTTTTCTGCTGCTGCTGCTCCTGGAACCAGGGATATCGCCCCTTCTGGTGCACAATTTGCTGCAACTGCAGCTGCTGCTGTCACCAGCAGTAGCAGCAACAGCAGCAGTGCAGTCTCATCACTCTCCCTGCTGCTTCTCCAGTGCTTACAGCGCACAGAAGCTGCCATCCAAGCCTCTTCGCGCTCCCATTCTGAAGCAGCAGCAGCAGAAGCAGCAGCAGGAGCAGGAGCAGGAGCAGGCGTGTCAGCAGCAGGGGAAGGGATGGCATCTGTGGCCGGGCAAGGAAGGGCAGAAGAAGCAGAGGAAGGAAGGGCAGCAGCAGGAGAGGAAGCAAGGGGAGCAACCATGGAAGGAAAGGGCTCAGGAGAAAAAGAGAGCAGCAAGGGCAGTGCACCTGTTTACATGTCCACGAGAGAGGCATGCGCCCTTCTCTCCTCCCTCTCCTCCTCACTCCCTGAAACCGACGTTGCCTTGCTGTCTGCCTGCCTGCCTGTCCTCCTCCTGCTGCTGCTGCATGAACCTATACCTTCCTCCTTTTTGAGCCGGAACGACACTTTGAATGTGCCTCTGAGTGAACCGCAGCAGGAGAAGAGAGCAACGCCACTGCGCTCTCAGTCTCCAGTGCTGCCTCCACAGCAGTTATTGACGCCAAGAGTGCCTTCATTCCCGTCCGCAGTGCCATCATTGCCACCGGCAGTGCCATCATTGCCACCGGCAGTGCCATCATTGCCATCGGCACAGCAATCGGTACAGCAGGCAGAGAGTGCAAGCAGGCTGCACGTACGAGTGACAGGGCTGCACGCTAGGGAACGGTCTGTGCGAAACGAGCGGTCTGTGCAAAGAGACAAGTGTATGCAGAAGATTGGGAAGGATTGTTTTGAGACGTCTCAAAACGAGCGGTCTGTGCAAAGAGACAAGTGTATGCAGAAGATTGGGAAGGATTGTTTTGAGACGTCTCAAAACGAGCGGTCTGTGCAAAGAGACAAGTGTATGCAGAAGATCGGGAAGGATTGGGATGTGTTTACTGTGCCAGATGGAGTCTCAGGTGCAGTGCCTTCTTCTTCCAACGACCATGGAGCGAGGAAGGGTTTTGAGAATTCTCGAAAAGCACCTGCAACAACATGGGATGTGTTTACTGTGCCAGATGGAGTCTCAGATGCAGTGCATTCTTCTTCCAACGACCATGGAGCGAGGAAGAGACGGAAATTGATTGCAGGTGCTGGTCAGGTGCCTTCAGGTGCTTGTGCGGTTTCTTCAGGTGAATTCCAAGTGCCGTCAGGTGGTTTTCAGGTACCTTCGGCTGCAGGTGTTTCTCAAGGGCCTTCAGATTCAGATGCGCCCGGTGCTTTTCAGGTGCCATCAGGTCGTGGTGGAAGGCGGATAAGATCAGAATCAAATCAGAGCCAGGTGCTTTCGGTGGGGAGGAGAGCGGCTGCTGATGTGGCGGTTCCGGATTGGCCTGTTTCACCGTTCAATAGCCGTGGGGCAGGCAGACCGTCAAGGCGGAGTATGGAAGAAGCCGCGTGTGATTCAAAAAGGCGCCTCAAAGATCAAACCATGCTTGAGGTGCCCCGAAGGTCAAAGCGGCGCATTGCAGCAGCAGCAGCAACAGCAGCAGCAGCAACACCACCGGCACTAGGAACGGCACTCAAACAAGAAGCAAGGGCTCTTTCCCAACCGTTATCAGCAGCACCACGAGCAGAATTTAGTCCATCCTCCCTCCATTCGCAATCACACGCAATCCCAACCCATGTTCCATCACAAAGCTTTCATTCTCCTCCTTTGATCCACCTCTCCCCTCTCCTCTCCTCCTGTTCCGCCCTCCTCTCCTCTCTCCACACCTGCCTTCTTTCCTTAATCCCACTCCACCAAGTACCACCCCACGGGTTCCCCTTGCCCTGGCCCTTCGAGCCCCCCCTCTCTCCGGAATCTTCTGGGAAGCTTCTTCGGGATAAGTCGCAATTTGACCAGCTGATGATGCTGCTTGGAGCGCTGTATTCAGCTTCTTGTGCTGCCGCTGCTTGTGGTTTTAATGGTGATGATGGTAGTGGTGGTGGTGGTGCTGCTGCTGCTCGTGATAATGGTAGTGGTGGTGATGCTGCTGCTGCGGTTCCTGCTGCTGGTGGTGATAGTGATGGTGGTGGTGCTGCTGATTCTGCAGCTATTGATAGTTCTCCTGCTACTACTGCTGTTGTCGCTGCTGTAACTGCTGGTAGTGATGGTGCTGCTGCTGCTGCTGCCACCGTTGATGCTGTTGCTGATTTTGCTGCGGATGCGTGTCTATCAGCAGCAATCAACACCTCTCTCTCCTCCTTCAAATGGTCCTTCCCCCATCAGTTCCTCTCCTTCGCCCACTGCCATAGCCACGCCCTCAGCCTTCTCTTCTCAGCCTCTCTCGCCCGCTGCTCCTCCTCCTCGCTCCACCCCTCTCTCCTTCACAACTTCACTGTATCAGAGACGAATGTCATGGCCCCTCCAAGCTCATTTTCTGCCCGCTGCTCCTCCTCCTCTTCGCTCCACCCCTCGCTCCTCCTCAACCTCACTACACCGCCCGCTACCCTGTCCGCCTCCGCACACATCCCTTCTCAGTCCCAGCCAAAAATCCCCGCCCAGGAGCGTGCTTACGAGGAGAAGTCAGTGTGGATAAGGGGAGGAGGATTGCAGGTGGATGGTTGGAATGGTGGGGAAAATGGGAAGGATGGTGAGGATGGGAAGAGAAGAGCTATACCGTTTCCGGCATGGGAGGAGGTGTTGATGTATGGGAGTCGAGCCATGCCTCTTGCATGGATGCTTCAGCCTCTAGAAAAAATCTCTCCATTTTACTTCTCCGGATGTAGTAGCATGAGTTGTGGGGCAGACGGAGAAGGCAAAGGGAGCATTGACAGAAGTAGGGGTGGGAAGAGCAGTGGAGGAAGTGAGAGCAGTGGGGGCAGGGACAGCAGTGGGGAGGGGGGCACTGGTGGGAGTGAGCTGTTGAGTCAGGAGGGCAAGAGGAGCTGGGTGCAGTGGTGCCTGCCTCCCCCCCGGGATGACTACCGGGACAAGGAGTTCATTCAGGTGGGTGCTGTGTGTGCACTGGGGGGCAGTGACTGCAGTGGGAGTGAGTGAAAGGAGGGTTGCTTAGCTTGGAGGGCAAGAGGAGCTGGGTGCAGTGGTGCCTGCCTCCCCCCCCGGGACGACTACCGGGACAAAGAGTTCATTCAGGTGGGTGTTGTGCGGGTGTGTGTGTGTGCATGCCTGCAGGCGGGCGGGCGCACGTGTGCGCATGTGCTTGTATGCGCATGCACCCTTTGTTTAGTAACGAAGGATTCGAAACTCAATCTGTGCGCATAAGCTCAATGAACTCCCTGTCTCATCCCTCCGTCCTCCTCCTCATTTTCCCATTTTCCCAACCCATTCTATCCCTATTCTCAGATTGAACGAGGCCCGCTAGCCCTTCGCCAGGCCTTCATTCAAATCCTTTCTGCGGACCCAACAGCCCTCCGAACCGGAGGCTTGGACGTTCGGTTCACGGGCGAGGGTGGGGCCGCAGGTCCGGGAGTGCTTCGGGAGTTCTTCGCCTTCGTTCGGGCACACCTCTTCGACCCGAACCTGGGCCTCTTCTCTCACGTACCTCACGACCCGAGCCGGTTCTCCCTCTCCCTGGCATCCCGAGCCAACCCTGCCGAAGCTAAGGAGTACCTTCGGTTTGCCGGACGTATCCTGGCCCTTGCTTTGGCGCATCAAGTGCCGTTAGGAGTGAAGCTGTCACGGTCCCTGTTTGTGTTGCTTGCGGCTCGCCCACCCTCGCTGGCTGATGCTGCTGATGATGATCCCCAGTTTGTTGCTAGCTGTCGGTCTTTGCTGGCTATGGCTGAAAGGGAGAGGGAAGAAGCAGCAGAGGGAGGAGGAGGAAGAGAAGGAGGAGTGGAGTCATTGTGTCTCACCTTTGTGGCTTCGGTAGAGGATCCGATGGGGGGGGCAGCAATCGAAGCAGAGCTTGTTCCAGGTGGCAGCGAGCGAGTGGTCCGCGCGGATGACGTGGCGGAGTTTGTGCAGCGGATGGTGCAGTTTAGAGTGTGCGGGGTGGTGGAGGAGGAGGGGGAGGCGTTGCGGCGAGGCATGGAGGATATACTGGGGAGCGGAGGAGGGCGGGATGTGGTTCCAGGGAAGGGGGATGTGGCGGAAGGAAGGGAAGGGATGGATGGGAAAGGAGGGATGGACGGAAATGTAAGGGGTCGGGGAGGGCGGGAAGGTGGTTATGGAGGAGGTAACATGGAAGGAGGGGATGGGCAGCAGACGCCGATCCAGAAAAATGATGATGATTGCTGCATTGATTCGGTTGAAGGCATGAGTCTCGCTGCCATGCTTGCTCCCCTTTCATGTGACGATCTCAATTTGCTTCTCCACGGGGAGGATCGCCACGTGGCGGTCTCTGATTGGCAGGCACACACGGTGTACCACGGGTATTGTCTGGAAGATCCCCAGGTTTTGTGGTTTTGGGAAGTTGTGGAATCGCTTTCGGGTGAGCAGCGGAAGTCGCTGCTGTTTTTCGCGACGGCTGTTTCTAATCTGCCTGTAAACGGATTTAAGGGGCTTGCGATGGGGTTTCACCTGCACCAGGCAGATGTGGATCTTTCGCGCCTGCCCACGGCTCACACGTGCTTTCACCAGTTTCTGCTCCCGCCATATGAGACCATTGAGACAATGCGCACGCGTTTGCTCACTCTTGTGAGCTCGTCATATATTGTTCATAGCTTTGGATTTGCATGATAGCAAGCGGGATTTTTTTTAGCTAAGCAACTCACAAAACGCCTCTGCTCTGTACAGTTTCCTGGGTTCTATATTGTGGGTTGAAGTCCCCATGAGTAATATAAGAACTTGCTTGCTCAAGTTCATATCACCACCGAAGCCATGTAACTCTGAATTAAACGAGACGAGTAACTCTCATGGCGAATTTTTGAACCGTCCTTCGCTTGTTAGACTGACCAATCCAAGCCCTTAGCTCACATCCGCGACACCCACCTCGCGACGGGATACCCGTATCATACACGGGTGGCTGACTCGCCCCCTCAACAGCTCCCCTCCCCTCGTCTCTCCCCGACCGTCAACCCATCCTCCCCTCTCTGCTCGTCTTCCTCACGATTTCTCCACCAGCCAAAGCTGCGACATAAACGCTCCCTCCAGTCCCTTATTTTCTGCTCATCATGTCGGACTCGGACCGGCGACCCGGAATCGCGCGAGGCCAATGTCGAGCACGACTTGACTCGCGCGGCGGCAAGTGGCGACTAATAGTAACGGCCAACGGAAACAAGGCGATCCGAGCACTCCCCCTGGAGCGTCTGAAACACGTCTGCCCGTTACTAGCGGTCCGAAAATGCCGCACCGCGAGTGTAGGCGACCTCGTGAGAGCGGCGTTGGGTATTTTAGCATGCCTCGCCGCTGGATCCTCTATCAGCGCAGCACCTCGAACTTCGAAGCACCCACATTATTTACTACTAGCAGTAGCTTTCGCCGCGCTGAACGAATCTCGACTCGAACTCGCGCCTCTCGACGGCACTCGCCATCACCATGGCGGCGGCGGCGGGGTCATTCGCCGCTTTCTCACCGGCTCTTCGCTTCGCGTTTGTCCTGCTCCTCGTCTCCGGCGCGCTTCGACCGGCCGAATCAGAGTGGATCGAGGAATCCGGCGGTTCGAGAAAGAACGTGGCCCTCACGCGCCCCGCACACGCGCAGCAGTTGCTACGCAGGCAGTAGCAGCAGCAGCAGCGGCCCGCCACGACCGTCGTCCGCGGCGGCCCGGGCGGCGACGCGATCGTTTCAGCCGTCGGCTTTCAGCTCGTCCGCTCCGCCGCCCCTGACGACTTCGCGTCTGACGGCGCCTCCCCTGTCGCTACCACAACCGCCAGCACCGCGGCCGACAACGTGACGATAAAGTACCACGGCGGACCGGTGGTGGTGGGCAATCCAACGGTCAACATTTACCACATCTACTACGGCAGCTGGGGGGCGGGGTCGGGCAAGGAGATATTAGAGGCGTTCGTGCAGTCGTTGAGTAGTGACTCGGGCAGCCAGGGCGGCGCGGGGGACGCGAGTGTGAAGGGGTGGTGGGCCATCACGGCCGCGTACTACCAGTCTGGCCCCGACGGGAAGAAGAATGTCAGTTCCAAGGTGAGAATAACGTGAGCTAAGGATTCAAAACGGAGCTAGCCACTGTGCATGACGTGGCTCTATCTTCTCATCTCATCTGCGATCCATCGTGTCATCATCTCATCTGCGATCCGTCTTCATTCTTTCCCTCTTGCATGCCTTCATCCCTTCATTCATTCACTCCATCTTGCTGTCTGCTATGCTCCTGGCGCAGGTTCGTCTCGCTGGGACTGTGATCGACAACTATTCACACGGCAAGAACCCGTCAGACAGCGACTTGCGCGCCAGTATGTACCGCTCCCCACCACTCTCTACCCAACACACCTAAGTCTGTTCTCTGCTTGTTCCAAGTGCACCTTCCATGCGTTCACTCACCTTCTCTCCTGCTTGATATCACCTCACTCCTTTCCCGAACCTCCACCTGCCTCTTCGTCCCCCGTGCAGTATTGAAGAGCCAGGTGGGGCCGGGCAAGCCCTTGCCGCTGGACCCTCACGGCATCTACGTACTGTTTAGCAGCGTAGACGTCATATTTGGAGACTTTTGTAAAAAGTACTGTGGCTGGCACACCCAGGATTCCCTCAACTCCACCCCTCTGCGCTTCGCCTTTGTGGGGCATCACGGGCAGTGCCCTGGCGCGTGTGGGGAAAGGAGCCCGTCACCCAACGGCAACCCTGGCATTGATGGTATGATCACCTCACTCGCGCATGAGATCACCGAAACTGCCACAAACCCTGCCGGTTCGGGGTGGTTCGTTGACGGGGACGGGGAGAACGGTGACGAGTGCGCGTGGAATTTCGGCAGCACCAAAACCGGATCCCTGCAGAACGGACAGAAGTTCGAGTATAATCTGGTGGGGTTGGATGGGAGGAAGTTCCTGGTGCAGCAGAACTGGGACCGCGTGCTGAACAAGTGTGTGCTGCAAAACGCCCTTCCCTCTCCTTCTCCTCCTTCTCCACCTCCACCACCTCCTTCGAGTGGAGGCAGTGAGAAAATGCAATGTGATTTCAACTGTGCTAGTGCCAGCAATCCCATGAGCTGCCAGTGCACCTGCACCAAGACAGGGTGATGTGTGGATGAAGGGGTCACCTGTGTCTTGTGGGGTGGATGCTGCACCTGACACCTCTTAATTTATCTTGTCCCCAGTGACACAAGTGGACCAGTGAAGTCTTTCTGACTGATTATTATTCGATAGACATCTTGTATTTTGGTGGTGGTGGATATAGCTTGATTGATCCTCCTCCCCTATCATGGTATATTTTCTACCTGCGAAGCATCAAATATGTGGATCCAAGGGGACAGTGGGGATTACCGATGACGCGTATACCGCGTATTTCAGGACGTGTTCTGAAGCTCGGTGATCCCGAGATTCACTGCGCAGGCAACAACACCCACGCGACCACCAGCAGAAATTTAGCCATGAATTCGTAGCACTGGGAGCCCAAACGAAGTTCCCGTTGATCCCAATTTGCCTGAAGCATCACTAGACGGTGCGACGGAAGTGCTCTTCCGTGTGCCGGCGTCAGGAGCTTGAGCGTTCCTTTTTCGTTTTCGGGGATCATGCGGTTACGTTGGCATCACGTGGACTATTACGCATTAGCGTCTATGAAGCAGCAACGAAAACAAGATCGGCGAACTTTGCCGTGTCCGAATATTGTAGATGGTGAAGACATTGCTTTACCGGACGACATACCTGTCGCATTGTTTCAGCTTCTAGCTAATGACAACAAAAATCGCAGTCATGGCGTCGATTTCTCCGAGCTCTCCGCGACCATCCTTCCGAAAGCATCAGCCGCTTCCATTCTCACGCAGTTTCTTCCTCAAAAGCAAGTGGTGTCGAAAACGTCAAGCCTGAGCACCCTCGAATGGATGCTGGAAAGCAACGAATTTAGCGATGCTGAACCCATTACTCCATTCATGGCCAATTTCGAGGATCCGCTGCTGCAGGATACGGATTTCCAGGTTCCTCTCGGTGTCCCTTTTGCGCCGTGTCTCACAGTTTTTTTTCTCTCTCTGTTTTATTCAAGTTGATAGCACCCACCTTATAGCTCGTAATCATGCAGAGAATTGGAGAGGAAGTATTTGACCAGATTGACTGTGATGCCTTGCCACTGGAAAACGTCGATCCTCCACCAGAGATGGTAAGCCTTTCACGCACTGAATAGAGTCGCTATGGCTACTCGCTTTCTATGCTAATTCTTCTACTGGCAGAACGTCAGACGTGCGGAGGAGGATGCAGAACCCATCGCGATGGAATCTGCACCATTCAAGGAACATCTCGTTTCTGTATTGGACATCGAAACAGCGTGCAATTCATCAACATCTTCAAAGCGCGGCAAGCCACACACGATGGACACTTTCTGTCCCATGGACCCTCCGTGCATCCTGGACGATCCCATTAATCCCGGTCATTCCATGACGGATCCGTCGACGCTTATGAAGAAGATGGATCTGATGAAGCCACCTGAAGACGCTTTGAGTGGATTTTCAAACAGCCGTACAAACATGATGTCGCTTCTGGGTCCAGGTCGGATGAAAATTGATGAAGAGAAGCCGACATACACTGAGACACTTTGCAAGGTTCTGGAGGAACCAAGTACCTCTGCTGGTGATGCAGCCAAGAGTGAAGGCATTCCGCTGCTTGATGTGCCATTCCCATCACTCAGCCAGTCACCAATGGTTGAGAAGCTGGCCGTGGAGCTGATTCGCAAAGAGAAAAGCCTTCGGCTTGAAGCACTTCCCTCCATGAGCGTGTCAATGAAAGACTTCAACGAGCTGGTTGTGGCTCCTCAGCTCACTTTCAACTGTGGTGGGATTCGATCTCTTCCAGTTCCACTTCTGCAACAAGACGAATTGCAAGGAGATGAAAATCTCCTACCTGTCACAGCGTTCTTATCTCTAAGCGAGTCACTGAAGGGGAATCTGACAATGGCTTCTCGTGCAAGAGATTTCCTGTACCTGGACTGGCATCTGTCGCAGGATTTCAAGTCTTGCACTTCATCTTCTTGTTCCAATGCTGGCTGCAAGCTCTCATTTCAAAGAGTTCAGCTGATCCGATCAGAACCATCTCAATCCGGCTCGCTGTTTTCTCTTATTGATGACAGGATGCAGAGCATACCTGCACAAACGACCTCAGGGATTGAGCAAAGAATGGTGCTGCCGTCAGCATTGGTTCGGATGGTGAATGCAGCTTCGACCTCGCCATCACCACATGCCTCTCATGTTGCTACTGCACCACAGCCGCCATGTCAGCCTCAGGTTCGATATGCTGAACCTCAGACAGCACCAAAGCCTCACGCACCGACTTCACATGCAAGATTCACACCTTCACCTCAGCCTCAGCCTCAGCCCCGGCCATTGATCATGACACCACCCCCTGCTTCTCCAATGAATCTGCCTCACAGTCGATTTGTGGCTGTGCCATCACCTGCTGATACTGCTGCTGCACCTGCATCTGCTTCTGTCGCTGCTGCTGCTGCTGCTGCTGCTGCTGCTGCTACCACTGTGTGTGCTTCTGTCACTGCAGTTGCCACCGCCACTGCTGCCTGTGCCACAACCGGCACTGCCTCTCCGGCTGGTTTTGTGCTGAAGAATAACGAGGATAACCGACCAGGCTCAGCTGCTAGAGAGGAGGGCAAGCGGATCGGGTTCCAGCACCAAGTTCAGAAAATGTCAAGCGAACTCAATTTCTTCATGAATGCAAGGCAGGGCAAAGCACAAATTCTTCAACCGCCTCAGGAGGTGGCAGTTGCAGTTGATCCAACCAGACTTGCGGAAGAAGCCAGCTTCAGAGCACGTGATGCAGCTAGAGCTTTGGAAAAGGAGGTCGAGGATGTGACTGCTGTGCAACCCATTGGCGTTAAGTCCCCTCCAGCTGCACGGCAATCCTTGAAAGAATTGGAATCACAGGTCCACAGAGTGCAGATGTCACAAGACCTTGCAGATATCCTGGATTTTGCCAAGGGAGATTATCAGAATCTGCTGTGGTCGCTGAACAAGGAAGCTAAGACGTCTGTGAAACCCTTTCGCCTGAAGCAGGAGGTCAGCCGATCTATAAAGGAGGAAATTTCTCGGAGAACTTCTGGCCAGCTATCACAGGACCGTGTGCTGCAACAGTTGAAATGCCTGTACCTGCTTCACCAGTCTGCAATGCTCTGCTGGCAGTACGGTATCCGCGTTGCTCATCTGTTTCTGGAACAGGGGTTGGAAGCCGCATCGATTGCGCACCTTGCACCATTATTCAAGAGGACCAGAGAGGCACTGGCGTCAGCATTTGAGCTGGTGGAGGGTGGTGCAACGGTGGATCACCCGAAGCTCTCCATGCTGACCTCTATCCTTCGAGCCCATAAGAAGTCCTTCCAGTTACCAGACTCCAAGGATTCTGCAGGTTCTGAAAATGTGCTGATTGTTGCTGAGAACATGGCGTTCTTCACCATGTACAAGCTGCTGGGCACGTGCCAGTTTCAGCCCTTCCAGCTTGGACGTTCTGGAGCGCTCAGTGGGATGGGTGGGAGGGGGATAACAGAAGGGAAGTGGGAGATGGTGCAACAGGAGGTGAACGAAGCACTTGAGGTTTCAGACTGCCTCCTGGTTTCACCCAAGTAAGTGGATGCTGTGTGTTTTGTCACTGTACTGATCCATGGCCTGTTTGTTCAATGCCTAATATAAGCTAATCTGAATCTTTTCCTGCAGATATTTGGTGCCTTCGTTTTTGGTGAACAAGTTCGGTATGGTGATTGTTTACAGTGATCTTGTGGAAGAACAAGATCTGCATGTCTTCAATCCCATCAGTGGAAAGATTCACATTCTTGCTGTGGAGGACCCTGAAGAGGCATTGCTACCAAAGGTAAACAATTGTTACCATAACCCTTGTCCGTCCTTCGCTTGTGAATAAACATGCTCATACCTTTTTTTCTTAACGTGCAGACCATGCCTACACAAGCTGCAAAGGAGATGATTCCGATTATGGCTGAGAAGGTTCAACACTTAGAGCAAAGTAAACCAGAGGCTCCCGCAGTCATTCTTCTTGATAGCGAACCAGAAGAAGCAGAAGGCCGTTATGATGAGATTGCCATAGCACCAGAATCTAAAAGGCATGATGCCTCAATATCTATGGATGCTGCTCCATACACGACTATCAAAGCACCTGAGCTGGTTACAGAGCCGAACAAATGGAGGCAGGAGGGGCATCTGTCACATCATTATCCAGTGGATGTGCCAGAACAGAAGAAGGCTCCTGTGGAATACAGGAGAACTGTTATTGTCAACACCAGGGACCAGTTTGACCCCCTTGTCCTCAGAAGAAGACAACTCTACGATAAGATCCTCCAGCTAGAGGAAAGCGGCATTCAGGTAATGCGATTATTCTTGTGCATTCCTCTTCTCCAGTATGAATGAATATGGACTGTTTGTATTCCCCTTTGCAGATCATTGAACGGGATCTGGTAGCACCGGCAGAGATTGTGCTGAATGCATCGACTTCATTAATCATCTATAATCCCCAGCGCCTGAAAGAAGTTCAGAAGCTGGCAGCTATGGATGGGCTCCCATCAAGTTCTCTTATGACCGTGTGCTTGGAAGCTGTTGTGGAAACCCACCTGAAAGCTCTCAGTTTCGCGTATCAGACTTGCTTCTTGGTAAGTCTCACACCTCTTCCTTTGAAACTATTTGAGAATAATATTTGATGAGACGAATATCCCATAATTGATTAAAAGCCAAGCTTCACTAACGCGTGCTTATCATCTGGCAGGTGTTTGAGGGAACTGATGCATATCTGGCTGAAATCAAGCGCAATGTGGACGACCTTTATGCTGGAGGAGCAGCACTGGATCTGGACGTGCAATGTTTTTTCTCATCATCTGAAGCCTCCACTGAGAGATTAATCTTCAGTCTGCTGTCTTCAGCTTCTCCCCCCTCTGCTGAACGAGGCTCTGAACCATCAGTCTCCCAGCCCTTCCGCACCCCCCTGCCTGAATCCGAATCTTCCCAAGAGGCCTTCCTGTGCCGATTCCCATCCCTCAACCCACTTTCTGCACACATCATCATGACCTCAGGCTTTCCTCTGCCTGTGTTCATGTGTCTGCACCATGAGCAGCAAGCATCAGCAACAGTACCTCGTGGGCTTCCATCCCGCTCCCTCAGCCTGTTTCAGGCACAGTGTGAGCACAAGACTACTCCACATCAAGGCCCAGCCCACATCCACATGCCTGTTCAGGGCTCAAGGAATTCACCTCCATCAGAAGGCAACCAGCCAATGTACCCGAGTGACGTGAGGCAAACCAGTTATCATCCTGAAAGCGCATATGCTGGCATTTCACCGCCTCATCAAGACATGCCTTTCAACTCAGACCCTCGGTATACTTCACGTCACGAGCACCCAGTTTATCCTCCTCCTCCTCCTGCTGCTTCTGCTGCTGCTGCTGCTTCGTCTGCGTACTTGGGCTCTAGTTTTCCATCTGGAAGGAGATCGAGGTCACCTCCAGAAGCTGAAACTTTGGTATTGAGCGATGATGACGATGGTGATCCTGGGCAGCGTGGATGGAGAGGATCTGAGCAGCAGCATCTCCAGCAACAGCTTCACCAACAGCAGAGCAGGTTCCACCAGCAGCCACAGACACACGAGTTGTACAACAGACCAGGATCATCAGAGCGTTTGAATATGCCAGCTGCGGATGTGGATGCGTATTCATTCGGTGATAAAACCAGTGGTGCTCGGAGCTTCCCATCTGCATTTGAGATTGAGCAAGCTGATGCCGCACCGCTGCTTGGGTTTGAAGAATACTACCATAACCATATGGCTCAAGCTCGTACAGTCAGTTCTCCAAGCAGCCACTATTCTGCATCACCTGCCAGTAGCACATACTTTCAAGGTGGGCTTGCTCTGGCATTTTGTTTGGAGGATGTTTTCTTGCGGTCTATTCCAATTCAGCTATATTATGCTTGACATTGATGCACACAACCTTCCAATTCTTTAATGCAGGAGCAAGCGACTCAGAGCCCTCTCAGGCTCCTTCCGCTTCCAGTGGGGTCAGATCTGCCTTGCAAGGCTGGATGTCAAGAAGGCAATCAGAAGGTCACCAGAATAACCCTACAGGCAGCTCATCTTTCCATTCAAAAGTCCCCTCAGCTGGTACACGAGGAAACCCATATGGTGTAATGTCCTCCTCCCCTCAGCTCTCGCGTTATTCTGCCCCAAGAACTGGGTCGGATGACCACTATTATCCATCAAGACACAGTCCTCATCAGGCACAGCCCAGCCGGCCTGACTATTATCAGCAGCAGCAGCAGCAGCAGCAGCGACCCTCTAACCCCCAGCATTATCGGTCGCAGCATCAGCCGATGCAGAGCCCCCCAAGTCAGGATAGATGGGCTTCCCCTCCAGCCCCACCCCAAACCAACAGGCAGTTTCGTGGAAGAGAGCCACAAACAAATCCTAACAAACGGGTTTGCACGAGCCTCTTTCAAGATGACTCTGCAAGGAGGCGAGAGGAGGCTGATGCCTCTCTGCAGAAGTTCCGGCATACAGGGAGCAAGATCCCCAAGCATGTGCTGGTGAAGCAGAAGCTACAGGGTGTGCAGGCGTCTGATCAAAGAGGGAGCTCTATTAGCAGAGCTGAGGAGTCACGGCTGTCTTGGACACCGAGTGACAAGAGAGCAAGAGAGGTGAGCCCTACCTGACTGAATCCAGCCTCAATCTGTGGATAGATGTTGACAGTTCGTTTCCTATGGCAGGTTCTGGCATACGAGCGAGCTGAAGGTGATGGGAAACAGTGCAAATTGGTGTGGAAGAAGCCAAGAACAAGCTCAGACTAGCTGGCTGGCTTGTCTCTGCTCCAATGACAGTTCCCCATCAACTTCTTGGTTACAGAGATGTGTCGTGAACACATTCTTTACTTTGTCATTTTTTACATTTGCTGTATTGGGGCCAGACATGTCGATGGTGATCAATCCACAAATTCGTAAAGCATGTGATTACGTGACCTAACACCTTCTAGTCTTTTCTCTGCATGAACCCTCACCAAACTGCGCATCTTACTCAACCCAGGTCAAGGAGCCAAAGAGGAGAATCTTCCCTGGTAGTGGCCCTGGACTAGGTGCTACGAACATAAACTTGCCCTTCGCAATATCCACTTGTGTTACGCAGATGAATCCAGCGATGCTCCTGCCATCGAAAAAGGGTACAACCAACACAAAAGACGAGCGATCAGGTAAGCAATAGCCACAGGAAAGCACAGCCGACCACTGACGTACACGAGCACACCAGTTAAAATGGACAGTACGGTTTCCACACGCCCACAACAATCTCACCCAGTAACGGCGTCCTTCTCCTCTTTAGCATGCGAAACTGCCAGCACGTGATGCTCCAGCTCCCGTGAAAGAACCACCGGTGCAGTGCGAAGCGGGTCTGAAACCCTGGCTGCTCCGATGGGCAGCGCTGACTGTGGTGCCTGCGGCCCTCCCCCTACTCTCAGCACCGTGTACTCTGACCAACTGGCCGTGCTCGAATGAGGTGAAAACTGCCGCTCTGGCCCGTAGAAGTACGCCTGGTGAAACAGAAACGGGAGATTGAAAAAACAAGGGGAAAAAGGCCAGCACATGACGCACGAGAGAAAAAATGTATGTAAGTATATATATAAAAATAAAAGGAGAAGAAGCTACAGATCAGGAATGGCATCTGGCTCGTTACCAGATAAACAAGAAAAACTGTGTTTTAGTTTTTTTTTTTTTACTTGGTACCTTGATGACTGCTTGCCTCAGCCGCTGCCTGAACTTAGAAGTGCGGGACACGGCACCTCCAGATCGCACAAGCTTCACCACCTCCACTGCTGCTGCATGGGTGACAGGGGTACCATCCGCAGCAGCAGCTGCTGCTTTGCTTCGATAGTGCTCCGACAACATGCTGTAGAGCCGCTCCTGTGATGAAGAGAAGGGGGAAACGGGAATGGTGGGGGGGGGGGGGGGGGGTTTGGGGGAGGAAGCAGGGGCAGGAGAATCGGATGCTGAGGTGAAGAGCTAGGAGCTTCACCACCTCCACTGCTGCTGCATGGCTGATGCATGGCAGCACCACCATCAGCACCATCAGCGGCAGCAGCTGCTGCCGCTGCTTTGCTTCGGTATTGCTCCGAGGGCATGCTGTAGAGCCGCTCGTGTGATGATGGGAAAGGGAGGCGAGGAGAAACAGCTCCTCTGCACGTATCACTTCTCTGACGGTATCTTCTTTTGTATCGTCTTTTGAGGCGCCTCAAAGCTCTGCACATATCACTTCTCTGACGGTACCTTCTTTTGTATCGTTGACTGCATGGTGGAAAATGCAGCGCTCAGAGAAGGATCCTGGGGTCTGAGGAGGATGTGTGTCAACACTGGCAGCTGAAAATAAGCATGGCATGAGGCACACAAGCCCAGGACCGGCCTGTGACAGGGACATTCATCTCGGAGCAAGCGCAGAATGAATGTTCTTGGCCCAGCACAAGCACCATGTTGGCTCTCACAGCATTGAGCTTACACTCACCCACAGTGTTGGCCTAGCACACGCACCATACAGAGGTGGTGCACCCAGCTAGCTCACATAGACGCACCTGCCCCAACACAAGCACCACGAATAACTTTTCAATGTAGAAACCGCATGTAATGAGTCTGCTTTTTGAGTCGACTCAAAACCATACAGAGATGGTGCACCCAGCTAGCTCGCATAGACGCACCTGCCCCAACACAAGCACCACGTTGCCCCGTAAGGCATCAATGGAGTGCAGCAGCAGCTGTAGAGATCACACAAGCCCAGGGAGGTGCAAGGAGAGACGGGAAGAAATGTGAGGAACAGGATAACGAGGATCGGAATGTTGGAACATAAGGCATCAATAGAGTGCATCAATAGAGTGCATCAATAGAGTGCATCAATAGAGTGCATCAATAGAGTGCATCAATAGAGTACTGCAGATTTTTGAGTCGACTCAAAAATCGACTCATCACACGAGGATCGGAATGTTGGAACATAAGGCATCAATAGAGTGCTGCAGCAGCTGCAGAGGAAACGAGGAGAGAGAGAGCGCACAGAGAGAGGGAGGTGAGCGAGCAGATAACAACAATAGGAACCTCGATATTCTCTAAAGAGGACGGCAAATGGCGAGGGAAGAAAAACGGTGGGATTGGTAAAGACCGTAAACCACTAACCTGGTAACCAGCCCAGTCCCATCAGCACATACCTGGTAATCAGCCCTATCAGCACATACCTGGTAACCAGCCCCATCAGCACATACCTGGTAACCAGCCCCATCAGCACATACCTGGTAACCAGCCCCATCAACACACACCTGGTAACCAGCCCCATCCACTCATCCCATGCTGTTCGCTATGATCCCTGCTGCTGCCCATCCTACTGCATGAAACAGTGGCCCTTGGGCCAACACACCCAGTAACCTGCCCCATTAACACAGCATCATCCACTCAACACACACCTGGTAACCAGCCCCATCCACCCATCCCATGCTGTTCGCTATGATCCCTGCTGCTGCTGCCTCCACTGGAACCGCCCCTATTGCTGCCGCTCCTATTGCTGCTGCCCCTCCTCCTGCCTCCCTCCCTGCTCCTGCTGCTCCTCCTCCCTCCTCCAATCCTCCTTCTCCCCCTCCTCCCTCTCCCAAGGGAGTGATGCCCAGTCGCCTGTCTGTCGCGTCTGCCAGAGCCGTCACTAGAGCACGGTATAGGTCAAGGTTCGCACTGGAAGGGGGGGAAGGAGGGAGCAGGTGGGGGATCGGGGTGGGAGGGGTAGACCGATCAAGGTATAGGTCAAGGTTGGCAGTATGAAGGGGAGACAGTGGGGGGAGGGGAGGGGAAGGTAGGGGGTTGTCAATAGGGTGTTGGGGACGTAGTGAATCTAAGGGTTGCCTGCATGGCCAGTCGCCCGTCTGTCGCCTCTGCCAGTGCCGTCACTATGCTCGGTATAGGTCAAGGTTCGCACTGCAAGGGGGAAAGGAGGGAGCAGGTGGGAGGGTTGGGGACGTAGTGAATCTAAGGGTTGCCTTGCCTGCATGGCCAGTCGCCCGTCTGTCGCCTCTGCCAGTGCCATCACCAGTGGCGGTCACGGTGAAGGTAAAGGTGCTTTTGAGAATTCTCAAAAACACCCTACATCACCTGAGAATTTTCAAAAACACCCTACATCACCTGAGAATTTTCAAAAACACCCTACATCACCTGAGAATTTTCAAAAACACCCTACATCACCTGAGAATTTTCAAAAACACCCTCAGAGAGTGCCATCACCAGTGGTGGTCACGGTAAAGGTAAAGGTCAGGGTTGGCAGTATGAGTGGGAGACAGGGGGGAACGTTGGTGCTACCATGCCCTTACACAAATACCTCATCGCCTAGGCCCGATTTTTGAGGCGCCTAAAAAAAAAAAAAAAGGCGCCTCAAAATTGGTGCTACCATGCCCTTACACAAATACCTCATCTCCCCCGCCCACAGTACGCACCTGGGGTTGGTATGTCCGTAAAACAGCACCAGAGGCGCCTCGTCCACCGTCCTCGCATTCGCTTCCAGTGGTGCTTCCACTGGAGTGGCCGCTACAGCCCCCAGCACAGTATGCTATCCTACTACCAGGCTCACAACAGTATGTGATGCTAGCATGTCGTTTCTAGACACCTCACCTCCCCCACCCACACTACACACCTGGGGTTGGTGTGTCCGTAGAACAGCACCAGGGGTGCCTCCTCCACCGTCCTGGCGCTGGCTTCTAGGGGTGCTTCCACTGGCGTGGCTGCTACTGCCCCCGGCACGGTCACACTGCTGTGAGCCACGTCTAGGTCCACGTAGGTGGGATGCCATTGCTGTCTGGCCGCCCAACACAGCAGCATTCTGGCCAGGGTTGACTTGCCGCTGTCAGTGGGGCCAACCAGCAGTACCCTGGGCACCTGAACAAGGGAGAAGAGGGAGCACGCACGGGAGGCACAGTGACAGTGACACTGCTGTGAGCCACGTCTAGATCCACGTAGGTGGGGTGCCACTGCTGTCTGGCCGCCCAGCATAGCAGCATGCGTGCTAGTGTGGACTTTCCACTATCGGTTGGGCCGACTAGAAGGACCCTGGGCACCTGAAACAGGGAGGAGGGAAGAGGAGAGACAGGGTGAGGGCGAGAGAGAGGGAGCACAGGAGGCACAGTGAGAGTGCTGTGAGCCACGTCTAGATCCACGAAGGTGGGATGTCACTGCTGCCTGGCCGCCCAGCACAGCAGAATACGTGCTAGAGTGGATTTGCCTGAGTCTGTGGGACCCACTAGCAGCACCCTTGGCACCTGAAAGGGCGGGAAGGCACAGTGACAGTGACACTGCTGTGAGCCACGTCTAGATCCACGTAGGTGGGATGCCAATGCTGCCTGGAATTCCTGAAAAACACACTCCTGCCCTCCCCAACCTGCATGAGAGGTTGCGAGAGGTGGATGGAGAACATCCACTCCACCTAAGACACTTGGTGAAAGAACTGCCACATGTTTGAATGAAGAAGTGTTTTGAGACGAGCACTTCAAATCACTTGTTCAAACGAGAGGTGGATGGAGAACATCCACTCCACCTAAGACACTTGGTGAAAGAAAGAACTACCTTGGTGAGGCCAGGAGAGTTCATCTTGTGCTCCAGCCAGCTTCTGCTTTTTGAGCCACCTAAGAAACTGAGAAAGTTTATGAGGCGCTTCTGAAAACCGAGGCATGCTTTTAGACGCTGCAAAACGCGAGAGAGACAGACTTTGAGGAGCCTCAAAGGAAGAATCACCTTGGTGAGAACGAGGGAATTGATCTTGTTCTCCAGCTGCTGCTTGTGTCGCTGCAAGCGCTGCAGCTGGTGCTGATACTGCTGCTGCTGATGGGGATGCTGCTGCTGCTGCTGCCGTTGCTGATGTTGATACTGCAGCTGCTGTTGCTGCTGCTGCAGCTGTGCCAACTGCTGCTTTGCACGCATGAGGCTTCTTGCTGCCTCCACTCGCCGCACGTTCAGAACCGCGTGAAGATTCAGATAGCTCACCATGGGGGTCTGGGGGGGAGGAAGGGGGAGTGAGGTAAGGGGGGGAAACAGCAGGCGGGTTGGGCGCGCATGAGGCTCCAAGCTGCCTCCACTCGCCGCACGTTCAGCACCGCGTGGAGATTCAGGTAGCTCACCATGGGGGTCTGGGGAGTGGGGAGTGGGGAGTGGCTTTGGGGGATGGCGAGGGGTAAGGTGGGGAAACAGCAAGGTGGGTGGGGAGGTACGAGGCTCCTAGCTGACTCCACTCGCCGCATGCTCAACATAGCATACATGGCACCTGACAGTGCTTGCGAAACCAAAGACAACACATGCACGTGCACACCTCACGCAGCCCCCTACATATTCCGCTTCCCCGCTTCCCCTGCCCTCTTCCCACCTCGTCTGCTGCATACATGGCATCCGGCAATGTTGGCGACCCAAAGAGACACACACACACACCCCACACGCACCCATACATCTTCCCCTACTCCGCCCCCCCTCTTCCCACCTCGTCTGCTGCATACATGGCATCCGGCAATGTTGGCGACCCAAAGAGACACACACACACACACCCCACACGCACCCATACATCTTCCCCTACTCCGCCCCCCCTCTTCCCACCTCGTCTGCTGCATACATGGCATCCGGCAATGTTGGCGACCCAAAGAGACACACTCGGACTCACAGAAACTGATAGCCGCACTCATACTCACAATCACACTCACACCCCCCTTCCTATTCCCCCACCTCATCACCTGCATACATAGCATCCGGCAGTTTTGGCAAACCAAAGCCACACCAAACACCGCACCCGGCCCCCTCCCTTTCCCAATCCCTCCTCCCATTCCCAATCCCCCCCCGTCTCCCCCTCCTCCCCCATACCTCGTCAGCTGCATACATGGCATCGGGCAGTGTTCGCAACCTAAAGACACTCACACAGAACACTCACACACAGAACACTCACACACTGACAGTCGCTCACTCACACACTCACAGTCGCTCACTCACACACTCACAGTCGCTCACTCACACACTCACAGTCGCTCACTCACACACTGACAGTCGCTCACTCACACACTGACAGTCGCTCACTCACACACTGACAGTCGCTCACTCACACACTGACAGTCGCTCACTCACACACACAGTCCCCCTCCCCCTCCTCCCCCATACCTCGTCTGCTGCATACATGGCATCCGGCAATGTTGGCGACCCGCGCACCTCCAGACTGCACCCATGCCAGGTGAACACCTGAGGGGGGAAAAGGGGGGGGGAGGTGAGTGGAGTGGAGGGGACTGTGAGTGTGAGTGAGTCAGTGTGTGTGATGCCTGCTGAGTGTGAGTGAGTCAGTGTGTGTGATGCCTGCTGAGTGCGAGCATACATGGCATCCGGCAATGTTGGTGACCCGCGCACCTCCAGACTGCACCCATGCCAGGTGAACACCTGGAGAAGGGAAGTAGTTGTGAGCGGGAGACGAGGAGAGGAGGGGTAGAATAAGGGGCGAACGGGGATATGTCAATACACCCGCGCACCTCCAGACTGCACCCGTGCCAGGTGAACTCCTGAGGGGGAGAGGGGGGGGGGGTGGGGGGAGGCGAGTGGAAGTGGGGAGAAGGGTTAGAATAAGCAGGGGAAGGAGATATGCCAATACACCCGCGCACCTCCAGATTGCACCAGTGCCAGGTGAACACCTGGCGGGGAGAGAGGGGGAGAGGGGTCGAGGAGGCATTCGGGTGAGGGGGGGTATACCAAAAAGGGAGAGCGGGCAAGGAGGAAAGGGATAGGACATAATCACCCCCGTTTCCGTTCCGTCATTCCCCCGTTCCCTGGTTCCCCCATTCCCCCATTTCACTGGTTCCCCCATTCCCCCTGTTCCCCCCGTTCCCCCATTTCCCCAGTTCCACAGTTCCTTCCTTGTTCCATTCTCCCCGTCTTCTCCACTCCTCTTCCCCGACTCTCCGCCCCCCTCCCTCCCTCCGCCCTCTGCCTTCCGCCTCACCTCCGCCCTCTGCCCACGGGTCCCCGCCTGCTCTTCCCCTGCGCACCCACGCACCGCGAATTTCTCCGCGCCGTCGAAGGTGACGTTTTGCCTGACCGCGATCTCGGTGCGTTTTGAGTCGACTCCAAACACACCCCCCCGCCCGCCCGCTCTTCCCCTGCCCGCCACCCACGCACCGCGAACTTCTCGCCGCCGTCGAAGGTGACGTTTTGCCCGACCGCGATCTCGGACCCGAAGATCTCCGCCGTACCCGATACAAGCTTCACCGTTAGCTTCGCGTCCCACTCCACCTCGACGCGCAGCTCCGTCTCGCGCTCCAGCCGAAACTGCCGCACGCTCTCCCCCGCTTCCGCCGCCGCCGGCGGCGCCGACGCTGACGGCGGCGCGATTGCCGCAGCGGATTGGTTTGCGGCGGCTACGGCCGCCATTCGCGGGGGGAAATGGGGAAGGGGGCGGTGGTAGCGAAGTGTATAACGCTGCGACTCGCTATTTTCCGCTCGTTACGGGGGAAAGTGGGCATATGCTAATTTCCGTGACAATGGAGTTAGTATCGAATTGTGCCCGCCGCTGCTGCTTTGCGACTGAACGGGGATGGCGAAAATGTTACAATCCTATCTCCCTTCTCGACCTGATAAGTCCAAAAATAACCATTTGAATAACTCCGATTACACTCCACTACAGAACCAACTTCTCTACACTGTTTGTGCCAAACACCTTTTTTTTTGAAACGTGTACGCAGCTATTCAGTCTGATCTTAATGCAATTTTTTCCATTGATTCGTTAATATATATATATATATGAAGCTGATAAAAGAATGTTGGTGTCTGACAATAATTTTCCAAAGTGTGCACGCTTTCCTGGTAGCTGCGTCAACCAATTCCCACAGCATGAATCTGCACCTTATGCCTTTCCCCCCTTCAGCACAAATGTACACTTAAATCGATTATTATGAGTATTCCATTTCAGATTGCAAATAAAGAACCACCAGCAGGGAAACACACAGCTCAAATCTACCCAAGCTACTCCCAACCCAAAGCTACTAGCTCAGCTTCCGAACCCTGTATTTCCAAGTGTCTCAAACCGTTTCTGTGTATTTCAGCGCTATAAACAAAGTTGATCAATATATGTATTACCTCCAGTCAAACAGCAGCCCACGACAAAAGAAAAAAGTCCCTACAATTGGAGGGAAATGTTCACCAAGAGAGTGAACCTACACCCTGCACTTGCACACCAAGCCCCTACACATCAGGATCAACTACCACATTTCCCCTCAAAACAAGATCCAAAGCTAGGTATTCTTCAGCACATGCTGAACTGAGCTCCTTGTTACTGCTAGAATTTCCCGTCCCGTCCCGTGCCTACAGGCGCTTCCACCACGGCTGGATGAAGTCAAACTCGCCCTTGGCGCAACCAGCAGGGTTCGTCGCCGTGTTGAAAATCGCGTAGTAGTTCTTAGGGTTCTGCTTCATCGCGTCAACGGTGTCCTTCAGCGTGCCCGCGGCGACAGTAACGGTGCTCGCCTGGGTCCACTTACCCTTGAACTTGTACGAGTACGGAATGAACTTCTGAAGGAACTTGAACACGCGGAGCTCGTACGTGGCGTTCTTGTATGTCTGACCCGCGCCTATGTCGATTACGAGGCTGTTGTCGGCGACGCTGTTGATTGTGAACGCGGTGGGTTCCCCAGGCTCCTTGGATTCAGCCTCTCCGCCGAAGCGAATGTTGTAATCGTCGTCCTTCCTGTGAAACCATAAAACGCGAGAATATGCGGATTAGCATCGGAAGATTCGTAAAAAAATGTGACTACATTGCTTAATCGAGTTCGTTTGAAGGGAATTATGTTCTGCTACACTTTTTGCTGGTTCGCCATGCATAAAAATACTTGTTTTTTGACATTTTCACTCAACATTCACTCCCTGTCAGATCACCATCCATGAGCTTACTTGTAGATTGCCAGGTAGGCATAGCCGTCTGACATCTTATCGGCGCCGTCCACGTGGTCCAGCTCAGCATAGAGCGACCCCTGGTACGTTCCCAGGAACACGTCATTCTTCTCAATCTTCGCCAGCTGAGTGCGAACGCTCGCCGGAGGGCGCGCAAAACCTGCGATAAAACGCACGAAATCCGTCAGATTGTGTGCTATGAGAGAGTTCGCAGCGTTTGCATCCGTGGTTCAGTGAATAGTACTGCTGGTGACGTCATTGGACGGTGTGACTTGGCTAAGATACGGAGAAGGATTGCTTGTTAGCTCACCTACTGCGGCGAGGCATGCTAAAGTGACGACGAAAACCGCGACCTTCTGAGCCATGGTTGCCGTTTTCTGACGATTAAAGAAGCAGCCAGTAGTAAAAGGTGTAGTAGCAGCTTGTGTTGTCGAGAGGCTGAACGAATGCTGTGCGGAATGAATCAAGCTTGCTCGAATTTATACTTTCTAGTGATTTTGAGATTCAATCTCACACTTCGGCGCGCCGCATTTCGAGTCGCGACGTTTTGCGTGGAGCACGAGCACGCCACCGAACAAGGGAAGTGAAATGCCACATCGTGAGAGTATTTCCTTAGGCCGGTGAAAAACTTGAGGCTGGATATGTGACAATATCGACCTCCTTGCCCTACAATATACTACGCGTTCCAAATCTGGTAGGAACCTATGCCTAGCCCTTGTCCCTACACAATGGCTGGTCACCAACTCCTAGGTGGAATAAGACACCGCAATTCTACCATGCATAAAATTACATATTACATTCAAAACACTAGAGATCCTAAAGGAATTACTTGGTGGACATTCAAAACACTAAACATTTTGTGAAGTTAATTACTAATGTTGATGAATTGATACCAAGCATTTGGGCATTAGCCTCAAAGCAGGACCTTTGTTATAGGCAGTATGTGGCCTGTTGTCGATTCCTTCTCACTCCTCTTTTCCTTCCTCTCTGCGATGTATTAAGTGTGTATTGATATGAAAGTCTTGAAAGCAATGCGGACTAACATAACAAGGTAGTATTTCATACATCATTAGTCGAGATACATCGACAGCCAACTTATTTTCGGCCAAACTGCACAATAATTGGTTTACCATGCAACACAAGTCCAAGTGTCGTATCCTGCAGAAAGTATGTTTCAAACATCATTGTATAGCACTTGAAAGAGGGTTAAGCATCCACTCCAGCCCATGACGGTCCACACTTGAGGAATTGATCAATAATGTACTGCAGTGTGACTTACCAAAGCTTCTGTAGCAAGCTCTGGAGTTGGAAGTGTTACAAATGCTTGGCCCTTCATCCGACCTTCCTATTGAAAGGTCCGTCCATTTCCTCACATCACACGTAGAAATCAGAATGCAGACATCAACTCACGCGCAGGTGGCAGGATGGAGGCATGTAAAGGGAAGATGGGCAAGGGGAGTTGATGGGGTGGGGGAACACATGCAATGCTCTTAAGGGGTGGTAAGAAAAATACATCACAAGTTACTTGGGCTAAAAATAGGTTCAGGGATAGGCATGAGCATTAGGAAAGGGGCGGGGGTGCGGGGCTTGGAAAAGAGAACCATTCTAACTCTCTCGATCAAAACTACACACCGAGGTTCAGGGTTCACAGAGGGTCACGAAATATCCAAATGGCAACATAAGCCACCAGACCAGCATACCTGCATGAGTCGAACTCCAATCTTTGACTTCCAGTCAAGGTCGCCGGGGAGGAATGCTCCTGGCAACCCAGGGAGATATGGACGGGTGAGGAACCATGGCATGGGAAGAACAGGGGGGAAGCATACATGAACGGAAAGCGAATGTATATATATATATATATATATATATATAATGTATACACATATAGATGTACATATACATCATAAGATTTTCGAGCCGACTAAAAGGCCGTTACATTGCATGCACAGCAGGTGAGATAAGATTGGTTTAGACACGTCTCAAAACCAATCTTAAATCACGTGAGTGTACTTGAGTTTTATGGTATGGCCATTAGCAGGAGACGATTCTTCGGGCACCTCAAGACACAGCAGGTGAAAACAGATAAGTTTGATGGCATGCCAATAAGCGGTTACGGAATATTGTATACATGTAAGAAAAGAGGTGTTCACTGGTAGACACGGACCATGATGTGGTAGACACGGACCATGATGTGGTAGACATGGACCATGATGTGGTAGACATGGACCATGAAGTAGTGAAACTGAGAGGTTCGTGCATTCCTATAAGGTATGTACAAAGAGAGCGATATCACATGGGTGAATACGAGTAAATGAAGCCTTGCTGACTGATGACTGACTGAATGACTGACTGAATGACTGACTGACAAACTCACTGATTCTCCCACTCACTGATTCTCCCACTCACTGATTCAGACTCACTCACTCACTCACTGACTCTCCCAATCACTGATTCACTGACTCACTCACTCACTGACTCTCCCACTCACTGATTCACTGACTCACTCACTCACTAACTCTCCCACTCACTGATTCACTGACTCGCTCACTCACTCACTCACTGACAGTACAAGAGAAGCGTGACAGACTGAGTGCGAGTGAAGGTGACTGATTGAAGATACAAAACAAATAGTTTGTGGTGGCGGGTTTGGCGATGTTCTTTATATACAGCCGGTCAGACCACTCTGAGCTTGTTTTGAGACGTCTCAAAACACGCTTTATGTACAGCCGGTCAGACCACTCTGAGCTTTGAGACGTCTCAAACTCGACTGACCGAAGATACGGAACAAATCGTTGGTAGTGGTGAGCTTGGCGATGTTCTTTATATACAGCATGGGAGATGACTCGCCCCTCTCTTGAAGCGCCTAATGAAGGTGATTGACTGACTGATTGACTGAGAGAACCCAGTGACTGACTGACCAAAAGTACGAACGAGGTCGGTGGTGGTGGCAGCCTTGGCAATGCTCTTTATGTGCAGCGTGGCACATGGCTCGCCCCGCTCTTTGAGGCGCCTCAACAAGGTGCCTGACTGAAAGTCTGAGAGCACGAATGGAAGTGAGCGAGACTAACTTTTTTGAGACGTCTCAAAAATACTCTTGCTTCGAAGGTGCCTGAGTGAAGTCTGAGAGTACGAATGGAAGTGACCGAGACTAACTGACCAAATATACGGAACAAGTCGGCGGTAGTGGTGGGCTTGGCGATGTTCTTTATGTACAGCGTTGCACATGGCTCGCCCCTCTTGTAGTTCTGCACTCACACACATGAACACACATGCACACACATGCACACACATGCACACACATGCACACGCACACATACACACACACATATACACCACACACACACACACCCACACACACCCCCACACACACACATATACACCACACACACACCCACACACACACCCACACACATACACACACACACACACACACACACACACACACACACACACACACACATGCATTCATACATGAGAAACTGACCACTCATATGCAGGGCGCACACATGAAATCTGGAACGGAAAACCAACTGACTTAAACAAAACGGTGCCATTCGTTTCCCACCTTATACGCTGCACACTCCAGCAACTGCTCCCCTCTCAGCTGCTGCCTCCTCAACCCATCTAGTGCAAGCGCACACATTGTGTGTGCACCAATAAACACTTATGTGCGTGCACACATCAGTTTCTCACCTTATACGCTGCACACTCCAGCAACTGCTCTCCTCTCAGCTGCTGCCTCCTCAGCCCACATTGTGTGTCCATATTTACAGTAAGTGCACCAATTGTACAACAGTTTCCCACCTTATACGCTGCACACTCCAGCAACTGCTCCCCTGTCAGCTGCTGCCTCCTCAACTCCTCCAAAGTGGCCCTGTTCTCATCCCCCTCCCCTCTCCAATCCTCCTCACTCCCCTCCTCTCTCAGATCCTCCTCACGCCTGACCTCTCTCTCCTTATCCACACCATCTGCCAAACTGCACGTCTCTCTATCACCCCCCTTCTCCCCCACATTTGTCCTCTCCCTTTTCCCCACATCCCCTTCCTCTGCCTTCGCCTTGGTTCCCCCCTCGTCATATATCCGGATTTCCTTGTGCCCGTCCGTGTATTTTCCCCTTCCCTCCTCGAAACCAGCTCCATCCTGCCGCCGTCCCTCCTCCACCCCATCCAACTCCAAAATTGCCTCTGCCACTGCACCGCTCTCCTTTTGTCCGCCCGTTGTCATCGCATCTCGTCCCGTCAGTGTCACCATAACCTCCTGGTCTGTTAATGACACCCCAATATCTTGGTCTGTCACTGCAGCATTGCTTTCAGCTGCCCTGCCCTCGTGAGTTCTTGGCTTTTTTTTCTCTGGCCGCAACTGGATCTGAGAATCGGCGGGGAACACGACGGTCAGCAGGGCAGGGAGGCAGAGACAAACACTTTATTCATATGGCCTTTGAGCGTCTCAAAAGACACCATATTGACATGGAGAGTGCATTTTATCGCCCGCCTTGGCCCAACCTTTCCTTTCCAGCCTTGCTCTCGGATTCTTTCTTCTGTTGACGCAAACTGAATCTGACAATGCTGAAAAAGGACAGTGCAGCAGCAGGGAGAGAGGGGGCATACACAAAAAGAACATCCAACCAACTGCATTAAGTAATGTACCCTAAAATGCTGCAGAAGCCGGAATTTACCTGCAAAACAGGCGTCCTTTTCTTGACCACCAGCCCTGCCCGTCCCGCAACCCTTCCTCCATTTCCTGCAACCACCTTTCTCACTCCAGCTCTCTCCAGCCGCTTCTCCTCGCCTTCCTCCCACACACCCTCATCCCCTCCCTCCTCCTCCTCTTCTTCCTCCTCCACCTCTCCTCTCTTCCTTGTTCTGATAACTCCGCCTCCCTCCCTTCTTTCTGCTATGGGAAGCACGACACCCCTTCCGCCATCTCTACCACCACCAACACTGGAATCTGTCTGTGCTGGGAAAAGCCCAGGAGGTTTGGGGCGGGAAGCTGTGCTTCGAGGAATTTCAAGAGTCGCATTGGATGGGGTGGCAGCTGCTGCTGGTATGGATGATTGTGCGCTGAGGGGCTGTGACGGCGTTTCGAGAAGGCTTGTGACAGGGCGGGGCGTGGAGGGCGGGAGGCGGGAGTCATTGACTGAAGAAGGGTTTTGAGACGTCTCAAAACCCTTCTTCAATCGGGTGGCAGCTGCTGCTGGTATGGATGATTGTGCGCTGCTGAGGGGCTGTGACGGCGTTTCAAGGAGGCTTGTGACAGGGCGGGACGCGGAGGGTGGGAGGCGAGAGGCATTGACATCAGCAGCGGCAGTTCGTACGGTGCTTTTCGGCATCAGAAGGCTTGCATCGGACGGGGTGGTGACGGAATGTGCTGGTGGCAAGGGCGACTGTGCTCTGAGGGGCTGTGAGGGCGCCTCGAAGGGGCTCGTGGTGGGTTGGGAGGAGGACGCGGCGGCACTGACGGTGCTTTGAAACGCCCCAGGACTAGGATTTGATGGGATGGAACGTGGTGGTGGCGCTGCTGCTGTTGGCAAGGGCGACTGTGCTCTGAGGGGCTGTGAGGGCGAATCAAAGGGGCTCGTGGTGGGTTGAGAGGAGGAGGCGGGCGATGCAGCGAAAGCAGCAGCGGGTGAGACGGTGTGTGGCAGGGGAGCATGAGAGGGAGATGGGGCAGGAGAGGGAGAGGGGAGTGGACGGTGCGTGGGTGGTGGAGGGAAGGGAGAAAGTGCGGGAACGAAGGGTGAGGGAGGGAAGGGCGTAGAAGGGAACGGGGTAGGGTGACGGAAATATGAAGGATGAAAAGGAAGAGGTGCCAGGGAGGGGGGTCTCTGTGTAAAGGGAGGATAGGAGGGTAAGGGAGCGAGGGCAGGGCGGCTTGACGGTGGATGGGGGGGCTGCCATTGCAATGAGTGGGATGGTTGAGGTGGCTGGGGTTGTTGGGGTGGTTGGGGTTGGGGATAAGATGGTTGGGGTGGTTGGGGTTGCGGGTAGGGTTGTCGTGGCTGGGGTGGTAGCGGTTGGGGGTAAGGTGGTTGGGGTGAGACGGTTGTTGGGCCTTGGCAGGAGGTTGGATGGGAGTCAGGAGGTGGTGGGTTGGAAGGGCTGAGGTTATGTGGTGCGCATGGTGGTCGTGGTGACGGCTGCAGTGCGGTAGGATGCTGTGCGGTGGGGTGCGGTGTCATGGACTGCAGGGACATAGGAAGGACGACTGGGCCGAAGGGAGGCGGCAGGCTCATCTTGTTCATCAAGTGCAGCACCTGGGAGGGATGAATAGGAGGGAGTAGAAGGGACAGGGAGATGACGGGAGGTAGGGAGTGATTTTAAAAAGCAGGGACAGGGGTTGGAGGCAGGCTCATCTTGTTCATCAAGTGCAGCACCTGGGAGGGATGAATAGGAGGGAGTAGAAGGGACAGGGAGATGACGGGAGGTAGGGAGTGATTTTAAAAAGCAGGGACAGGGGTTGGAGGCAGGCTCATCTTGTTCATCAAGTGCAGCACCTGGGAGGGATGAATAGGAGGGAGTAGAAGGGACAGGGAGATGACGGGAGGTAGGGAGTGATTTTAAAAAGCAGGGACAGGGGTTGGAGGCAGGCTCATCTTGTTCATCAAGTGCAGCACCTGGGGGGATACACGGGAGGGAGCGGGAAAGTAGGGAGGGTTAGAGAGAGGAAGGGAGGCAAGAAATCAGTTGGAGTGTGGCAGGCCAGGAAGGGAGGCGGCAGGCTCATCTTGTTCATCAAGTGCAGTGCAGCACCTGGAGGGTGGGAAGAGAGGGGGGAGGGAGGGATCAAATATCGGAGCAGAAAAAGTGAGGAGCGGAGGAGGCAGGTTCATCAAATGCAGCAACTGGGGGGATGCATGCACGGGAGGGAGCAGGGAAGTGGGGAGGAATGGTAAGAGGAAGGGAGCTAAGGAGTTGGTCAAAGTGTGGCGAAGTAAGAAGGAGAAAGAGGCGGCAGACTCATCTTGTTTATCAGATGGAGCAGCTGGGGATGGAAAGAGAGGGAGGGGGTCAGACAGGGAGAGAAAGGGAGGTAGGAAGCAATTGAAGATTGGGGCAAAAAAATGTATCGCTGGAATGTCTCTTAATGAGCATGTTAATTTTTGAGACGTCTCAAAAACAACCTCGCTACACAAAGAGATGTATCCCTGGAATGTCTCTTAATGAGCATGTTAAGCTACGACGAGCGCAAGCCAGAGGTATTTGAGTATTCTTTCACCCCATCCCACATCCCACCACGCCACACCACACCTGCGTGTCAGCAGGGTCGGTCCAGCATACCTGTTTGTAGAGGCGAGGAGATGATCGCGAGCGAGCGAGAGCTATATCATTTTTTGTCAACCCCAACACACCACACCGCACCACACCACACCACACCACACCACACCGCACCACACCACACCACACCGCACCACACCGCACCACACCGCACCACACCTGCGAGTCATGACGGTCGGGCCAGCCCAGCCTACCTGCGTGTATAGGCGGGGTGTGGCGATGAGTGCAAGAGCAATGTTGATGATGGTGGGAGCAGACGGAGGAGGGTACGCGTACCTGGTACGAGGGGAAACGGGGGGTTACGAGAGAAGGGGGAGAAATGGTGGGGAATGGAGAGGGACAAGGGGTTGTTTCTCAGAGTTCTTACTAGTGCACATGATGAACGGCAGGCAGGCAGGCAGGCAGGCAGGCAGGCAGGCCTCGTGAAGCAAAAGCTGCAGCTCGCGGAAAGGCTGCAGCATGTGCAAGGGTTGCGTGAAGAGGAGAGAGTGTGGAAAAAAGGGGGTGTGGGAACAGGACCACAGACCTAAAGTGTGGGGGAGGAAAGGGATAATAGCTCCCTTCCTCCAAACAGCTTTCTCCCTCCCCCCCTCCTGCTGCTGAATGGCTTCCCCTTTCTGCGTGCACCTCCCTTATAGGCAATGCTGCTTCGTCCCTTCTCTCTTCAACCCTCTCCTTCCCTCTGCTTCCCAATCCCAGCTGTTGGCCCACTGCTTCCTCTGCACCTGTCATCCCCTTCTCTTGGTCAATAGTATTTTCTCTCACAATAAGTTGTTCCTGCCCTGCTGCTGCTGCTGTTGCTCCCTCTCCTTCACGCCTTTGTGAAACCAGCTGTTCTTGCTCGCTGAAAGCCATGAGGGCATGCAGCAGGCGGCGGAGAGAGGGGTCAGTGAAAGGCCTTTGCTGTAACGGCGGCGGTGGTGGTGGTGATGCCTCCCTGTGTGCTCCATGCTTGTGAGCAGTAGAAGGAGCAGCAGCAGAAGAAGGAATGACAGGTGTGGAGTGCGGTTCAGTGCAGTCAGCTGAATGAGGGGGGAAGTAGTGAGCTGATAGGTTGTTGCTTCCCATGCGGATGCTGTTGGTCGGGGAGGGAGCGAGGGAAGAGGGAAGAGGAGTGGGGAGTAGAAAAATAAAAAGTTCGGTGATTGTTCCTTCTAGCTGTAGATAGGAAAAAGAAGCAGCATAAGGGGAATGAGAAGGCACAGCTTGCTACCAACAACTTCTCATACCCCTTATGCTACCCCTGCTAACAAGTGAGTAGAGTACGCAGAAAATTAAAAAACTTACCCGTGGAGTGTGCAGAGTGGAGAGCAAAAAGCTTACCCATGGAGTTGTTTCTTAGCCGAGACTGCCTCACTCTGTGCCTTGAAACGCACATACACCACCCCCTTGCTCCTGGTGGGAAGGAACCACGAGATTTCACGGGAGGGGGATCGAAGGTGTGGGGGTGAGGCTACTGAATTGCTTCATAGCACACATATGCACCACTCTCTTGCTCCGCAATTCTCCCTGCTGATATGTAGCTGTTGTGCCAATCCGTTACACCACTCTCTTGCTCTTGGTGTTGGGTGGAGAAACGAAGGCCAGCTTTTGGAACTGAAGAGCTGGAGAAGAGCTGACATTTAATTTGACCAAACGGTCACTTAACGGCCACTCAACGGCCAGTCAACGGCCAGTCAACGGCCAGTCAACGGTCAGTCAACGGTCAGTTAACAGTCCGTCAATGGTCGATCGACTGTCCATCAACGGCCAATCAACGGTCACTTTGCTCCTGCACATTCAGTTCTCCGTGCTGCTGCTGATGAGCTGACACTGATATGGGTCAATCAGCAGCAACAACGCATGCACCATAAACGATATGATAAAATCGACTTGAGACGTCGGAAAACATAGTAGTTATCACGCAGCAACGCATTCACCATCCACGCGTCCACCACATGCTACTCTCCCACCTGCTAACCACTTCCACCGCTCCAAACCGCTGCAGCAGCCGATCCAGCACTTCCTGACTCGCCGTCGCCGGCACGTGCTTCAATACAAGCACATGGTCGCGGCCCTCGCTCTGCCTCGATACAAGCACATGGTCGTTGCGCTCGCTCTCCTTCGATACAAGCGCATTATCGCTGCTATCCATCAGAATCTCCCCGCTTCGGACCCAGAGAACGTACTGAACGCACTATTTCCTGCTCTTTCCCGAGGGAGCGTACTGCTTAAAAATACTCTAAAAATAGTTTCCAGTACCTAGTTCGCTGAATGCTCTAATATCAGTTATTATGCTAATTCATGGCTTTCTGGTCGTATCTGTCGATCAAGCAAGGAAAAGAACCGTTGAATTCAATGGCGGCGTGATCAGCACATTTACGTTGGACGGATGCACCCGAATCCCATTCGACCTGACCCAACCTCATCTCACCCGTCCTGATCTGATTCGACTCCCACAAAACTACGATTTCTCTAGTTGTTCAGTTTCGCATAACAATGACCCGTTTGACGGTGCTCCGCTACAAGAATTCAGTGGCTACTCTGACATGCCATTACAGTTGTCTGAAGCCTGATAAGCTTGTACTCAATTGAGTTGAGCTGTGTACAAAGTATAATTTGAAGAAAGGATAACATATAAGATGATAAACGGACTTGGTGAGTAGCACAGCATAATGTACATACATAGTGCATCCATACAAAATCATAATCACGTGCTTTCATTACTTCTCTCAACCAGACGATTGGCCACCACCAAATGTGGCATTGCGTGACCTCAGAGCTGCGGTCAATAGAGTGTGTTTCGATGGAAGCTCATCCTCGTCAAACTTTATCCTGAAACCCAAAGCGGAGGGGACAAGGAGAGGGTTGCAAGTTGCAGTCGTGAGCCATGCTCCAAGGCCAGGAAGGAAAGAAAGAAAGCATGTCCAAGCATGCACATGGGCCATCTCTTGAATCAGACATATATGCCCGAATGCTGACCTCGCATGGCTGAGGCTGGTGAGGCGGTACATGCTGAGAGACACATGGATATGCATGTGGCATGGATACACGAATCATCATGCACTCATGCATGCATGCTGACCTGGCATGGCTGAGGCTGGAGAGGCGGTACATGCTGAGAGCCACGAGGATATGCAGGCCGATGGAGTAGAAGAAGACAAACGTGCGCGCATACCTGGGAGAAGGGAGGGAAGAGAGGAAGCTTTTCTTCAAATTTATATTTCCCCCCCCCCCCCCCCCCCCAAAAAAAAAAAAACATCAGGCGCCACAGAGGACGTCAGAAATGTGTGCATACGTGGGAGGGCGCAAGGGAGGGAACAGAATATGATTCTTGGGAAAGTGCGAAGGATGCAAGAGGAGAGAGGAGTAGACACATGGGAGTGGACACAAGGACGTGGACACATGGGCATGGACACATGGATGTTACAAGATCTGCCAATATGCACGCGGACAGAAACTGTGTGATACAACTTTTGAGTCGACTCAAAAACTGTGTGATACAAATTTTGGGTCGACTAAAAAACTGTGTGATACAACTTTTGAGTCGACTAAAAAACTGTGTGATACAACTTTTCAGTCGACTCAAAAACTGTGTGATACAACTTTTGAGTCGACTCAAAAACTGTGTGATACACAGTTTGAAAGGTGAGGCTGGCAAAGGGTGGTGTGGATGGAGACAGGGCGGGAGGAAAAAGGAAGGAGGAGATGAAATGAGTGGAGGAATGAAACTAGATGAGATGAGGGACTGACTTGTTGGAGAGGAGGAATTTGCCGCTGGTGAGGGTGATTCTGTCTCGCAGACCCAGGTCCCTTACCCGCTGCTCCCTCTCCTGTTCACATTGCATCCGTAGCGAAGCAGCAATTGGGGTGACATGCATAAACGTACACATGACAAGTCACGAGATGATGAGAGAAACTGTGGAGCACTGTAAAGGAACCCATGATACTCCCACCCCCACGCTCACAGCCTGAGAAAATCATATTCTGAGGCACGTGCACACAGTGTGACAGAAACTAAGGAACAGCATAACGCCAAGTAGCAACATAGGCCCATTACTGTGGCGCATAATCGATTTGCATAGGAACACCGGCGGCCGCCGCAGTCGCAGCCGCAGCAACAGCAGCATAACATTTCTGCAGTACTTGAGCAGTACCTTGGTGGAGAAAGCAGCGAACGGGTTGATTGTCTCCTCGTAGATCTTCTTGTACTTGCCCTCCACGTCCGCTGCTGGACCCGCCTCGAGGTCACTCTGGTGTGGTGTGATGGAGGCGGGGCGTGGGGTAGAGGATGGAGAGCGCAAGGGAAAAAAAGAGGGGGTTGATTGTCTCCTCGTAGATCTTCTTGTACTTGCTCTCCACGTCCGCTGCTGGACGCGCCTCGAGGTCACTCTGCTTCGGTGTGATGGAGGCGGGGCGTGGGGTAGAGGATGGAGAGTGCAAGGGACAAAGAGAGAGGGTTGATTGTCTTGTCTCCTTGTAGATCTTCTTGTTCTCGCTCTCCACGTCCGCTGCTGAACCCGCCTCTATGTCACTCTGACGGTGGATGGAGGGGAGAGGGGAGAGAGGGTGCAGTGCAGATGGGCAGGTGCGTGAAGGATGCGAATCGTCAGAAAGGGGAGGGGTTTATGACTTTTCGCACGTAGCTCATGCACTCACACAGCTTCACGTTGCCGGCATTCAACCAGCGTTACCCCCATACAGATACACGTCCACTGTAGCACCGCGCGTATGAAGATAGGTTTTGAGACATCTCAAAACCAATCTTCATACACGTTGCTCACACAGCTTCACGTTACCGGCATTCAACACCCAGCGTTACCCCCATACAGATACACGTCCACTGTAGCACCGCTGCTCACACATACCTTCCTGGATCGACTACTGTTGGCTCTGTCCCGTCCCCCTGCACTCGTGTAGTCCTGCACGTAGCGCATGCGCTCATACAGCTTCCTGTTGCCCACTGTCACCGTACCAGGGGCCAGAATAGCCACATGGGTCATGGGTACACACTTACCTTCCTGGATCGACTACTGTTGGGTCTGTCACCCCCCCCCTCCTCCAGCGCTCGTGTAGTCCCTGCACGTAGCACATGCGCTCGTACAGCTTCCTGATGTCCTTTTTCAACCGCTCCACCTCTGCTCCAGATGGTGAGATGGGCAGTACACATACCTTTCTGGATCGACTAGTGTTGGGTCTGTCCCCTCCCCCACCAGCGCTTGTGTAGTCCTGCACGTAGCGCATGCGCTCATACAGCTTCACGTTGTCTGCTTTCAACCGCTCCACCTCTGTCGCTAACTTGCTGCTCCTCTCCCTTTCTGCCCGCAGTTCCTGAAAATGAGAAACCAAGGGAGATATAGAGCCTAGCTTGTGTTTAAATGAAGAAGAAGAAAAAGTGCGTTGCAGGGCAAGGGATTGAGAATGCTTACAAGAAGAAGAGGAAGAAAAACGCAGTAGCAGGGGTGTGCCACGCCACAACCCCCCTCAAATATACTTTTTGAGAGTTCTCAAGGGCTACAACACCACAATGAGCACCGAATCACCACCATCACTATCGCCATCATCATCACCATCATCCACACATCACTCACCATTTTGCTGTCAGAATCTCTCCTGGTGCGATAATGCTGGAAACACTCCTTCTCCCATTCCCCTACCCTCACCTTCCCTCTCCTCCTCTGCCTTGCTGTCCAGCTCTCCCATTCGCTGCCTGAACCTGTCCCACTGCCATACACACACCACCACGAGCTAATGTGTTGTACGCTAAACACCCCCCTTCCATTCGCTTCCCTTGCTCTGCCCTCCCTCACCTCTTCCAGCTCTCCCATTCGCTGTCGGAACCTGTCCCGCTGCCCGCATACCACCATCAGCACCGAATCATCATCCACCAATCTGCTGCTGCCACCTGTAACACCACCATCCACACCACCACCACCGCTGCCGCCCGCTGCTCCGGGCATCGAGACAATGCTGCCAACGGACGCCGCCCGGTGCTTGTCCCGTGCGCCATAGCCCTTGAGAATGTCGTCCTCCAGTTTGCCTATGAGCGCCCTCTGCTCCGCCACTGTCCCTTCCAGTGCTACCAGCTTAGCTTTCGTTTCATCGCACTCCTCCTCCCTCTCACTTAGACGCATCTGGAGAGGGTGTTTGAAGGAATACGGGAGCAGGGGAATAAGGGAGGGGGGTGGATGCGAAGGGGCCCTTGAGAATGTCGTCCTCCAATTTGCCTATGAGCGCCCTCTGCTCTGCCACTGCCCCTTCCAGTGCTACCAACTTAGCCTTGGCTTGATCACAATCCTCCTCCTTCTCACTCCTCTCTCACGATCACACTCCTCCTGATCACCCCACTCCCGATCACACTCCTCCCGATCACACTCCTCCTACCTCTCACTCAAACGCATCAGGTGTGGTGTGTAAGAGGGCGGACGGAAGGAAGGAAGGAAAGCGGGGAAGGGGCGGCACAGGGGACGGCAGAGACAGGGAAGAGGGGAGGCACGTCATGTCAATAGGGCCCTTCCCTTGAGATGAAAATATCATCCTTCAGCCAGCCAATGAGAGGCTTCTGTTGGCCAACACAACACTCACTCTCATGTGTTTCTGACTGTGGTATGGTATGAGCAGGGAAGGCGAGGGGATGTGAGCCCCACTCCTGCTGCGCACCTTGACTTGGGTCAACTCGTGCTCCATCCGCTTGTTCTTCTCCAAAAGCAACGCCTCAAGCTTCTCAACGTCAGCCCCACTGCTGCTGCGCATCACTCCCCCTTCCCCTCCTTCCCTTTCCCCATTTGGTGCTTATGGACCTTGGGGCCTCCCATTGACCAGCGTTGACTCACCTTGACTTGAGTCAACTCGTGCTCCATCCGTTTGTTCTTCTCCAGAAGCAACGCCTCCAGTTTCCCAATGTCAGCCCCACTGCTGCTGCGCATCACTCCCCCTTCCCCTCCCCTTTTCCCACTGTCCCCATCTGCAGCAGCAGAGAGATCGGAGGACGATCCTGGACCGTTGGATGCCATGCCTGGTTCATCCCAGTCGTCCACTTCCACTGCATTGTACCCCACAGCCTAGGGGGCAACAGTGGATGTAGGGTGGGGTGGGGTGGGGAGCGGAGGGGGAGAATTGTTGAAGCCATGATCTTTCCGACATCTCTGTGGTCATAGTTGAAAGAGGACTTTTGAGGGGCCTCAAAAGTCGACATCTCTGTAGTTATAGTTGAAAGAGGAGCTCACACTCACACAAGGATAGAGCATACTCGAGTGACCGACCTTGCATTACCACCAAAACCCAGAGCACCACAGCCTGTGGAAAGGTCTCACCTGCAGGATCTTCACTTGCTTGCGCAGGTCCTCCCACTGCCTCTGTGTGGGCCTCGTTGCCAGCTCCGCTCTCAGCGCTCCAATGGACGACTCCTGGTGATGCGTGGGTGGGGGGGGGGGGGGGGGGGGGGGGGGGGGTGGGAGGTGTGAGAGACAGCAGCAATAGTCGAGACGTCTGGAAACTCTGTGCGGGCCTGGTTGCCAGTTCTGCTCTCAGTGCGGCTACAGACGCGTCGTCCTGGTGATGGTTGGGTGGGCGGTGTTGTGTTGTGTTGTGTGAGAGAGGCGCATTGCACCAATGGTTGAGTTGATGTGTATGCGGAGAGAGTGTGTGGGCCTTGTTGCCAGTTCCGCTCTGAGCACAGCTACAGACAACGACTCCTGGTGATGGGCGGGGTGGGGTGGGTTGTGTGAGAGCAATGCACTGCGAATCGTGCGACCTGTCCTGGATGTGGGAGGTGGGTGGTGAGATGTGAGATGGAAGAAGCCACCAGGAGGACATACAAGCCGAATGACCACCATCTTCATAATACCCACACACACCCACCTGGTCCTGCAGCAGCGCCTTGAGTCGCTTCACCTCCGCCCTCTGCTCCTCCCTCTCTCCCATCAACCTGCCTTGATCGGCAACAGTTGACACAGCAAATTGTCTTGCCCCATCCCACCCACCCCACACTATCAGCCCAAACGCCCACCTGGTCCTGCAGCAGCGCCTTGAGTCGTTTCACCTCCGCCCGCTGCTCCTCCCTCTCAGCCGCCCCTGCTGCCTCCAGGGCGTGCAGCTCCTGATGCAGCGATGCTATCACCGCCTCCTTTGCCCTCACTGCCGCCTCCCACCCCACCGCTCCACTGCTGTCCGTGCTGTATAGGAAAGCAGGGGAGTGCGGGTGGGGGACGATGTGCGGAAGAGTGACAGGAAAAACAAGGGGTAAGGGTATGGGACTATCCTATCCACCCCTCTCCGCCGCCCCTGCTGCTTCCAGGGCGTGCAGCTCCTGATGCAGAGATGCTATCACAACCTCTTTTGCCCTCACTGCCGCCTCCCACCCAATGGCCCTGCTGCTGTCCGTGCTGTGGGCTGTGCAGTCTGCCCATGTGCCGACTCTATCTATACAGGTGAAACGAAGCGCGCTGTATGAGTGCACATAAGGTAGAGCAGTAGCAGCTCACCTCACACCATCTGCTGCTTCACTGGGCTGTGCAGTCTGCCCATGTGCCGACTCTATCTATACAGGTGAAACGAAGCGCGCTGTATGAGTGCACATGAGGTGGCGGCAGCAGCAGCTCACCTCACACCATCTGCTGCTTCACTGGGCTGTGCAGTCTGCCCATGTGCCAACTCTATCTATACAGGTGAAACGAAGCGCGCTGTATGAGTGCACATGAGGTAGAGCAGCAGCAGCTCACCTCACACCATCTGCTGCTTCACTGGGCTGTGCAGTCTGCCCATGTGCCGACTCTATCTATACAGGTGAAACGAAGTGCGCTGCATGAGTGCACATGAGGTGGCGGCAGCAGCAGCTCACCTCACACCATCTGCTGCTTCACTGGGCTGTGCAGTCTGCCCATGTGCCGACTCTATCTATACAGGTGAAACGAAGTGCGCTGTATGAGTGCACATGAGGTTGGGCGGCAGCAGTTCACCTCTCGCCATCTGCCACTTCACTAGGTTGTGCAGTCTGCAGCTGCGCCTTTAGAGCTTTAGAGAGGTGAAAGCAAGTGCGCATGAGTGCACATGAGGTGGCAGCAGAAACAGCAGGAATTGGTAATAGCAGCTCACCTCTCGCCATCTGCTGCTTCACTAGGTTGTGCAGTCTGCAGCTGCGCCTTTAGAGCTTCCTGGAGGGGGGAGAGAGCAGTGCGTGCAGGGGGAGAGAGGGGGGCGGACAGGTTAGGGAAGACGCAACAGGCCACTGTATCCCACTGTATCCCTCTGTACCACACCTCTCGATCTCTTCCCCCCGCTCACCTTCTCTCTCTCAGAAGGCAGCAGTCGCGTGTCAGAACTTAGGCTTAGAATTGATGCATTAGTAATGAGCTTGAAGCTCTTTAAGTACATCCAAGAAGGGCAAGGAATGGATGGGGAAGGGAATTCGGGGCAATCCCTAGGGATTGGGGGTAATCCCAAGGCAATCTCCAATTGGTGAGTTGGAGATTGCTTGGAGATTACATTTGGGTTTGGTTGGGATGTAGGTGTACACCCAACCAAACACAAAGTGCAAACTACACTACTCTAGGATATAGGAAATATAAAGTACAAAGTGTGAGATTGAGGGCTAACACTAACATCGCGACTATGCTTGCTCCTCCTGTCCACATTCCAATACGCTTTGCTTTCCCTCTCCTCACCCAGTGCACCTCAAGCTCCCACCCCGCTCACCTTCTCTCTCTCTCCAGCGCCAGCAGCCGTGCCTGGGTTCGCTCCACCTCGTCTGATCCGCCTTGCTCTCTCTCACCTCCTACCCCGCTCACCCAGTGCATTCCTACCTCCCATCCCGCTCACCTTCTCTCTCTCCAGAGCCAGAAGCCGCGCCTGAGCTCGCTCCACCTCGTCGGTCAGCAAATTCACCTCGCCCTGCTTCGACGCGCGATCCTCCTCTGATGGACGATAGCACAAGGGAGTGAGGGTGGGGGAAAAGGACAGGGGAGAGCGATGGGGGTGAGGGAAGGGAAGAGGGGCTTTTGAGACGTCTCACTGATCCACCTCGTCTGTCAGGCGGTTCACCTCGCCCTGCTTTGATGCCCACTCCTGCTCTGATGGGGGTGAGGGAGAATGGAACGGGGAGCAACGGGGAAGAGGGAAGGGAAGAGGGGCTTTTGAGACGTCTGACTGCTTCTCCTCGTCTGTCAGGCGGTTCATTTCACTTCTCCCTTCTTTGATGCGCGCTCCTCCTCTGATGGAAAGGCAAGAGGGGATATAGCAGCAGGGAGGGGAGAGGGAGGAAAAGCTATGCAAGCCCATCATTTCAAGGTTCCCATGTGGTTTTCTGAAAGCCTTGACGTGATATGATATCCGACTCGAGTTCAATCAAACAGCTGTAATTGGCTCATCCCGTGCGCGTGTAATGAGTCGTGTTTTGGGTCGAATCAAAACATGATATCCAACTTGAGTTCTATCAAACAGCTGTGACTGGCTCATCTCGTGCAGGCGCTGCATGTTGCTCACTCACAATTGCTGCTGCTGCTATGTTGTGCTGTGTTGTGAAATTAGGATGCCCTATTGGGAGTTTACACTGCACGGCCACCTGACTGAGCCTTGAGCTGGAACAGCTGCAACTGGCTCATCTCGTGCAGTCGCTGCATGTTGCTCACTGTCTCGACCACCTGGCCGTGATGCTGCTATAATGTGCTGGGATGTGAAACTAAAATGTCCCATTCGTAGTTCACGCCCACCAGACTGAGCCTTGAGCTCGAACAGCTGCGACTGGCTCATCTCGTGCAGCCGCTGCATGTTGCTCACTGTCTCCCTCGCTGCCCTCAGCTGCTGGTACATTGTGCTGTGAAACTACCACTGACTGAGTAAGCCATTTAAACCTACCTGACTGCGCCTTGAGCTCGAACAGCTGCGACTGGCTCATCTCGTGCAGCCGCTGCATGTTGCTCACTGTCTCCCTCGCCGCCCTCAGCTGCTCCTGCAGTGCATCCTCCCTGTTGACGGAGGGAGGACAGAGGGGAGGGAGGGAGGCAGGGAGGGAGGGAGGGAGGGAGGGAGGGAGGGAGGGAGGGAGGGAGGGAGGGAGGGAGGGAGGGAGGGAGGGAGGGAGGGAGGGAGGGAGGGAGGGAGGGAGAGAGGGAGAGAGGGAGAGTGTATCTTTGATTGAGGAGTCGCACATCATCATGAGTGTTCACTGTCTCCCTCGCCGCCCGCAGCTGCTCCAGCAGTGCGTTGCGTCCTCCCTGCCAAGGGGGAGAGACGAGGAGAGGAGAAGAAACGAGGGAGGGAGGGGTTTCAAGACGCCCCACAAATCCTCAGTCTTTGAGCTTAATTTGACCTGCTTTGATCCCGCATTGAACCTTATTTGACCTGCGTTGACCCTGCATTGACCCTGATTTGACCTTCCTGCCTTCAAACCCTGCATAAACTTTAACTTGACCTGACCATGCCTTGACTTGCCCTGACCCTGCCTTGATCTGCATTGACCAGCGTTGACTTGCCTTGACTTGAGTGTTTCCATGCTCCGTTGGCTCTCCTCCGCCAGCACATGCTGCTTCATCGCCACCATCTCCTTCACCTTCTCCTCCATCTGATGTGCTCATGCACACACACAGACAGACAGACAATAGGGCATACACAAGCACGGAGAGGCACAGCTCGGGATGAGTCAGAAGCACATGCTGCTTCATCGCCACCATCTCCTTCACCTTCTCCTCCATCTGACGTGCTCATGCACACACACAGACAGACAGACAATAGGGCATACACAAGCACGGAGAGGCACAGCTCGGGATGAGTCAGAAGCACATGCTGCTTCATCGCCACCATCTCCTTCACCTTCTCCTCCATCTGACGTGCTCATGCACACACACAGACAGACAGACAATAGGGCATACACAAGCACGGAGAGGCACAGCTCGGGATGAGTCAGAAGCACATGCTGCTTCATCGCCACCATCTCCTTCACCTTCTCCTCCATCTGACGTGCTCATGCACATACACACAGAGGGATGGGCACACAGGGAACAGAACACGTCACACAGCTTGAGATGACTGAAAGGAACATGCTGCTTCATTGCCACAATCTCCTTCACCTTCTCCTCCATCTGACGAACATGGGAGTGTGCACAACATACGAGAACAGGCAGGGAGAGGGGCATCAGATTTGATTCGAATCAGACGGATCTGTCTTCCCCACCCACCTGCCTTTCCCCCCGACCTGCTCTGTCACCTGTCCCTCCACTTGTTCATTTCCAAACCACCTGCTGTTCCACCTGTCTTCCTCGCCCACCTGCATTTCTCACCCACCTGCCTTACCCACCCGCCTGTTTTTCCCACCCTCCTGTCCCTTCCCACCTGTTACTCCAGCTGTCAATCCCCTTCCCACCCCGCTGCTGCTTCCCCTGTCACTCTACCTAATCCTTCCCCAACCACCTGTCTTCCCAAACCACCCCACCCACCTCCTGTCTTCCCCACCCACCTGTTGCTCCAGCTGTCGGTTTCTCTCTTCCAGTCGTCACACGGTCGCCTGCTGGTTCTTCAGGTGCACTGATGACTCAGAGGTGGTTGTTTAGTCGTCTAAAACGAGCACCTTTTCCAAATCTCACCCACCTGCTGCTCCATCTGTCTCTCCCTTCAGTTTCCCTTCCCACCACCCACCTGCTGCTCCAGCTGTCGGTTTCTCTCCTCCAGCCGTCGAACCGTCGCCTGCTGGTTCTTGAGGTGTGCTGACTCAGATCGGAACTCCTCCAGCTCAGCATGCATGCGCCGATTCTCCGCCGCCAGCTCAGCAGCATTCGCTGCCACCTCCTGGAGAGAGGCCAATGGAACAAGTTGGGATGAGAACGGAAAGGAAACAGAGCGGATCCTTGAGACGACTCAAACAAGGGGTTGGGAGTGGGATGAAGGTGGGAAGAGGAGATAAAGAGTGCCATTCTCTAAGGCCCTTGACTTGAAGACTGATATTGAAAGAGAATGCACAGAGTTAAAGCTCTCACTTCTGATCAGATCAGATGGACGCCCAGAAAGGTAGCTCAGTATGCTATGCACACGCAACAGCACCAGAAACTCTCTTGAGTTTCACGGTAGCAGTAAAGCAGGCATTGATTCGTTCCCCTAGACCAGGCACTCACAGCAGCAGACGCCAGGGACGGCACAGGATCCGGGGCCTTTGTAAAGCTTCTGGTCGACGCCCAGGAAGGCAGCTAGTATCCCACAACTACAGACAACTCGAACATGTTAAAACGTTACAGCAGCAGACGCCAGTGACGGCACAGGATCCTGGGCCTCATAGAGCTTCTGGTAGACACTCAGGAAGGCTGCTCAATATGCACACACCCCAGCTTCTACAAATGACGCTCATGCTGCCACAGGTTACAGCACCTGGAATGGAAACTCACAGCAGCAGACGCCAGGGACGGCACAGGATCCGGGGCCTCATAGAGCTTCTGGTAGACGCCCAGGAAAGATGCTTCTGCAAACTTGGCGCGCTTTGTGAGGTTGTCCACCTCCTCCTGATACGCCTTGAGAAGGGCGCCGAACAACTTGCTCTGCTCCTCTTTACCTGCCTTCTTGAAGTCTGCAGGGCGGATAGAGAGGGAGAACAGGATGGTTGGATGGTGCGGTGGTGCTTTGACGGGTGGCTCTAGACTGATGTTCTTTGTGAGTTACACGTTCAGAAGCGCGCCAAACAGCTTGCTCTGCTCGTCTCTGGCTGCTTCCTTGAAGTTTGCCGGAGTGCAGAGACGGGGGGTGGTTGGAGAATGCATCATTCGGAGACTCACGTCGTGATTTTTGGTGAAAAACGTGAGAGCTGACAACAGAATGACAGATATCTGCAGCAGCTAAGTTACAAACATCCACACGTCAAGAACATTTGTAGCCCGTCCTCGTTTTCTTTGGCTCACCGCAGTTCGAATCAATTAATCATCACACCACCACCTCTGATGGTTGCTGCAATGCCAGCTAGATTCATCCAATTCTTGCTGTGCTTCAGGTCCCACCTCGTGTGGACTCTGCGAGTTTCCTCCGATTCTTGGAGCTCGCCTCCTGATTCTTTGCTGCAAACATCAACTCATACTCTCATGGGAGAACTTCAGAAAGATTCCGTTTCAACCTACCTCGTGTGGACTTTGCGAGTTTCCTCCGATTCTTGGAGCTCGCCTCCTGATTCTTTGCTGCAAACATCAACTCATACTCTCATGGGAGAACTTCAGAAAGATTCCATTTCAACCTACCTCGTGTGGACTCTGCGAGTTTCCTCCGATTCTTGGAGCTCGCCTCCTGATTCTTTGCTGCAAACATCAACTCATACTCTCATGGGAGAACTTCAGAAAGATTCCGTTTCAACCTACCTCGTGTGGACTCTGCGAGTTTCCTCCGATTCTTGGAGCTCGCCTCCTGATTCTCCGCAATCTTCAACCCTTGCTCGTCCAGTGACGTCCGTGCATTCTCCAAGTCAAACTCTGGGAAAGGAAAAGACACACACAGAGGGGGGGTTGCTTTGTCAGAAAATCTCTAAGTTCAATCTTCAGGCCTTGTTCGTCCAGAGATGTCCTGTCCGTGCGTTCTCCAAGAGGGAGATTTGCGTTTCACAGTTATCTCACGATTTGTCATTCTCAATCTCCAAGTCGAACTCTGGGACATGAGCAGACACGGAACGGAAGGCTGCATGAACAGAAAGTAAACTAGTACTTGCATTGACTTTGAAAATCCCAGCATGGACGGCAGTGAGAAGATGCTGGCATTTCCAGCGAAACTTAAGCTGGCTCGATCGAGAAGAGTAGGCACGCGTTTCGAACACAAGAAAAGGTCTCGGGGATGTCGCAGCTTCCATCAGTGTCGGAACTTAACCATTAGAGTCATTTCAAGAGCAATACAGTAGCTACTGGCGTCGTTTTCTTCAACCCAACAACCTCTGAACCTCAATACCTTTCCAGTAATTCAAGATAAAAGGCAATCCGAAGCTACTCGCGTCTGCAGCGACCCTCGCCTCCGTCGATGCGCCGTCCCCGGCTCCTGGTGCCGCGATCGCGGCTGAGGCATCCTTCGCCTCTGATTGGTCCATTTCCTCAAGCGCAAACCAGCGAAAAGGCTACACCTCTGACAGATTATAATGCACTCCGCGCGAGCCGAAAGCGTGCTAGACCAGACGCAGCTAGTCAGGAAACTCAATAATGCGCTAAGCGGGAGCCTAGAGCGTGCCCTACCACCCGCAAGCACGTCAGGATGGCATGGGTCCGAAACGTTAGGAGTGGCTGGGAAAAGGACGGGACGGCCTTGGAAACTACGAGTTGCTGCCTTCTGTTGGAAATCCCGAAACTGTGAAATTCCCAAGGTTCGGAGAGCCGTGTTATTTAGGGAAATACGAAAGAGGGTGTTTCACAGTGTACCGATTATCGACTGCAGATCAGTTACATAATTATTCGCACAGTCTGTAACTGAGCCTGTCAGACGCGGAAATTCGCAGGAATCTGTCTCTGACCCTATCTGGCGAGGAAACCCGTTCGGCTGTCGGGGAAGAATCACAAGCTGGCAAGATTGAGGAAATACAAGGTTCATTAACCGTACTGAAACCACGCTTATCGTCTCTGAAACCTACAAAGCTGACTCGAGACCCTTTAAAAACGATCCCAAGGGCGATCCATCCTGATCCTCCCCGAGTTCCTTCGGATTTGAGTCGCGACCGCAACTCCAATCTAGAAGGCCACAACCTATCCCTCCGTCGTGATACCACACCATGATTAGACCCCTTATAATCGGGAGCATGCGCAACACAGAAGCTCCTAAGCTTCCAAATTATTGGTATGAAGAGTATGCCATGTCTTCACTATGCTTCTCTAGGCTCTAGCGCGGTCGTCCTTTGAGATTTAAATCGAACGTGTGAAGAGCTTGGGATTGAGTGAGCTATTTCAGCTTCTAAAGCCGTGTAGGACTGATACAAGCTTCTTTGAAGCAGCCAGAGTATGCTTTGAGTCTCTGATATGCCGACACGTGGCGTTCTGGCCAACTCGCGGAAATCTGCGCCGTTCCTTCGTTATGGGCTACCGATGCTGTCGATGATGGTCGTCGGATCCGTGGGGCTGGGCTACATGGTGCAAGGCAGGTGCGCTACGGAGTTGTGTAAGTTATGAGAGTACTCTAGTGCACGGTTGAAGGCAGGTGCGGTTCGGATTTGTGATTAGTGGAAGTAACTCTAGTGGATGGCGCAAGAGAGGTGCGGAATGGGAACAAATCTCCTGAAACCTGCTTTTTGTCTGTTTTTTTTTTCAAGTCACATTTTGTTTTCTCCTGTGTTTTTCTTGCAACGGGAGTGAGAGGATACTTGGAGCGAGCCAAGGATACTGGGAGTGGGTAGCGAGCAACACCATTTGTCTATTGCACGTCAAGGAACCCCTTATCTGCTCTGTTTGTCCCCCTTCCAAACTCCATTCCACGCAGGCGAGACCTAGAGCGAGCCAAGGACGATGGCGAGTGGGCAGCGCTAGAGGCAACTCGGTCGCTGACCAGAGAGAGTGACATTGGGGAGTTGAAGACACCTGTCAGGCGGAAAGCAATGGACTTAGAGGAAGAGCTCAAGGTGAGTTTTGAAAGTTTTGAGAGCAAAAGATTTGCATAAAAAACTATGAGTACAAGCACTGCAAACCCATGCCACTGCTCATGCCTTCTTACTAAATCCTGGCCAGTGCTTGCTGTCATTCTGCCTTCCCTCCATCTCCCTTTTCCAGTGCATGCAGCAAAAGATTGACTTCCAACAATTAGATCAAGCACTGCAAGCCAACACCACCAGTCATGGTTTCTGCCGTCTCTTCCCCGCCATCTTCTGCTTCCAATGGTTTCTTCTACCCTCTGTCTCCCCTTGCAGCGCATGCAGCAGAAGCTCGATATCAACAACTATGAGTACAAGCCTGTGCCCAAGCCCAAGGAAGAGGAGTGAAGTGCACTCCGGTTGGTCATGTTTGTATCATTACCTTTACACTGTCTTGAATCCCTTCTGCAGCGTATGCAGCAAAAGATTGATATCAACAACTACGAGTACAAGTCTGTGCCCAAGCTCAAGGAAGTGGAATTACGAGTACCGCCTCCACCAGGTCCCAATGTTGTAGGTGCCTCATACCGTATATAAGTTGATTCATTAGTTGCATAGGTGTTGTGCTTAAACCCAACTAGAGGAAGCGAGAACACTTCGCTAGGGAGCAATCCTGTATCAGTAGCGGTATACTCCATCTTGAGAGTAAATCCCGCACACAAGTCTGTGAATGAAATCTCAAGCATTGTATTGTCATAGGCCAACCATAAATTGCTGTTGCTTAGAAATGACACTCCTAAACCCTGATGAACCACAACAATCAAACTACCGTAATATATTAAAGAGGAATAAAAACACAGTGACAAACAATGATTCACAGTTCCCAATTCATTCCCATTGTTTCACGTCAGGAACGCAGACAGCTTATTGGGCGAAGTCATAGACGCAGCTGCCGTCGTCGCTGCGGACGGTGGGGTCGTAGTTAACAGCGTTGGGATCAGAGCAGCCTGATGGCACCGGCACTCCCACTTGTTGGGCATAGCCACCTGCGGGAAGAGGGATAAGAAGGAATAAGGGAAATAAGGTTGCAGTCCACACTGGAACAGGAGCATCTAGGGATCAGAGCAGCCTGTTGGAACCGGCGCTTCGACTTGTTGGGCATAGCCACCTGTAGGAAGAGAGGTAGGGAAATGAAAATAGCAATCAGACAGGTTGGTCCTCTAGTATCGAAACAAAGCAATCAGAGCAGCCCTGGTGATATCCCGTGGACGCCATCTCAACAAGCCTAGCTGGTACAAGCCCAGATGTGTCAAACCCAGCTGCGACACGACAACCTCCAGGGTAGATTGGAACAAGCGAACGCACCTTCAAAGAAGGTTCCCTGCTCCATCTGGTCGCGGTTGGCATCACCCAGAGCGGCCGATGCAAGGTAGGTGTCGGCGAGCTGCACACGCTTGACGTTCTCCTGCTCCTTCACCAGCATGTTGCCGTACGCCAGCAGCGTCTCCAGGTTCATGTTCGGCTGGTCGAATTTCGGCGGGCCCGTCCGCGAGTTGACGAGGTGCTTTGAGACCTGGTCCACACCAATCTTGCCCACCCACTTGCGCACCTCGTCATCATACACACGCGCGCGCAGGGCACCAAAGAAATCTGATGGGTGGTGGAAAGAGGTGGAAAGGTGTGGGAGGTGAGTTAAAGGTGCTTTGAGACTTGGTCCACACCGATCTTGCCCACCCACTTGCGCACCTTGTCATCGTACACACACGCGCGCAGGGAGCCGAAGAGATCTGCAAGTGACAAGTGGTGGTGGAGAGGGGTGCAAAGTGGTGGAGAGGAGCGGGAAATGGTGGAGAGGGGCGGGAAGTGGTGGAAAGGGATGCAGGAGGTAAGATGTGTCGTGGAAAGAGTGCTGAGAACTTGGACTTGCTGAGCTGGGCGCACCACCAATGGACACCCCATGCCAACGACAGACAATGCAGGTTAGCGCGTTGAGATAGGCCAGTGGACACACCCCATGCCATAAGCGTACCAATGGACTGGCCGGGGAAGGTGTCAACAAGGGTCACCACGTCCTGCTCGGGCACACCGTCAAGGCAGAAGATGCCCTGCGCGTCGCCAATGCGGTGGACTCTCCAGCACGTATACAGCAACTCACGTACTCACAACGCAAGCACGCACGTACCGATGGACTGGCCGGGGAAGGTGTCGACAAGGGTCACAACGTCCTGCTCAGGGACACCGTCGAGGCGGAAGATGCCCTGCGCCACGCCAATGCGGTCGTCGCGCGTGGGCGCCCAGTAGAACTTCTCCATGCGCCCGTCGCGGATCAGCGGCGCGTACAGCGTTGAGAAGTCGTTGCCCGTCACGATGATGGGCACGCGGGGGATCTCGTCCTTGTTGTACCTGCACGGTTAAAGAGGAGAACCACCATAGCAGGCGTGGTGCGAGGGGAGGGGCGAGGGCAAGGGGAGGGGCGAGTTGAGCATATAAGTCAGCACACAGGGAAGAAACCAGCCCAAGGGAAGAAACCAACGAGTCAACGCATATTATCGTGATTATGTCCGGGAGGCATCTGAGGATCAGTCAGGCTCGTTCACGCCCACCTCCCCTCTCCACCACCCCATCCCGGCCCCCCACAGCATTCCTTACGTCATCACATCCTCATGCAATTCAACCGCTTCCACGATCCCGCGATCCCCCGTCACTCACATGCCGGGCAGCTGCACGTTGGTGGGGTTATCGGCGATGTTCATGAGCGTGGCGTTGACCATCTGGTTGTTCACCGTGTACTGCGTCGTACCGCCCATGCGGCCCGCGCCCGCGTCGAGGTCGTTGATGAAGAGGCAGCACATCTTGCCCTTCTTGATCACGTCCGACGCCTCGCGGTACCGCTGCCGAATCAGCGCCGCGGGCTCGCCGGCATTCCCGGACTCCAGCTCTCCCGCGCTCATCATGATGGGGCTGCGGGGAAGGGGGAGGGAAGGGGGGAGGTGGAGGGGAGGAAAGGGGTTGGAGAGACGCGGGAAGGAGGAAAGGAAGATTGACGACGGCGAGAACGAATTGCTCCCAGGAATTTGTTCCGTGACTGGTGATGAGGTGGTATTTGTTGAGACGTTTTAGCCACTAATCTCTAGTAAGTGATTAATACCAGAAGATAAGGAGCAGGGAAACCGATGAAACCAGAAAAGGAAGGGAAGGCGAGAGACGGTGAGGGAGGGAGGGCGAGCGACGAAAAGAGAGGGAGGGCGAGCGACGAAAAGAGAGGGAGGGCGAGCGACGAAAGGGAGGGAGGGCGAGCGACGAAAGGGAGGGAGGGCGAGCGACGAAAGGGAGGGAGGGCGAGCGACGAAAGGGAGGGAGGGCGAGCGACGAAAGGGAGGGAGGGCGAGCGACGAAAAGGGAGGGAGGGCGAGCGACGAAAAGGGAGGGAGGGCGAGCGACGAAAAGGGAGGGAGGGCGAGCGACGAAAAGGGAGGGAGGGCGAGCGACGAAAAGGGAGGGAGGGCGAGCGACGAAAAGGGAGGGAGGGCGAGCGACGAAAAGGGAGGGAGGGCGAGCGACGAAAAGGGAGGGAGGGCGAGCGACGAAAGGGAGGGAGGGCGAGCGACGAAAAGGGAGGGAGGGCGAGCGACGAAAAGGGAGGGAGGGCGAGCGACGAAAAGGGAGGGAGGGCGAACGACAACGAGGAAGTGGAGAGCGACAAAGAGAGGGAAGGCGGGCGACGCACTTGATGCCGAGCTTGGCGAAGATGAGCTCCATCTGGAATGTCTTGCCCTGACCCTTGCCTCCCCACACTCCCAGGATGAGCGGCACCTGCAAGGAGAGAGCGAGTGGGACATGGATGAAAGCACCGTGACGGATGGTTCGCACTTTTCGTTGTTTCGAAAGCTATTCATGACATCAAATCAATGCCGATTGTGCTACGCACGAAGTCCAAAGAGGAAGGAAAACAAAAGTATTCAAGAAGCCATGCAATGGACGATTAGGGAGGCACGGAACAACATATTTACCTTGATGTTGGGTAGCTTCATGAAGTTCTTGGCAAGATGCACGACGACCTTGTCCATGAACGCGGGAGCGATGTAGTAGCCGTCCTTGGTGTTGTCCCACTGCAGGCTGCACGCACCACCATGCCATGACGGATAGGTAATAAGAAATGCACACGCCAGGACGCGAAATAACAAGCCATGACGTGTACGAATAAGCATTGCACCACGCAACACTTCATGCAGCGACATTTCGGAATAAGCATTGCACATCATGAACAACATGTAAAAACTTCACGTCGTGAGACGTGGGTGCTCGTATCACAAATAACAGTAGGATGTTAAGGATTGAACAGTTTGAACGAAAAAATCACGGTTGGCTGAAGTAAATTACCTCCTTTGGCCTTGGCTGACGTAGTCGTACGACGACAGAACAGCCTTGTGCGTGCCAATGCCTTGAGCACCCTGCACGCAGAACCACAACACCAGGTCAGGTAACGAATATGAATACACAAACAGGAGGGAGAAAAAAAAAAAAAAAAAAAAAAAAAAAAAAAAACAACAACACGAATAACGAAGCCTGATTCTGTATTTCATGCCAGCTTCCGTTCAACTCCTCCCCCAGTGCAACTCCAACTTGCATTCACATCCAGGAGCAGTTTTCCAAAGTAACTAACACGGAGAGGAGCTGACATCGAAAAGAGCTGGGGTCCGGCGGTTCACCTGGAAGGCGGCATCGACCAGGCCATAGCCACGGGTGATGTCCTGCTGGTCGTCGGACATATCGCGGCCCAGCGCACCCCAACGGTCATCAGCCTGGCACACCACGCGCGGGTCGGACTTCTTCACTGGCAGCGCAGCGCTCGCGGCCTTCGCCTGCGGCTTGGAGCCCAGGAACGACGACTTCAGAGTCGCCGTCTGCGCTGCGACGGGGGTCTTAGCGATGAAGGAAGCCATGGTTGCTGGTGACTGAAGCAGGAATTAAGTTACACTGCTCGTTGTAGAATCAGCGGACAGTCAAACACGAGCAGAATAAGGAACTCCTGCAGGCACGTATGAGAAAATGACGATATTCTTTCTTGCAAAGGGGGTCCCAGGATTCACCTAGAAAGCTCCTAGGGAGACCCTCTCAGCCATACTCGTTTGAAGCAAGTTTCGTTACGCAGCCTGGCCGAACCAATCATCAGGGTCACCACCACAAGCTCGACCAAAAGCGGGAAGATCCAGGCTGACGTGGCATTCGAATGTATATGAGCTGCTGGCCATCCCAGCTTTGTCGCCACGTGGAATGGTCTCTCTGACGCACACACTGAGGCTCGAGACTCACCATTGATTGTCTCGTTGGAATCTCCCATCGTGCTGGCGTTGATCCCTTCTTCGTCAGGACTACCCCAAGGGAGCAATCCATTCTGTCAGATGTGTGGTTCAGATGCCAACTTTGTCCTAATCGGCTTACGAGGCTGTGGCTGTGGCGAGTTGACGAAGGCTGTGCCTTCCACGTGGAGGAGGAAGACGTGTCTTTTAACGGACATGCTGAGGTGCAAAGAACGGTACAGTGCTTGTGCAGTGTGAACTACGTGAAGACGTTATAAAGATGGTCGATCAACAAATATGAGCTAAATGGACTAATCCTAAGAAAGTTTTCACACCCATTGATTGGGAGGATCTACAATGGTAATAGGGCAGCACCTATACACAACATAGCCGATTCAGATTATGAAGGGATGTCATAAACAGAGACCTTCTTGGATGTGTCAGCAACAAAAATCTTTCGACCTCGTACTCCGACAGAAGTGGACAGGAAATTTACCTGCCACGTGCCAACCAGAGGCATACGCCAATAAAAGGCAGAACCTAAGGCATTTAAATCAGATATCAAAGGAAGAGGCAAAAATATGCGTGTGGCAATGTGCAGCACAATCAAAGAACCGCGATTTGAGAACGTTATAAAATTATGCAACTGACCTTCCTCATATCCCCACTCCCTCCAGAACTTAACAGGATCCCTAACACACACCTTCCCCCCATCCGTGTATATAATATCCTCCCTGAATACCCCACCCCTGCCCCAAACACTCTGCTCTGCCTCCCTCCAACACACACCCCCCCTCTCCCCCCCCCCCCCCCCCCCCTCCTCCACCCCCGATCTCACCTTCCGTCCATGCTGTATGCGAATGAGTGGAGCCAACGATTCCCTCCCACCTGCCGCTTTCCGCCCTTCATCCTTGTTTGAGTCAGACTCACTATCAGCACTCTCCGCTTCACTGGCCTCTCTAGCTCGGGGCGAACAGGCAAAGGAGGAGGAACCAGGAGAAGAGGGCGAGGAGGAGAGATAGGAGGAAGAGGAGGAGGAGGGAGAGAGTGCGTGTGCCACATCCCAGAGCAGCACGAGTCGGTCGTTTCCCCCAGAGGCGAGAAGAGGGGCGGACGGGGGAGCAAAGCGACAGAATGTTCTGGTGGGGAAGAAGGGGGAGGAAAAGGGGAGGGGGAGAGGGGAAAGAGGGGGGAGAGAAGGTGAGGGTAAGAGGAGGGGGTTAGCAGGCAAGCACGGGGGAGGGATAGAGAATGCATGCGCCACATCCCAAAGCAGCACAAGCTGGTTGAGGCGCATGCACAAGCTGGTTGAGGCGCATGCACAAGCTGGTTGAGGCGCATGCACAAGCTCCCAGAGGCCAGTACAGAGGTGGAGAGGGGAGCAAAGCGACAGAAGGTGCTGGTGGGGAAGAGGGGGGGAGGGGAGGATAAAAGGGGCTGAGAGAAAGCGTTGGGAGTATTCTCAATTGGATTCGGAGGGGATGGAAGGCAAGTCTGAGGCAGTGAGCACCATAACCCTGTGGTGTCATCCATAACCCTACACCCAGCACCATCCATATTTATATGACCTTTGAGAATTCTCAAAAGGAAACTAAAGCTTGTTATGAAACATCGCAAATGAAGAAGAAGAAAAGAAACTGTAACAGAGGGGTCAAAAGGCAAGTTGGACCTCTCAAGAAACACACTCACACAGCAGCGACTGACGCGCAATGACCACGCATCCCTCCTTCTCTTGCCCCTCCTTCCCCTCCTCCTCCCCATCCTCCTCTCTCAGCACTCCCCCCACTTCCTCCCCCGCTTTCCCCACCTTCCCCACTCTCTCCACCACAACTGGCTGTAGCAGCTGCTGCAGCACCACCTGCTGCTGCTGCCGCCATTGGTCCTCCAAACACAAGTAGCCGACCTCCCCTCCTCTTCCCCTCCTCCGCCTCCTCCTCCCTTCCCCGCCTCTCCTTCCCCTCTTCCTTTGCTGCAACGCGATTGTCCCCGTTACAAGCTTCCTCGTTATCCAGTTCTGAGTCCTCTGCAATCGTTGCAGGAACAGCAGCAATGCCATCCCTAGGCCGTCCACTTCCCCCTCTTCCCTGTCTTCCTCCTCCACGACTTCCACTTCCTCTACCTCTGCCTCTGCCTATGCCTCTGCCCCCACTCCTCCTCCTTCTCTCTTCCTGCCCACCACCACCTCCTCCTCCTCCTCCTCCTCCTCCTCCTCCTCCTCCTCCTCCTCCTCCTCCTCCTCCTCCTCCTCCTCCTCCTCCTCCTCCTCCTCCTCCCCCCCTCCTCTCCCCTTCACCATCCACGTCAGCATCAGCATCCCACACTGCTACAGTGCCATCGCCCTGAGCCACGGCCATTAGCGTCAGGCCACGTGTCCTCCAAGAATCACCACCGGCAGTACTGTCAGCACTAGCAGCAGCAGCAGTGCCAGCAGCAGCAGCAGCGGTGGTGGTGGCAGTGCCGGCAGCACTAGGAGAAGCCTTTACAGGAGGAATGTGGAGCACAGATAGAGAGTGGATGAAGGGAGGATTGCACATGCGAGACGAGAAGGCGGAGGAGGGTGTGTTGGGGGAGGGCGGGCTGGGGGAGGTGGTATCTGCTGACAGGTTGACTGAGCGGAGGGGTCGGCCAGAGGCGAAGTCCCACTGAGCCCAGGTACAGTCGAGAGCAGCTGAGAACACTGGAGGGAAATAGAGGGAGATAGAGGGGGAAGAGGAGAAAGAGAGGGAGGAAGGAAAGAGAGGGGAAATGTGGAACGGGGTTGACCAGAGGCGAAGTCCCATTGAGCCCAGGTACAGTCGAGAGCAGCTGAGAACACTGGAGGGCGATGGAGGGGAGAGAGGAGGAGAGGAGGGAGGAAGTGGGAGAGAGATTCTGACTGGGAATCACAGAAAGAGGATAAATTAAGAGAGGGATCGGCCAGAAGCAAAGTCCCATTGAGCCCAGGTACACTCGAGAGAACTTTTGAGTCGACTCAAAAGACGGATCGGCCAGAAGCAAAGTCCCATTGAGCCCAGGTACACTCGAGAGCAGCTGAGAACACTGGAGGGCGATGGAGGGGAGAGAGGAGGAGAAAGAAGGAGAGGAGAGGAAGAGAGGAAAGATTGGAGACAGATGGAGCAGAGCAACGGTGAGATGCAGAATCAGTGAGAGGGGAGGGAGCGAGAAGAAGACAGGAGGAGAGGAGGAGAGAAGGAGAGGAAGAGAGGAGAGAAGCTGGAAAGTCTAAGTCAGCACAGAGACGGAGAGAAGGGGAGGAGGAGAGGAGAGAAGGAGAGGAGGAGAGAAAAAGAGGAGAGAATCTGGATGGAAAGTCTAGGCCCAAACAGAGACGTCTCAGAACTCACACTGCCACGGCTGCTTGGGGTGGAAGAGAACAGAGCTGCAGATCTGCAGTGGGGACAAATATGGTGTAGAGCGCAGTGGTGGAAGTGAGGGAAGCAGATTGAGGGCGGGAGGAGGAGGGAAGAGAACGAAGAGCAGGGAAAGAGAGGAAGGGAAGGAAGATGAGGGAAGGGAGAGAGGAAAAAATTTCGAGCAGAGTGTGGGTGAAACTGATGCTGCAAGGTATTTTGGAGAATTCTGGTATTTTTGAGAATTCTGGTATTTTTGAGAATGCCCTGAAAAGTTGAGCAGAGTGTGGGTGAAACTGAATGAAAGGTGTGAAGCGAAAAGAAACTGGGAGTTGTAGGCATAGAAGGTGGAGATCAAAACGCACAAGGCAGGGAAAACTGAACAGCGCTGCTGCTGCAATTCGTGCACGGGATATGCATGGTGTGTATCATATGGGAGACAACCTTTCAACTGCGTGAGCTAGAGCTGTATTACCTCGAGCTATGCACGTCCCGAAGGGATTGTTGAGGCATCTCAATAATCGTAGAGTAGTCAACCTTTCACCTTCGTGAGAGCTAGAGCTGCATTACCGAGCTATGCACGCCTCGAAGGGTTCGATGCAGCGAGTGGTTGATGAGACTGATGACCTGATGAGGGGGGAGAAGAGGGGGGCAAGACACGGGATAGAGAACGGTTCAGTGTGGTGCCGGGAGTGGTTGGCCCCTCGAGAGTGTTTTACAGAGCTGTGCACGCCCCGAAGGGTCCGATGCAGTGACTGGTTGATGAGGCTGATGACCTGAGCAAAGGAGCACATGGGGGTAAGTCATGGAATGGAAAACGGTTCGGTGCGGTGCAGTGAGTGGTTGATGAGGCTGATGACCTGAGCGAAGGAGCTTAGGGGAATACGATTATACGACATGGGATGGAGAACAGTACAGTGAGGTGCAGTGTTTGGTTTGGGTGATGATGAGCTGATGAGGGTAACAAGGAGGGCGGGTGGGGCAGAGAATGTGGAAGCATGAAAGGAGAAGGTCATCTTCACCCAAACCATGATGCTGCAGGGCAGGGTGTTTTTGAGAATTCTAAAAAGCATCCTGTGCTCAGAGGCTCGATCCCTCATTCCTCTCCTGCAGGGTGTTTTTGAGAATTCTCAAAAAACACCCTGCAGCATGTGGAAGCATGAAAGGAGCATGTGGTCATGTCCACCCAAACCAAACACTGGGAGCAGCGCGCTGGGAGCAAGGAGGGAAGCAGATACGGTCAGGGATGACTTTTGAGTCGACTCAAAAGTCACCTCACAGACACGGTCAGGTCAGGGGACTCTACGGGAGCGCCAATAGGTTCAAATGCAGCGAGAGGGTTGACCAGGAGAGGCATTCGGATCAGCACGCAACCTCCCTCTGCTCTACCCCCCACGCACCTTGACCTGCCCTGAATCGTCTGCAGCAGCCAGGAAGTCGCCCTTACGGTCCACTGCCAACTGGTGAAGGGTGGTAGGGAGAGATCGAGAGTGGTGCAGAAAGCCACCTGTAAGTTGGACTTGCTGGAGTGTATGGGTTTGAGGAGTCAAACTGGGCAGCATACGAAAACATTTTGAGGTCCCAACATTCTGTGTGCTCCTCAAAAGAGAAGTCCAACTGAGGAGCACACAGAAAAAAACTTCTGTGTAGATTAGAGATGGAGAAGGAAGGACGGAGGGAGGGAGGGTTGAACGGAGGACAGAGAGGGGAGAGAGAAAGAGCTACGTTGGCAGATACGCGTCCCAGGGTATAATACGCTAGCGTATTATACGCTGGGTATATACGCGGTACGCCAGGGCTGGCGTACTGGTGATACGCAAAAATACGCTGGGCGGGCAGGTAAAACTTTTTTCCCGGGCAGGGCTAAAAAAACCTGTTTCAGGGGGGGGATTGTTTTCCAAGAACACAAGTCATAATTTAAATTTCATAAATATCCAGAAATACATATTTGGGGCTACTTCTCCCCATACATCCCCACCCACCCCACCCTCTAGCTAGCTTCCCCACAACCTATTTTCTTGCGGGGCTTTTCCACCACCACACCTTCCCCATACTCATCCGCCAGCACTGCATCCTCTCCTTCCTCCCCCAGCATGTCATCCTCCTCCTCATCCATGTTATAGCCGGGGGGGATAGGGGCATCCGGGATGTTACCGGGCACAACCGTGCTGCCCCCATCCTTCTTGTACCAATTGCGCACAACGTTCCAGTTGTGCGCAATGTAGACAAGGTCCGCACACTTGGCGGACCCGAGCCGGTTGCGGCGGGCGGTGTGGACGCCTTCCCACTGCGCCCAGCCACGCTCGCATGGGGAAGCCGAGACGGGCTGAGTGAGCACCCGGCATGCAAGGGCGGCAAGCTCAGGATACTCGGTGCTGTGCCACGACCACCACTGCACCATGCTCATCTCCCCCTTCTTCACTGCCTCCTTTGCAGAAATGGCGCCCGGCTTGCCAAAGCTGCCCTCCATGTTGATGTAGGCCAGCAATGCCTCCTGCAGCACAAGGGAGGCGCGGCGAGGGGCGCCATCCTTGCCACGCTTGAAGGTCTTGTTGTCATAGTGGCGCTCGATGTAGTCCTTGAACACCCGCGTGCACTCCACATCGTTCCTGAAAATTCCCTCCTGGTTGGCCGGATTCAGGATCCGGCCAACCACATGCATGGGGCAGGCAAGGGAGTTGTCCCACCTGTCCTTCACAATCTTGGTGATGTCTGCCCTCTCTGTCCGAGTCAAGAAGTCACTTGAAGCGTCGAGCTTGTCATTGATGTCCTCGGTAAGCTGTAGCATGATGTCATACAGCTTACCCATCATGCCTTTCGCGGAAGAGTTTGTGGCCCGCATGGCCTTGAATGGCACCGCCATGAGAGAGGTAAAGAACTCCGCCACCCCCCACCACTCCTCATCCATCACAGCAGCCCTGAATTTCTCAGCTGCTGTCTTCCTATCCTTGTCCGCCGCTGCCCACACCTTCCACTCGTCGCTGGGCACCATCGCCGCCAGCCCACTCCTCACCTCACATAGCCGGGCCATGGCTATGTATTGTGTCCCGAACCTTGTTCCCGCAAGCTTGAGCACCTGCTTCCCCCCCATTTTCTTCATATAGGCACGGGTAAAGTGGTGGTTGCGCACGAAGGTAATCATCTCCCCTCCTTTCTCCACAAGCCCTTTCGCCCATCCCATTTTGCCCATATCTTCCATCATCAGGTCCAGGACATGCGTGGCACATGGCACATGCTCAATGTGCGGCCATGTGCTCGCAATCTTCTTGGCGGCCGATGCATAGTTGCTGCCGCCATCGGTGCAGACCGCCACCACATTCTCCGGCCCCACCTTATCAATGACGGGGCGGAGAAGGCTGGCGATGTACCCCCCGGTCTTCGACTCCATGTTGCAGTCCACCGCCTGCTCGAAAACTGCGCCGGAGTCGTTGACAAGGAGCACGTTGGCCTGCGGGCGGCCACAACGGTCGGTCATCATGTTCGACGACACCGTTACCCCGTCCCGCTTCCAGCTCGCGGCAACGGGGGCGAACGCGACCTCTATTTTCTGCCGCACCTTCTTCAAGCCTGCCCCTCCAATGTAGCGCCTCTTAGGAGGGACGTACCCAGGTCCAGCGCGCGCAATGCACTGGATCGCGTAGCGGAAGACCGAATCGTCCGCAATGCGCTCCGGAAGTTTCAGCCCCGCGAACAGAAGGCAAAGCGCGTTATCCGCGTCCTCCTTGGCGCACGTCGCCTCATTGCCAAAGAAATCCGTAATTTTGCTCTTTTTCTCCGGGTTTCCACTGACAGCGTCAAGCGCGGAGTGAATTGCAGCAGCGGCCGCCCCTCGCTTCAAGTCCTGCTGTTCCGCCTTGGTCTCGTACATGCCACAGACTTCATCGCGGACTGCCGTGGGCGCGTCCTTGCATAACGCCACAGCGCGCTTCTCCTGCCCTTTCCATGTCGCGAGATGGATTGCACAGCGGTTTGTTCCGCCCTCGAACTTCTTGCCACAGAACTTGCACAGCTTGGGGTTGGCTTTGGTGTGAAACAGAATGAGGAAATGTTTCAGAATGGGGTGAGATAGTCCAGCCTCAACAAGATCCGTGTTGACGGTAGTAGAGTCATGGACAGAGGCTGGGTTGTTGTTCGTCGAAGTACTAGGAGCTGAGCCCGACGCCATGGCGCACTACGTAAGTCTAACTAACGAAGAAGAGTGGAGAAATGCGGGAAGGAAATAGAAGAGCATTTGCGCAACGTCGACCTATACGTGCAAACGATGGAAGAACATTTGAAGGGGGTGGTTCGGACTGAGAGGTTGGGTGGGGTGATGTGTGGTTGAGGGGGTGGGAAAGTTTGGATTTTGAAATTCGAAGTTCAGAAGTGGGGTTGGGCACATGAGCGAAGTCGCGGTAACACTTCGTGACTTCGCACATCGTCGCGAAGTTTTTCAATTTCGGATTATTTTTTTTCGCCGGGCTGCCCGGCCGTATTTTCGCGAATTCAGAGCGTATCAGCGTATCACGCATATACGCTAGCGAATATACGTGATACGCCAGCCTTTCAAGAGCGTATCTGCCAACATAGAGAAAGAGTGGGGGCGGGAGGGAGGGAAGGGGGGGAACAAGTGAGTGCAAGAGAGAGAAGACTCACAGCGTTGATTTCGTCAGCATTGAATGACAGCCGTCTCACTATGGCCTCTGAACCATCTGACGACCCTCCTGCCTGACAAACAACATGCCATGCCATCCCGTCCCATCCCATCCCGACCCCTCCCATCCCAACCCGTCCCATCCCATCCCATCCCATCCCATCCCATCCCATCCCATCCCATCCCATCCCATCCCATCCCATCCCGACCCATCCCATCCCATCCCATCCCATCCCATCCCATCCCATCCCATCCCGACCCATCCCATCCCATCCCATCCCATCCCATCCCATCCCATCCCATCCCATCCCATCCCATCCCATCCCATCCCATCCCATCCCATCCCATCCCATGCCATCACACCCCACCCCATTCCATTCCATTCCATTCCATTCCATTCCATGCCATACCATTCCATGCCATACCATTCCATGCAATCGCACAAGATTTCAAGGCAACCGCACCGCAAGCCGTGCCATGTCAGCAATCCTACAAAAACGACGATAAAAAACGGTGTGCAGTGATATGAGAAACGGCCGCTATAATCCCGTTGCTGGGTGTTTTTGAGAATTCTCAAAAACGCCGTGCCATGTTAGCAATTCCACAGAAACGACGATCAGACACGGTGTGCTGTGCACATGCTACGATGGACGGACGGCTGCTATATTGACCAACAGCAGCAGAGCCTCCACAACAGCAGCAGCTTCTCGTTGCATGTATCTTCTCGTTGCTGTTGCATCTTGCTGTTCCCTGTCCTTGCTGTTCGCAGCAACAGCATAGCCTCCCTGTCCTCCCCTCTTCCCTGCTCCCCAGCCCCTCCTCACCCCGCTTCTCTTCCAATCTTTTTACAGCTCTGACCCCTAGACAACCAACCCCCTCTCTCCTCTCCCCGCCCCCACTCCCTACCTCCTCCTCTCTACCCACCTTTCGCCTGTCAACAAGGAAAACGGAGTTCCCAGCAGCAGCTGCCAACACCTGCTCCTGACCTGAAAGGCATGGGGCGACAGGAGGAGGAGGGATCGGAAGGGAGGGGGAGGAAGCGGTGAGAGAAGGTTTAAGGTCCAGCACCAGCTTCTGAGGGAGGGTCCCTGCAGCAGCTGCTGAGGGAGGGGCCCTGCAGCAGCTGCAACACACGCTCTTGACTTGACCTGATAGGGGAAACAGACGAGCGAAGTGGGGTTCAAAAACGGGGGGAGGAGGGAAAGAGGAAGGGGGGGGGGGGAAGGAGCGTGGGGAAGGACGAAGGGGAGGAGGAAGATAGGGGCAACGAAACAGGTGCTGTATTGATAAATGGAAGGCAATACAATAGGTGTACAAGGCGCAACGTGCCTGGGAGAAAGAGCAGGCTCGGCACCGAGGCTCCGCCGAAGCAGGTGAGGTGGATGGGAGGGGTTTGCGCTGGGGAGCGTAGATCACACACCGCCATGCTGCCGTCCTGAATAGTGGTGAATGCATGGGGGTTTGCAGGGATGCAGGGATGTGCGCGTGGAGGAATGTGAGCATGCAAGAAAGACTGGAGAGCGGACTAAGAGACTACCAGAACGAACCTGAAAGGCATATTGAAAACTACAGGCGTTCGAATCCTGTCGCGAAGAGGATCAACGGCTCACCGTTAACGAAGAGAGCTACAACCAGTTTCACCGTTGAGGCGTTTCGCAAACCCTAACAGCGCAGCCTCGTTTCCAGGTGCGTCCAAGACGAGACACCTTGTTTCAGCTAGCGTTTTTTAACGAGACGAATCGTATCCGCAATCACCTCGTTCTGTACGAGGCGCCTCGATTTCGCCAGCAGCGTCGGTTACTATGGAAAACCAAGTATCGTGCGAGTCTCGACGCGCCTCACCTCGCTACCAGTCGCAAGGAGGCAATCGGATCCGTCCACCTGGCAGCATAGCACGGAGTCCGAGTGGATTCGCGGAAGCGAAGTGCGTGGAACGGGTAGCGAATCAGAAGCCGAACTTGACGCCATGGTGGGGAGGTGGATTTGTGACTAATGCGAATTGGGGTCTAAATGCGAACCGACTGAAGCTGGAGGAGCGGATGGGATCGGGAGTTAGCACAAGGATTCTGGTTCAAAAGTGACTGGAGCGGTTGGATATGGACGACTATGGCAGATGGTCATTGGCCACTTCTAGCTAAGGAAGATTTATTTTGCTCCCATATCTCATTAGTTAGAATGCGAATCTCTGGCGGAAGGGTCACCAGAATCACAGGGTTCTGGGCTCGGACTTTGCTTTGGTGATTAGACAGAATAATAAATATGCAGACAGGTCAAAGGTGGAATTCCACGTATTGACTTCTGATTGGGTACCGATGATGTGAAGACTTGGTTTTAAACTGAACCACTATCCCATTTCAATATTTCTTTGTGGTGCCTTCGTAAAGGCACTCCAAAAATTGATGTATGCCGCTTGATGAGAAACACACACGGTATTCTTTAGTAAAAGGCGAAAGAATAGTTCGCTATGTGTGTGACTCACGGCTGATAACAAAATCTAACTTCTCCAAGTGAATACTACTCGAGAAAAGCTTCCATTGAGAGTGCGTCATGGGCATCATTTGATGACGTGGCATGCATCACCTCGGGATTAGGTCCTATGTTTGAACTTGCAACATTCGGCGGGTTGAGTACTGCATTGCAGTAGCCAACACCTCAAAGCTCTCTCACAGCTCAATTTATATGGAACAAATTGGCAGCCCATGCTGATCGTTTGTGCACGGTTCAGTTGGTTTGAACAGAGTTGAAAACGATATTTGAGAATTGCCGTTTTGGAATGTAATGCACCGGACAAGACCGATGTGCTAGGGCTGAGAACCAATGCACAAAACACCACAAGTCGGAGGTATCTGGCTTGTGGTTCGAACCGCTTGATCTTAGGTCTGCACCATCTCCCGATCCACTAGAGTAGTCCACGTACTCGCGGCCATCGTTAGCGTTGGCTGACCTACGCCGTTCCGTCGTACGCATTCATAACCTTGGCCAGCTGTCGCCATCATGGTCCGTTTAACCGCAGATCTGATCCTCGAATCGCCGCAGTATTTCAACGCGGTGCGAGAACGAGAGATCGACTTAAGAGGTGCGTGACGTCTCATAATCGCTCGAAACGTGTGGATTTCTACGGTACTGCACAGAAACATTGTACGGTTCTTTATGTACCTCAAACTTTCCTCTTGCGGTATTTCGCGGAAGCATAATACGCCATGAAGCAGTTCGTTAATTGTTCGAGGCGATGCTCGGATAGATTACCGTATCGTACGCCGTCGTCCGTGAAAAGGAATTTCTTTGGTCCAGTGAACATCCCGTTTCAAACACACCACGTTCACCGTGTGTGCAATGTGACTGTACATACAATCTGACCGTACGATGCGTCCCTATCATGTGATTGTACGAAGTGTGACTGTACGGTGTCTCTCCGTGCCTGCCTGGCAGGGAATAAGATCGCAGTTATTGAGAATCTCGGAGCCACAGAGGTGAGCCCTCAATTATCTTTCCTCCATAAACATTCCACTCCAAACTAGCCCTCGTGATCTTCTTTTTTCCAATTTCAAGTTCATATGTATAACAGATTTCCTAGACCCTTCACCTTCAACCCTATTCCATGTACCCTTCCTTCCTGACTCAATTCGCTTAACTCGATGTCGCTTGAAACCATACATTTTAGGTCCTTTCTCTTACAACAGAACGAAGTCATTGGACCATTTCCCTTGGAACCAATCTCCTTCGCCCGTCCCTCTCATTCGTTATCTTAGACCTCCCTTTTGAACCAACCTCTACCGTTGTCATAAATTGCAGCTCCTTGCATCCTTTTTCTCCGCTACACACGATTGTTGACCAGTTCCCTCCCACACTCTCACCTGTCGGACAATGACATAGTAAAGCTGGAGGGGTTCCCTCCCTTTGTGAATTCCCTCCCTTTACCTCACCGCACCGCACAGGACCTGTTTGACAGCATCGACCTGTCAGACAATGACATAGTGAAGCTGGAGGGGTTCTCGCTGCTACGCCTTCCTTTTGGCTCATCAATTTTCATGAATTCCCTCCTTTACCTCACCGCACCGCACAGGACCTATTTGACAGCATCGACCTGTCGGACAACGAGATAGTGAAGCTGGAGGGGTTCCCTCTTCTGCGGCGGCTCTCCACTCTGCTGCTCTGCAACAACCGCATCACCCGCATCAGCCCGCAGCTAGGTAGTATGTATCGTGTCATGTGCTGCCACCTAGGTAGTACGTATCGTGTCATGTGCTGCCACCTAGGTAGTACGTATCGCGTCATGTGCTGCCACCTAGGTAGTACGTATCGTGTCATGTGCTGCCACCTAGGTAGTATGTATCGTGTCATGTGCTGCCACCTAGGTAGTACGTATCGTGTCATGTGCTGCCACCTAGGTAGTACGTATCGTGTCATGTGCTGCCACCTAGGTAGTACGTATCGTGTCATGTGCTGCCACCTAGGTAGAGCATCTGCTGTCGTTGAGTGGACTAGACATACGAGTCATATGCTGACAATCGCACCTTCCCTTGCTCCCCTGCTCCTTTTTCTTCCGTTTTCCTTCCTCCCCTCTTTCCGTCCTTTCCCACTCTCCTCTCCTAACCACACCCTTTCCTCCCCCTCCCTTCCCCTCCTACCTTCTCCCCTTCGCTCCCCCTTTCCCTTCCCCCCACAGCCCACCTCTCCAAGCTACAAACCCTAGTGTTGGCCAACAACCGTCTCACCAACCTGGCAGATCTCAACCCACTCGTGTCCCGGCGCACTCCCTCACCTCTCGCCTCCCCTTTCCTTCCCGTTTCCTTTCCTCCCCCCTATCCCCCCTCCCCTTTCTCCTCGTCCCTTTTCCCCTCCCTAACTTTCCTCCCTTTCAAATTCTCTCCCCCACCCTCAACAGCTCATCTCCCCAAGCTGCAGACTCTAGTGTTGGCCAACAACCGTCTCACCAACCTAGCGGATCTCGACCCGCTTGCATCCCGCGCCCACTCCCTCACCTCGCTCTCTTCCCTTTCCTCCCCTTTCCCATCCTTCCTTGTTGCCAGCCCAACTCCCCAAGCTGCAGACACTCGTTCTCGCCAACAATCGCCTCACCAACCTAGCGGATCTCGACCCGCTGGCATCCCTGGCGCACTCCCTCACCTCGCTCTCCCTCCTCGACAACACGGTTGTCAAGAAACCCAAATACCGCCTCTACGCCATCCACTTGCTTCCCAAGCTGCGACTGCTCGACTTCCGAAAGGTCAAGCTCAAGGTGCGTTGGTGTGCCTTCCCTTCCTTTCCACAGTACACACCCCTCGCCCTCCTCCCTCCCTCACGTCGCTCTCTCTCCTCGACAACACCCGTCGTCAAGAAGCCAAAGTACCGCCTCTACGCCATCCACCTGCTGCCGAAACTGCGACTGCTCGACTTCCGAAGGTCAAGCTGAAGGTGCGTTGTCTAGCGTGTGCCTTCCTTTCAACGCTCTCCCCCTCCCTCTCCTCTCCCATCCTCCCCACTCGCTCACCTCGCTCTCTCTCCTCGACAATGCCGTTGCTAAGAAGCCCAAGTACCGCCTCTATGAGATTCATCTGCTGCCCAAGCTGCGACTGCTCGACTTCCAGAAAGTGAAGCTCAAGGTATGTTGATATGTGCCTGTCCTTGCACCTCCCTACCTCCCGCTGGCATCCCTGGCGCACTCCCTCACCTCGCTCTCTCTCCTCGACAACACGGTCGTCAAGAAGCCCAAGTATCGCCTCTACGCCATCCACCTGCTGCCCAAGCTGCGTCTCCTCGACTTCCGGGAAGTGAAGCTCAAGGTATGTCAGTGGGTCTGCCCTTCCATCTCTCCTCCTCCCTAGCTCACCTCCTCACCTCCCCCTCCTCCCTCTTGGGAACGTCTCACTGAAGGATTTTCCCTCCCTCCCCTCCCTCCAGCCCCTCCCTCCCCTCCCTCCCCCTCCCTTCCCTCGCTCCCTTCCCTCCCCTCCTCCAGGAGCGGCAAGGAGTCTCGGTCACATTCGGAAAGGACAGAGCAGCAGCAGTAGCAGTGATGCCTGTATCAGCCAATACTGTTGTGCCTTAGGAAGCGCCTCCCCTCCCCTCCCTCCCCCTCCCTTCCCTCGCTTCCTTCCCTCCCCTCCTCCAGGAGAGGCAAGAGGCGGAGGCAACATTTGGAAAAGACCGAGCAGCAGCAGCAGCAGCCAAGCGTGTATCAGCCAACACGTTTGTTCCCGGGGAGGCCCTGGCAGAAGCAGGGGGGGCAGGAGCTGGAGGGGAGGGAGCAGCAGCAGCTGGTGGTGCTGGTGGTGATGGTGGGAAGGAGGGAAGGGAGGGGGCTGCTGCAACAGCAGTAGCTGCAAAAGGGCCAACACCCGAGCAGATCACAGCAATCAAGGTGAAGGTTCCTTCCATGTGTGAGGGTGAAGGTCCCTTCCATGTCTTAAGGTTTTCATGGTGAAAAAGGCATACTAGATATTGTGTCTTCATGGGTGATGTTTTTGGGATTTTTTTTTGCTGGTTTGTTTGTTTGCTTGTTTGCTTGTTTGTTTGTTTGTTTTCTTTTTTTCCTGTATACCAGTAGCATAGATCACACACGTTTTTCTTTTCTTTCTTCTTGTCGCGTTACTCGTCTAGCTGAGTTGTCGCTTTACTTATTTAGCTGAGTTATTAATATCAATTGGTTTCTAGGAACTTTCAAAAATATATTCATTCCAGTCATGCTGTCCTTTCTGTGCTTCTCGTACCCCTGCCGCCCCCTGCTCCTCCTGCTGCCCCTGCAGGCTGCAATCAGCACAGCTCAGACGTTGGAGGAGGTTGCACGGCTGGAAAAGGTAGGTTCTTGCACCTCCTTCTTGCTTTCACTCTGAGCCAACCTGTGTGGGGTACCTTTTTCATTCTGCAGAATAGGCAGGTCGGCTCAGAATGAAAGCAAGCATTAAGCAGAATGCTTCTATTCTGAGCCGACCTGTGGGGTGCCATTTTGAGACGTCTTGGAAAGCATTTCGCACAATTGGGACGCTATATGTCTCCGTAGGCACATCAGACCCACTAGCCCAGTGGCCACACAATTGTGGGACCACAGCACAGCACAGCACCACACAGCACTGCACAGCACAGCACAGCACCGCACAGCACAGCACACCAAACCACACCACACCACGCCACGCCACACCACACCATGCAGTGCAATCAAGTGCCGTACGGCATCCAGTTGCGCTTTTGCGTGTTTTTGGTCATACCAGCCAAACAAAAAGCTTAGTCTTCTTCTCGTCACGTCACTTCACCACTCCACACCTCACCCAATCACGGCAATGAGGCCAATTACCATCGAACAGGGAAGGTGCTCTTTGCAGGGAGGTTTTTGAGAATTCTCAAAAACTCCCTGTCACGGCAATCAGGAAGGTGCTATTTGAGGGCCCAGTCACATTCACCTTAACTCATCCCACCCCACCCCATTGCATCCCACATAAAACCACCCCACACCACCCCACTCCACCCCACCCCATTGCACCACATCAGGCGCTGCAATCAGGCCAATTGCCATCGGACATCAAGGTGCCTTCGGCAGATACAGACAAAACAAGCCAACCCATGGAGTGAGTTTCGAATCCACTCCCTTGCTGCTTCTGCCGCCCGCTGCTTCTGAGGCCAATTTTATGCTCCTGCTGTTGCCGCCGCCCCTGCTTCTGCTGCTTGCTTTTCTCATCTGTCCTGTCACTTGCCAGTGCCACTCATAACCGCATATACTTCATTTGATCCCTCAAGCCAACCTCTTCTTACTTGCCGCTTTCATGTGTTCTTTCCATTCTCATGCCACCCTGTTGCATGCAGAGCTGATTAATTTCAACAGTGTCTTGTAATTTGTAAAACCTGCAGCCCAGATTGACCCTTCCCTACACTGAAGGCCAATAGCATGGCCCTTCTGCCCTCCATTAGTGCGTGATTTGTTTGAGCTATACGTATGCTTTCATTTAATCCCGTCATTAGGCTGGATAAACAGCACTGGCAGCTTGACAACTAACAATTGAACTGGAAAGAAAGCACTCACAAACAATCCACAGTACCTTTGGACACAAAAGCATCGGCTTAATGCAACCAACCACCAATCCTACTTGACACACTCTGTAGGCGCCGGTCCAAACACCAGTACCATGATTGCCGGTACTTCATTCTCTGCATCCTGGCGCAGGCATGAGTCGGTACAAGAAACTGGCCGGAACATAATGCGACACTGTTTGGCATAGCAAAATGTGAGGGCAGGAGATGGTCCCAAGACAGCTGCTTGTCAAAACATATTGTTATGTTCTTACTCTGTTGGGCTGAAAAGCCCTTAGGATCTTTGCAGGGGTGAACTCTGGGTAGAGTTGGTGTAGTAGCGGAAGCGTTAATTAAAGGGTTGTGAACCACCTTGCGCTAGTATGTGAGGGCAAAGTAAGTTGATTAAAGCAAAGAGATACAGGATTATATAAGAGTACAAGAAATAAGAAGAGATACGGTTATAACTACTTTACTGTTGCTGTTGCGGTTCGATACAGTGACGACTCGGGCAACTGCTCTGTAGCGAGTCAGTTGTGTGTCCTTGCTGTCGTGTTGTACTTGTCAGGTCAAAGGTCGCTGACCTTTGACTTTCGCGTAACCTCTAGCAACCGCTCAACCTCCGAGGGTTGACTCGCTGGTGCTTCGATATACTTCGCTTCACTTCTGACTTGGTGTTTCGACACGACAGAGGCGCTTAGGACCGATTGTTTCCAACACTCCCCTTCGCTTCTGGAGTGTCGCTGACGTGGCTCTGTCCAGTCAGCAGCATGCAATATTCAAAATTCTGCTTTCCGAGCTTCTTGGTCAGGTAGTCAGCTGCCATCTCGGACGTGGGACAGTATGACAGCTCGAGCCTTCCCTTCTCGATCTCGTCCTTCACGAAGAAATATCGCAGGGCGATGTGTTTCGTCCTGTTCGCGAAGCCGTTCTTGTTGGCAATGCGAATTGCCGACTGGTTGTCGCAGAACAAGGTAAAGTTGGGTAACTCGGCTAACTTCGCTTCTTCCAGCAGCTCGCGAAGATAGAGTCCTTCCTTGGTGGCTGAGCAGAGTGCAATATATTCTGCTTCAGCTGACGAGAGAGCAATTAATTCCTGCTTGCTCGATTGCCAAGAGATAGGTCCGATAGGTTCGAGGCGGTAGATGTAGCCGGTGCGGGAGCGCCTATTGTCGGAGTTGCCAGCGTGTTCAGCGTCGACGTAGCCGATTAACTTAGTCGGTGTGGTTGCGTTCTTGTAGTAAGTTAGGCCGATCGTTGGGGTGCTGACGAAGTAGTGAAGAGCGCGGTCGAGCTCCGCCAGATGTTTTTCTTCGGGCTTCTTGAGGTAGGTGGCGAGCTGGCTTGCGGAGTATGAGAGGTCGGGGCGACACGTGACGGCTGCGAAGAGAAGACATCCCAGCTTCTTCTGGTGGTCTCGTATGCCGGCGGGCTTAAGTAGAGCGGAGCTTCCTTTGTCGTTCCCTGCCGTGTATCGGTATGGCGTGGAGATGGCTGTCGATGTGAGCGTAAAGCGTTTGGCGATAGTGTCGGCATATTTCTCAGCGCTGAGGTAGATCGCGTCCTCCTCTTCCCGGATGTTGAGGCCGAGGTACTCAGTGACGATAGATGAAACTGTGAGGGTGAGATCTCGATGCAGCTCCCCTTCGAACCAGGTAGTGATGCCGTCTGTTGAGCCGATGTAGAGGAGATCGTCCACGTAGACGATTAGTAGGATGTAGTTGTCGTTTTTTGTGAGCCGGTACATGCCTTGATCGTGCGGTAGTTGCTTGAAGCCGATGCGGATGAGACGAGCGTGCAGGTACTGTTGCCACAGTCGCGGAGCTTGCTTAATGCCGTAGAGTGACTTGAATAGCTGGCAGACTTGGTTGGGTTCTCTGTGGGAGCCGTGCGGTAGCTCGACGAAAATGTCTGCATCAACAGGTGCGTAGAGAAACGCGTTCGCGACGTCAATTTGTCGCAGCTTCTTCTTCTTCATGGCGGCGATTGCGAGGAGAATGCGTAGTGAGGTGTGGCGGCTAACCGGAGCGAAAGTTTCGGTGAAGTCTCGTCCGTGTTCTTGGTCGAAGCCGCGTACAACCCAACGAGCTTTAAATTTTTCAATGGTGTCGTCAGCCTTTGTCTTCACACGGAAGACCCACTTCCCGGTGAGCACTGTCTTGTTCCGTGCCACGCCGATAGGAACCACTTTCCACGTGTTGCGTTCCTCCAGTGCCTTCAGCTCCTTGTCCATGGTTTCGCGCCATTTTTCCTTATGTTCCCCCCCCAGAGCCTGTTGAACCGTCGCAGGCTCTTTAGGAGTGGCGGTGCCGTGGACTGCGGTGACGAGTCCGAGAATTGGCAGTCCACTCTGTGAGTAGCGGGGAAGATTTACGTCCTCGGGATAAGCTGCTTCATCTCCTGCTTCTTGATCAGGTATGAAGTTTGGTCCTACTCGTTCTGCTTCGTTGGTGTTGACTGTCGCAGGTGTTATGTAACCGTTGTCGGCGAGATAGTAGAAGGTTTCGGCGTTGACACTTTCGCGAGGGTTATCTTCGTCCATGGGAACGTCGACGGAGCAGAACGGAAGAGGTCCGGCTTCTTCTGATGCGTTGTCCACATTCTGCTTGTCCCAGTCAGCTTCATCCGCTGCTGAGGCGAAGGCTCGGTCACCGCGAAAACCACCTGTGGGATCCTGGTCTTCTTGAAGGTTGGCAAGGTATGACTGGAGCGTGAGTCGTTCGTAGAAAATGACATCACGTGCTGCTACTGTTTCCTTGGAATGGACGTCGAAGATTTTCCACGCGTTGTAGTTCTTTTCGATTCCCATGTGTAGTCCCCACCGTGCTCGTTGAGAAAATCGGCCCGCTCGTGCTGCTGGGGGTCGGTACTGTACCATGCATCCGAATACTCGTAGCATTTTTGTGCTGCCCTGTTTCCCTGTCCATAGCAGATGCGGTGATGCGTTGTTCGGAAGCGATGATGACGACAGCAAGTTGTGCAGCATGACAGCGTGGTCCATTGCTGCATGCCACTGGTGGTTGGGTAGCCGCATGCCACGTAACAGTTTGCGCATGCTGTTCTGCAAGGTCCTGTTCATTCTTTCTGCTACACCTTGCTGCTGATGGGCGTAGGGAAGGGAGATGAGCCGCTTGATTCCCCTTTCCGCCAGGTACTGCTTGAATCGCTGAGAGGTGTATTCTCCTCCTCCGTCTGACTGGAAGCTTTTCAGTTTCACGCCCGATTCTCTCTCTGCTACTGGTAGCCAGGCAACGAAGGCTGCGAATGCCATGTCGCGGCTAGGGAGGTTTAGGTGCCAGACGTAACGGGTGGCGGCGTCGATGAAGGTGATTGTATAGTTGTATATTACTTGTCATGGTTCCCGATTGAACAGGATGTCGCTATACACCTTCTCGAGTGGTGCTTACGCGGGTGCGCTCGGGTTGTGATGAGACGCAAACGGTCGATGTGGTAAGTCACCTTCAGGGCAGGTGAGGCACGTTCCGCGTACTCGTTGAAGTTCTCGTCCGTTGGTCAGTAGGAGTGAGTCCTTGTCGAGTACTCCTGCTCTTATCGTATTGTTTAATACTGTGTTGCTTGGGTGTCCCATCCTTGCGTGCCAGGTGCTTTCGTCGGCGCGATGTCCGGGTGATCGTCGGTACATATCGGAGTTGGAGTAGAAGTTGGCGGGGAAGTTGGCGCTACGATGAACTTCTCGTGGTGCTGGGTGTATTTGTTGCGCGGTTGTCGGTGGTGTGTCGTCGATGAGGAGCGGTGTCGTTGAAGGACCAGCAATTGGTGTTGACGTTCCTGCTGTTGCCGTTGATGGTTCTGCTACTGCCGATGTTGTCTCTACTGCTGCCGATGTTGTCTCTGCTGCTGCCGATGTTGTCTCTGCTGCTGCCGATGTTGTCTCTGCTGCTGCCGATGTTGTCTCTGCTGCTGACGATGTTGTCTCTGCTGCTGTTGATGTTGTCTCTGCTGCTTCTGATGTTGTCTGGATTGTTGCTAACGCCCTTGTTCTTTCTTCTTCGGGGATGGTGTGTGAATACCAGAAGCCTTCTGGACTAAAGTCTTGATCAAGGTGTGGAGGGTGTGTCCAGTTGGTGAAGTTAACGATGGCGTCGCTGTCGGCGGTGCCAAGATCAGGAACGAAGTCAAGAACGAAGACGTTGTTCTTGAGGACCGCCTTGCCGATGTAGAGTCCTCCTCTCCCGTGATACAGCTTGAATTCTTGGGTGGTGCTGTCTGCTTCGAGGTGAATCGCTTTCGCCATTAGCTGACTGATGCTTAGTAAGTTGTAGCCGAGTCCTTCCACGATTAGTACTTTTGACATCTGCAGTACAACGTTTGTTTCCCTTGACTAAAATTGAACTACACCTTGTCATCGTGTTCACAGATTCTGATTGTTGGCGACTGTAATGACAACTTCGCGTTGAAGTTGGTGTTCTCGTTGAACGAAGCGTCCCGAGGAGCACAAGCGCTGTCCGCAGCAACTGTCCAAGAACCATGTGTCCCTTCCGGATGGTTCGCTTTGGGCGATAGCGGCGTATGTCGGGTTCGGCTGAAGTGACTCGCGGCGAGGTGTGGTTTCGTCGAGTTGTTCTTCCGGTGAGTAGTGTGGTGGTGACTCGGTGATGCAGGAGTCACTCAGCTTTGCCATGCAGCTGACGATGTTTCTTGCTCCTTGTGCAGGTTGTCCTGTTGAGGTCATTGAGGCTTGAATCTGAGTCGTGGGATTTGCTTGTGTTGAGGCGATTTGGCTGCTTGAAGATCGAAGCTGCCTCTGTGGAGTTGTTCACTGTTGACGATTCGGGCAGTGTGTACGCAGGTGTCCTGAAGTTTTGCAAATGTGGCAGAACGGAGGTACTGGCTTTGGTTGTTGCTGCCGGTTGTTGTTGTTGTTGTAGCGTCGCTGAGTGTGGAACGCGAATTCCGGTGCTGATGTCTTCTTTTTGTGTCGTTCTTCTTGCAGGTCCATGTCTTGCTGCTCGGCGTGGATTTCGGCGCAGAGCGCTGCTTCGGAGATTCTTCCGTGAGCTCGGAGAATGGCCTTTGTGGCGTGCCATTGAGGATCGAGGCCACCGATGATGACTGTCACGAAGGCGTCTTCAGAAATCGACCCTCCGCATCGAAGAAGCTTGTCGCGCAACTCGTGACATCGACTGATATACGCCATTCCTTTCTCCCCTGGTTTCATTTCAACCGTTGTCAGTTCCGCCATTAACCGACTTTGGCTTACGCTGTCTGTTGCTTGATACAGGCTCTTCAGGTGGTTGTACGCGAGCTCCGCGGAGTTGCCGTAACCTCGATAAGTCCTTATGTTCTGCTGTTGAGTCGGGGTGATGTTCCTCAGTAGGATCGTGTACGCCATCATTGACTGATAGGTGTACTGCTGCTTCTCGTACTGTGTGCCGTTTGTTGGGTATGGCAGAGACCCGTCGAAGAACCCGAGTATCAGCGAGCCTTCCATCATCAGCTCGAACTCGAACGACCAGGTGAAGAAGTCCTTTCCATCGAAGGGTCTTGACGTCTGCATCTTCAGAACGTGTGCAAACTGCGACTGAACTTGTAATGCGTCCAATGATTTTTCTTGTCCAGGTGAGGGCTGTGGGTGTGGCATAAAGCTGATGGACCCGCGCTCGTACGGGGCAAATGTAGGCTGCTGTTGTTGATTTCCTCGTGCATATGATGAGCCGTCGAGACTCATGGGTGTTGCTCCGTTGTTCTTGCTGTTGTGTGACTGCGCAGGTGCCGATTGCTTGTGTTGCTCGTAGAAGGACATGAAGGAGAAAAACTTCTCCATCATGCTCTGGTCGAAATCTGCAGGTCGATTCGCGGGAGTCTCGGTAGATGTTGCTCTGGGTCTTGTTGCCGTGCCCTCCTCCGTCTGTAGGCCAGAGTTAGGAGGTGGAGTAGGAGTAGTTCCCTAGGAGCCGTTGGAGTTGCTCCTTTCCTTTTGTGTAGCCATGTTGATTGATGTTGTCGGTGTAGAAGTTGAATTCCCCCTGATTGCTCTCATACCATGTTGGGCTGTAAAGCCCTTAGGATCTTTGCAGGGGTGAACTCTGGGTAGAGTTGGTGTAGTAGCGGAAGCGTTAATTAAAGGGTTGTGAACCACCTTGCGCTAGTATGTGAGGGCAAAGTAAGTTGATTAAAGCAAAGAGATACAGGATTATATAAGAGTACAAGGAATACGAAGAGATACGGTTATAACTACTTTACTGTTGCTGTTGCGGTTCGATATAGTGACGACTCGGGCAACTGCTCTGTAGCGAGTCAGTTGTGTGTCCTTGCTGTCGTGCTGTACTTGTCAGGTCAAAGGTCGCTGACCTTTGACTTTCGCGTAACCTCTAGCAACCGCTCAACCTCCGAGGGTTGACTCGCCGGTGCTTCGATATACTTTGCTTCGCTTCTGACTTGGTGTTTCGACACGACAGAGGCGCTTAGGACCGATTGTTTCCAACATACTCTAGGTTGTGTAGGGTCACACCTTAGAGGGTACAACCCAACTCTCTCGACATCCTTGTACCCCCTCCCTCTTACCTAGTCGACACTCATTCTTCACCTAGCTAGTGATTCTAACACTGCTGGCATAGTCATGGCATGGCAGGCAGAGTATATCAGATGGGTAATGTTATGGGAAAAGGGTACATGGTATTTGTCCACATTGTCAGCTCGGCCACTTGGTCGGTCTGTTACAGACCACGGTTTAGGTAACGGCCCTCAGATATCAGGAAAAAAACCCTGAAATTCCTGATTTTCAGGGTATTTTTTTATACCTACCCTGATTCTCAACGTTCAGATTTTAGAGAGACTGATATTTCAGCCTTTTTTTCTCTAAGGGGACTGATTCTTCACCCTTTTATCGAAGTGCACACTGAATGCACATTCCGAATCCCACCACTCGTGGATCATTTCTTTAACAATAGGGTACAAGTTGTGAACGAATTTGCCCGACGACAGGTTAACCCGTCTCAGTTGTTAGTGGTCGCAATCAAAAGGCAAGATCTTAGTTTTGAGTCTTGCGACTGTTACTAATCGCAGGACTTCCATTAACACTAAGCAAATCAAGTAGTAAGCATTTTTCTTGGGAAACCCTGAGAATTCAGGCTTTTTTTTTTTTAGGAACACTGATTTTCAGCATTTTTGAAATAGGGAACCCTGATGCATCAACGTCCCTAAAAGTGAATATGAGGCCCTGGTAACGTACATGTCCTTCATCCTCCGGTTTGTGAACATCGCAAAAAAGACAACAATGTTGTGGTGCCTAGGTTTAATTGATAATATTAGTTCTTGCCCGTATCATTTGCAATACACCAGGCTTTCATGAATAAAGGAGATCTCAGTACAGCACTCTGGGTGCTGAGCGTTCTGCTCCACATGGAATATTCGATACCCCATCTTCTCCAAATGGTACACCATGAACAGTGTCTTGCTAGGGTTGCCCACACTGCCAAGATGAAGTGGTAGAGGCAGAGCACAGGAAGGGAGGATAGTGTGAGTGGGGGGCTGGGGGGGAAGGGACAAAATGCAATACCCCATCTTCTCCAAATGGTACACCATGAACAGTGTCTTGCTGGGATTGCCCACACTGCCAAGAGTGAGATAAGGCAGAAGATCACCCATGCACGGGAAGGGAGGGGGTTGTGTTGTGAGCGGGGGGGTGGGGGAGGGGAAGTGAGATACACCATGAACAGCGTCTTGCTGAGGTTGCCCACACTGCCAAAATTAAGGAAAGGCAGAGCAGAGGAAGGGGGGGGGTTGTGTTGTGAGCGGGGGGGGTGGGGGGGAGGCGAGAGTACAAGAGGCACTTACTCGTGGAACTCAATGATCAGCTGGCCAATGGGGGGACTCCCGAGGGGCAAGGGGCGAGTGCCCTCTGGCACGCCAACAGCTGGGAGAATGTCAAACAGCACCACCGCTTCGCACCCCTCACAGTCGATCTTGAACACGTCTATGTGCGTGTGGTTGTGCTTCCGCATGACCTGGGGAGAACATGAAAGAGTGGAGGGGAAGGGGCACGGAGGAATGTTCAAACAACACCACTGCCTCACAGCCTTCACAGTCGATCTTGAACACGTCTATATGCGTGTGGTTGTGCTTCCGCATGACCTGGGGAGAACATGAAAGAGTGGAGGGGAAGGGGCACGGAGGAATGTTCAAACAGCACCACTGCCTCACAGCCTTCACAGTCGATCTTGAACACGTCTATATGCGTGTGGTTGTGCTTCCGCATCACCTGGAGGAGGGTTGGAGAGGAGGGAGGGGGGGGGGGGTGGGGGAAGAGCACAAAGAAGGCATGTGGCACGGCAGCAGCGGGCAGAATGTCAAACAGCACCACCGCTTCACAGCCCTCGCACTCGATCTTGAAAACATCAATATGCGTGTGGTTGTGCTTCCGCATGACCTGAACAAACATGAAAGAGAGTGGAGTTGAAGGGGCACGCAGAATGTCAAACAGCACCACCGAGGAGAAGGCGCCCAAAGAAGAGACGTGCGCCTTGCTCCATGCCCTCTGCTGTACAACACCTATGCCTTGCTCCCCAAAGAAGGCGCCCCAAACAAGAGACGTGAGGCAGCAGAGGTGTTTGAGGTGTCTTTGAGGCGCCTTCTCTTCTCTCAAACACCCTTCCCTGGCCGACGTCGGCAACAGTGACGACGATGTGCAGCAGCAGGTATCGTGCCATTCAGCTCTCCCCTTCCTCCCCCCTTCTTCCCCCTCCGTCTCTCCTCCACCCACTTCCCCAGGGAAGCTCTACCCCCACCATCAATATGTATGTGGGGCGAAGAGAAGGCGGCCCAAAGGAGAGAAGGGTTTGAGGTGTCTTTGGGGCGTCTTCTCTTCTCTCAAACACCCTTCCACCTCCCTCCTGATTCAGAGCTGGGTAACTTCTTCAGGTGCCCCCAAAAACAGACCAAGTCACCTGCTGTTCTACGGTCATGAAAGAATTCCTCTTGATCTCCTCCTTTCACTGCTAATTTTTAAGTCCACTCAGTAAAAACTCCACCCCTTCAAACCCCATTCTCCTCGATTTTTGAGTCGACTCAAAAATGAACTCCACCCCTTCAAACCCCATTCTCCTCGATTTTTGAGTCGACTCAAAAATGAACTCCACCCCTTCAAACCCCATTCTCCTCGATTTTTGAGTCGACTCAAAAATGAACTCCACCCCTTCAAACCCCATTCTCCTCGATTTTTTAGTCGACTAAAAAATGAACTCCACCCCTTCAAACCCCATTCTCCTCGATTTTTTAGTCGACTCAATAATGAGCTCCACCCCTTCAAACCCCATTCCCCTCTCACGTGCTCTATATTCATAAAGCGCTCCCCGTGGTCTCCTCCTTCCATTTCTCCCGTTCAACCCCCTATCCACCCCTCACCTTCTCTACAAACATCAATGCATATCTCTGTTTTGAAACACCTTACTATCGGACCTAACTCACCTGTTCAGAGGTGACTTTTGAGTCGACTCAAAAGTCATCTTTTGAAACACTTTAATATCGGACCTAACTCACCTGTTCTAGAGTCATAAACGCCTTCCCCTTGGTCTCCGCCTTCCACTGCTCCACCGTAGATTTCGCCGCCAATCCGACGGCCTCAAACGACAGGAAGGGCAGGCGCATCATGGTGTGTTCCATCGCAGGGTCTAGGAACGGGTCGAATGTAAATGGTCTTGTGTGCAGGCGAGAAGCTATATCTCTTTCGAATGTGTACTCCCCATTAGACCCTATGCTGGTGTGTGCGAGTGGGGAGCAGGAAGAGGGGGGGAAAGGGCAGGCGCATCATGGTGTGTTCCATCGTAGGGTCTTGAAACGGATCGAAGGTGAAGGGACGGGTGTGCAGGCGAGAGGCAATGTCCCTCTCAAACGTTCACTCCCCATTGGATCGGATCCTATGCTGGAGTGTGTGTGTGTGGGGGGTGGGGGAAGCGCAAGGGCAGACTCGAGCTCGCGTGTGAGTGGAGAAACAGGAATGACTTTTGAGAATTCTCAAAAGTCACTCCCAAGGGCAGACTCCAGCTCGAGCTCGCGTGTGAGTGGAGAAACAGGAAGGGCAGGCGCGGCGGCAGAGCATCATTGTGTGTTCCATCGTAGGGTCTAGGAACGGATCGATGGCCTTGTGTGCAGGCGCAGCATGGTGTGTTGTGTTCGAGTGCTGGATCGAGTTGGTTTTTGAGAAACGGATAGAATGTACATGGCCTTGTGTGCAGGCGCAGCATGGTGTGTTCGAGTGCTGGATCGAACCCATCATGCTGCGCCTGCCCTTCCCTCCCGACGTGCTGGATCGAGGAACGGATCAAATGTACATGGCCTTGTGTGCAGGCGAGAGGCAATGTCCCTCTCAAAAGTGTACTCCCCGTTTGACCCTATCATCTCCTGTCTCGATGTGACTTTTGAGTCGACTCAAAAGTCACCCCGTTTGACCCTATCATCTCCGTCTCCTGTCTCTTTCCAGCCCCTCACCATATTTGAGACGAGGGCGAGAGGATGGTAAGGGGCAGGAGACGGAGAGCAGGGGAGGTGTGGGAGGGTTGATAAGACACGATAGGCAGTCGTAGCTGTAGATGATAGGCAGTCGTACCTGTAGATGATTAATAGGCAGTCATACCTGTAGATGATAGGCAGTCATACCTGTAGATGACTGTTTTTTCTGGAATGAAAGACTTCATGTTGCATATCCACTGCACAGAGAGAGAGAGAGTGGAGAAGTAGGGAGGGAGGAAGGAAGAAAAGAGGACTTTGAGGTGAGGCGCTTCTGGACTGAAAGACTTCATGTTGCAGATCCCCTGTACACGAAAATGAGTGCAGGGCGGGGGCCGCGGAGGGGGAAAACGTAAGTGAAGATAAGAACGAGAAAGGGAGTAGAAGAGTGTGGGGGAAGAGAAAGCAAGATGGTGGAAGGGAAGGAAGTTGTGGAGACAGAGAGGACGGAAACGTATGAAGGGATGCTTACATCCCTTAAACGGATGTACGTTTCCGTCTGAGACATCCTTTAGCCCCCAGACGGAAACGTGTGAACGGAATGCTGCACGTACATGTCGCAAAACAGAGAGAATGGAAAGGACGGGCAGGGAACCAGTCCGTTTATTTTAACTCCTAGTGACCCAACCGCTCCCATATGGTATGCCCAAACCAGCACACTCCCAACACAGTAACCCTCACCTTCCCCCCATTCTTTTGACGCGCCTCAAGAACTGAGCCACTGCAACCCCGAGATTCACCCACCTTCCCTTTCCCTCGCCTCGAAATCCCCATACCTCCCCCCTGTCCGCCCAGATCCCGATTCGCTCCTCCATGGGGCAGGCAGGGGAGCGTCGCCAGCAGCACACATGCCATGGGGCAGCAAGCAAGGTACGGGCCCATTCTCATAACCCCTTTGGGCTTTGAGAATCACTTGAGCACTTAGTTTTACAGAGCGTTTTACCGCTGTTGTTCTTTTGCTTAAGCCTACGCAGCTACGCTACACAACTGCTGCTCTCTGAGAATTATGACTGAACAGCAGGCAGGAGAGCGTCGCCAGCAGCACACATGCCATGGGGCAGCAAGCAAGGTACGGGCCCATTCTCATAACCCCCCGGTATGCAAACCCACCTTTTGAGTCAACTCAAAAGTCACCCCATTCTCATAACCCCCCAGTATGCAAACCCACCTTCCCCTCATCCGCCCAGATCCCTAAACGCTCCTCCATGGGGCAGGCAGGGGGAACGCCGCCTCCATCACACTCTCCACCTCCCTTCCTCCCTCCAACCAACTTCATCCCTCGCTCACTCTCCCCCGTCCGCCTACATGCATGCGCAGGCGCTTTGCTCCATGGGGCAGGCAGGGGGGCGCCGCCACCATCACACTCTCCAGCTCCTGCCGCATTCTCCCATGCCCGTTACCAGTTTACAACCATCTTATACGATACTCTTATCCTCTCACCTTTCCCGCGTCCGCCCATATCCCTCACCTTCCCCCGTCCGTCCAGATGCCCAGGCGCTCCTCCATGGGGCAGGGCAGGGGTATACCGCCACCGCCACCATCACACTCTCCAGCTCCCTCCCTCCATGCATGCATACCTTCCCTTACATACCTTTCCGAACTCCCCATACATACCTTCCCATACATACCTTCCCCCCGTCCGCCCATATCCCCAGGCGCTCCTCCATGGGGCAGGGGTAGACCGCCACCAGCACACTCTCCAGCTCCTGCCGCATCTCCAAATCCAACGGCTGAGATCGCCCACCAAAGAACTCCGATCTACGGCGCATGTTGTCCTGCAGGTTGAGAAGCAACGGAGAAGCGGGAAGGGGGTGGGTGGGGGGGGAGGAAGGGGGGGTGGGTCGGGGGACGTGGCGGGAGGAGGGGGGAAGGAGGCTGAAATCTAGTGTGTGAGGAGGCGAAATGGGAGAGAGAGGGGGGGGGGGGGGGGGGGGGGAACTGTGGTTGCATGAAAATCACTTTTGCGAAGTGATTTCCGTGTGTGAGGGGCGAAATGGAAGCGAGGGGGGGGCTGGGGGTTGGGGGGTGGGGAGTGGGGGGGTTTTGGGGGACATTGGGTGTGACCAGGATATAAATTTCCAACTTGAGGCTTGGAGGGTTTTTTTCATAACCTGATTAACAGCCTCGGCATGTTCCCAACCTAGGGCACAGCTTCGGCAATCCCCGTACCTGGTACACAGTCTCGGCATGTAGCAGCATCTCTCGCTCCACCCATAAGTCCACTTTAAACTCCTCCCCTCCTCCCACGCCGCCATTCCCGCCGCGAGCCACGCCGCCAATCACGCCGCCACTCCCCAACGATCCTCCACGGCGACTAATCCCACCGCCGGCGACCGAGTCGCGACTAGGAACATCACCGCCTCTTAAAGCCAGTAGCGACGCGAGACAGATAATCATGACGCAGGCGCCCGCTAAAAGCGCCGGGAGAACCGGACGAAGCCACGCGAAGATACGGAGAGACGCGAACGCGTTAAGGAGGGAGAGGAACGCGCGGCCCGCATTGGTGAAAGAGGACACTAACGAGCGGTTTTCGGGAACCCATCGCGATTCGAGCGCTCGAAGCGCGTCGACTATGTGGTACGGGTCGGGATAGGGTCGCGGCTCGGACTCTGGCGGTGGGCTGCTGGCCGGCATTGCTGGTTTATAGACGTCTCAGACCAGCCTCGCTGTTTCAGCTCTGATTTTTCCGGTCGTTAATTGACCAATGTGAACAATAAGCCCTGTCAATTCAGCAATTTGAGCCCGAGCTTTCCACCTAGGTCACCAGCATTCGGCTTAGAAGAAAAATGAATTAATGGGGTCGGTCTGTGGGTGTATTCAATCCCGAGCCGCGGAGCGAGCGGCTGAATCTACAATGGTGAGAATGCCATGCCGGAAACAGAGTCGCGACTCGCGACTTACGCGTCAGCTCTGCAACTAGCTTACCAGCTATTTGTTCCTGCCACCTAGCACACACAAGAGCTACTCCATCACAGACATGTAACGTACAAAGTGAAAAGCGAGAAATACGAGGGAGTGCCGCCATTAATGGGGGGAAACTGTGTTTGCACGAACCCATCAAGGAAATCAGCGGGAAATGAGCAGGCACAGTGTTCGACAGGTGAGGTGAGTGCTGCTGTGCCGCCTGTGGCTCCACATGGAATTTGTGTCGTTAGCGAAATATTTGCGTTATGCTGTGGTTGACTTTCAGTGAGGCAAAGCTACACGTCCGACCAGAGGGGACAGTCTATAATAAATACGGTCATTCTGATGTCAGCCTCCAACCTTGTTAAACATAATTGAGACCTTCGAATCAGGAATAGCTATGCAATAAATTATTGAATTCAATGAAAAAAATATTTTATTTATTTTTTGGCAATCTCAAGGACTCGGATTGGGGGATTGTAATGTCAAACGTATCGTCACTTGTAAGCAGTTTCTGGATGATTCGGAACGCGCTGTATGAAGTATCGAGTTAAATTGTGGAGAACTTTTGCTTCTGCAGGTGGCAGAACCTGCCACGAAATCTGCAACGAAAGGATCTCAAAACCTGACGCCACTGATTGTCCACGTTAGCGAGAGCGGGTTGGCAGGCGACGATTAGACCTGCTTCGCACGCCACGTCGCGCGGGCAATCTGAAATATCGTTACGCAGCGAAAGGGTATTGATCTTCGCCGATAGGCTGTGGAATGCATTCCACATGCCGATTGGCTTGGCAATTGGGATGGTCGGTCGACTGCGTCAGTCAGGTGGTCGCTGCTGGCGATGGCGCTTCGATGCTGAACGGCGGCTGCCCGTGTCAGATCCTTTCTTCAAGTGATTCGCACACGCGCAAGCGAGCTTCGCACAACCATCTCAACGACCTGGCTGCCAGCATGCATAAAGCGGAACCACCTGGCATTTAGGACCGAAACTTTTCAGTCTGCTCCACTTTTGTTCAAGGCCATGAGGTGAGGCGGAATGTAGTTGTTGACAAAAGGGCCCTAGAAAGAATATTCAAAATTGTCGCCCCTACCTCAACACTTTCTATCTTCATTACTTGCAGCTGATGCTTGCACCCGTTTTCCTGCGACCATTGGTGATTATTCCCGTTGCTGTCGTATCTACTCCGGCAGGTGTGGATCGTGATTAGCGTCGACATGGTGGTCTCCGACCTTTCATCCATCCATGTCCCAGATAAGAGCGCGCTAATGAGGGACGACGCTCCTTGTGATTGCGCTGGCTGTACCAGAGAAGGAGAGACGCCGGGTGGCCTTGTGGCAAAGGCTCTAGAGGTACTAAGGTCGCATTCATGGCTCTTAAATAACTCCGCCTTGCTTGCGCCATTCCGGTCGTGACCAAGTTATCATCGTCAACTGTGTGCAGCTGAACGGCTTCCCGAAGGACCTGATGCCCGCGCATCACATACGACATTGTTACGGCGATGCGACTGGCCCCTTCCGTATATACCTGGATCAAATTGTTGAGAAGGAGATTTGCGGATATCCCATTCGCTTCGAAACCGAGATTAGCGGGACCATTGAGAATGGCTGGATTCGAAAGCTGCAGGTAAGAGGCGCCCCGCTGAAATGCCATGTTACCAGGGTTTGGTAATTGAAACTGACAGGGTATGGCCACTGAATGTATGTCTGTCCCAACGCAGGGTATTCGTGTAAGACCTCTGATCACGTGGAAGGCAGTAGATACGCTACAAACAGGGGCGTCCTGCTACGGAAGAGTTTATTTCTACGTGGGTTATTTATTTAGGAGCTTTCTAGCAACAGAGTTCGATGGTATTTGGTCCTTGGATGATGAGGAGGAGAATGGTGACAAGGAGGGATGCAGCGATGAGGATGGGAGTTTTAGATTGGAAGGCTGACTTATAAATTTTACGAATACCTTCTCAGCTGGATGTGGCAGGAGAATATTTCTAGCCTAGTTTGTCAATGACTTGGCTATGCATGTTCTCATGCTACATAATATGTATATTCAAAACTTCATATTATTCTTTTTTCTTGCAACATTCCAGTAAAAAAAAATTAGACAAGAATTTGGACAATGCAAAGTGGGCACACCACTTGTGAACTTGCTCTAATCTCACTCCTCCATCCTCATTGTTCCCCTCTCCAACTCTTTGATTCTTTTCTTAGCTTCGTCAAGCTGCTGTGCCAGAGCTGCTTTATGTTGTCTTTCTCCATCCAGAAGATTCTGAACCAGCAGGCAAAGGCCTAGTGTTGGAATTTTCATCCTGCCAGCACATGTACTCCATCAGAGGTCAAACATTATATCAGAGACTACCTACATTGCATTGTCCTTTCTTGCCCGTACCAAACATCAGGAGACTGGAGCTTCGTATTTGTGGTAGGAAAAACATCCTGTAAGGCCCATGTACATGTCATAAGGTCAGACAAAACTGAGGAACCAGAGTGAAGCTGTATGAGATAAGAAAGGTGAGCTTACCTCACGCATGTTTCCGAGAAAGGCAAGGGTCTGCAACAGAAATGAGGTTGCAAGGTACGGTATTAGTTCGCACGCAAAAAAATGTAAACAAGATCCTACCATATAAACCCAAAGCCTACCTCAAGCATGCTTCCTGCAGAGATGTCGTCAAGGTCCAGGACACCATTTACAGTTCGCTGCTCTATCTCCTGCAGGTAAGATGAGTGGGACTTTAATGCTTCATATAACAACAGCAGGAATCACTGTTTAGCAAGTTCAGCTTACAGCATAAAACTGTCGCTTCCTTCTTTTGAAAGCGCTGATAGCGTTTGAAACATCAGTGCCAGATTTGTGCTTCTTCGCCTCTTCATAATCAAGATCTGTATAATCCAGTCTCTTTCTCTTAGTGACAAAGTCACCCTCCAGTGTTTGTGCCAACACAAACTGCATCCAACAAAAGCAGTCAGAACAATACCATGCACCAAAAATGCCGGTCGTTGCAATCCATACCTCAACATCTCCTTCCTCAGTTTCCTTGAATCCAGCAACAATAGCATCTGCAGAAAACATGTTAGACAAGCTGACAAAGTGCAAGGCGGAATGGACATAAGACTCCATGTCACACCTGATATGGACGATGCTAAGGCCGGATCAGGATTGGCTGCCATGCTAGATGGACTGACTTCGATGTCAGCAGTTGCATTTGCGGCACTCATGTACTTCCGCCTCTCTTCAAAGCCCAACTGTTCCCACTCCTTGGAAAGCTCTTGTTGAATATCTGCCAAAGTAGCTCCTTCCCCCAGTCCCTCCTCAACCCGGCTCCGATTTTCAAGGCAGAAGACAATAAATCCTGAAAACAAAAAGTAGCTGAACACGATTGTTTCATTTGTGCTTGCATGCAGTGCGGGTGACACATACCATCTTGAAGGATTCCTTGAGCAGGCTTTGAGTTTGGTTGACCATGTCTTCCCAAACGAGGCTTATCATTATCATTTCTGGATTTAGACTTAGTTGTAGCTTTAGCATTCGTTTTTTTTCCTGCGACGAAAACCCAGACACATGCTTTGTGTTTGAGCATAAAATACAGCAAAAATCAACCAGGTTGAAAAGTAACACAAAGTAAGCCCTTGTTGGAACATAACTTGTACCTTTGTGTGTGGAGAGTGGCCCATCCGTGTTACCCTGTTCTAGTCCAAGCTTGGCCTTTTCCACCTCTGCCTTATCCTCGTAGGTCTGGAAGTGGCAGTTATAAGAACGTATGATACATGACTTTCTCACATACCCTCATAGTTAGCCACCTCACCTTTTTCTCCTCTTTGGGCAGGTTCCGCCATTGTTCACCGATTGCCTGCAAAAAAAAAGTGAAGCAAAGTGAAGCAGTTTCACAACTCTCACTCCCAGCCTTGAATGGTCGATATTCTTTCCACAAAGAGGTCCTGCAACTGCTCACCTTCATAATGTCTGTTGGCTTCATGTCAGGATTCCTCTGTTTGATGGACTCGCGGATGTCATTGCTGCACAAACTCACATGAGTTGAGTTGAGACGGTCTGTTATGGAAAGGTACCATCAACTAAGCATGGGGAATCCTCAATACGTACGAGAATATAATATAGGGCGTAGGAGCCCTTGGTGGTTTGCCATCTCCTTGGCGTTTGTGGGACTTTCCCGATGATGACTCCTTCTTGGATAACTTCTTCGCACTTGAACTCTTGGCTTCTTCAACATGGTCAGTGTCTTCCTCGGGTGCATTCTTATCCTTGTCTCCAACCTCCGCACGTTTGACAGGTTCAGCGAAACTGTCATCTTTCTGTGCGTCAGCGTCAGAACCGTTAACGACTGCTGCAGCTACTGTTGTTTCTGCCATAACAAATCCTTATGAGTCTCTATCCAGGAGCACTAGCGTTCAGATCGGGATTTTCTGACCAGGGTTATACTTACCTTCTTTTGATGGTCCAGCAGCATCACTGGCTGACTTGACAGCATAATTTGTCTCAACCTTCGAGTTTTGGTCGGGTTGCTTTGGTCCATCACTCATCGGTATTTCAGGAAATCTGAAATAATTAATGCGCTGGTCAAGTGCTCACGAAAGGCTTACTGTGCATACTACGTGTGCTCTTGTCACAAGACTTACTTTGGCTCTTCGTCAGAGTGTGCCTTCTCCGTCGGTACAGGGGTCGCTCCTGCAAATTCCATGGACTGTGAGTACGACGTTATCAAATCAGACTTTCAGATGCCAACATCGCATATTAGTCATACCTTTCTTCGACTGACTCTGTGAGCCACGTGGACTTATGACATTTTCCGCACCATCAAGGTTTGAAGTCATGGCATCCACAGTCTTCAATGCGTCATTAACCTCCAGCAGGGACCTTGAGTCATTGTTCTTTGAATCCACCTTGTCGTTCAGCTCCTCAAGGGTTGGGTTGGTTGGGTTGGTGGCCTGTGCAGTGTCTTCTGGTTGGGCCTTCGCCAATACTTTTTTCTCGGACTGAACTTCGATGTCAGTGTCTACCTTGATTTCTTTCCCGTTCTCAGTCGTGCTAGAGCCCGACGAGCTTGATGAGCTGAAGCATGGAGACAGTGATGAAAATTTGAAAAACAAATCAGGCGTTCAACGCGCAAATGATACTTACGCAGCAGGAGACTTCGCTTTTCCCTTGTCTTCAACTCCACCCTTAGCAGCATCTGGGTGAATGGAGTAGCGCAATGGACTTAACCGTTAGGATTTTAGTTTAAACAAATGCGTGTAATCATGAGCGTCGAACATACCAGGAGTCGAGCATTTTGATGGCTCTGGTGCCTGATTCGTCGCACCATCTACAGAAGGAGGTCGTGGCACGGATGTAACTTCGTCTCCCTTGCATTCCTTTGTCACAGCTGCTGTTGTGTCGGAGCTTGAGCTTGAGGAGCCTGAGCTGGATGAACTGCAATAGTCGACAACAGTTGTGGGCGTTCAGCATCGCCGGAACGTTGTCTATTACGGATATTCAAGAATGCGGGATTTTGACACAGAAAACCAGACCTCGAAGAACCGCTAGGCGCTTTCGTCGGCGTCTTCTTTTCCTCAGCTTGCTTCTCCTGCGGAGGAGGCGATTTTAGCGTCGCGACCTGGAAGCCCGTGCGTTTCTTCATGGTGGATAGCAGAACTGATTCCAACTTCTCGACAAACGGGAAGCGAAACCTGGACTATGTCCGTGCAACGAGCTTATGTTAATGAGCTGGAGCCTCGAGTGCAAGACCTATGGAACCGAGGGAATGTCGAAGGAGTTTTTGCCTGTTCAAAGCTCAAATTGGTCCCTTCGGAACTTCAATCGCGGATGTGCAACTTTAATAAAAATCCTTCACTTCACCCACAGTATTGTGAACACGTAATATGCTGTGGATAATGTGCTAACAGGAGGGAAAACTGGTGAAATTTTATTGTATTGCTTCGTTGCCATCTAAATTTTGCAGAGATCATGTAGCGTTCAGACAATGAGATCAAATTTCATGCAGATAAGTGGTCAATTGCTCCTGTTGGGCAATTACTACCAATCAGAGCACCACAAACATGTTGGGCACTTCAGCAAGGAAAGAAACACTTCTGAAACTCGACTTTCACAGTTTAAGCTATTTTGGTCCAGGCAATCTACCTAGGACAGTGCTTCTGGATACAAATGTGTGTGCCTGCCTCGCAATCCTTTCCTCTACTAGAGCTTCTGCCATTATATCAGACCCACTCAGAGCAAACCCACCTGTTGCAAACGTGAGCAAGGAAAGTGATGGACGAACGCGGTTAGACTTAATGATACAAAAACGGGAAAAAACATCAGTGTAGACAATAATGTGCAATCTACCTTGAAGAATGAACAATTTCAGGCTAGCTGCAAAGAAACCATAACAGAGGAGATGTGTACCTTTCGTTGGAGGCAGCAAACCAGCTGCAGCAGCAGAGACAGGCAGAACCCATGGAGGCAAATCATTACCACCCGGTGACCCTGCTCCTGGTGCTCCTGCCACTCCTCCTACTGTTGCCGCTGCTCCTGCCCCTGCTTCCCCTGCTGCTCCTGCTGCCCCTGCAGCTGCTGCAGCAGAATCAGCTACAGCAGCCGCTACAGCCGGAGATAGATGTCTGGGGGGGTCCATGGGTGGGAAGCCTATGGGTGCATGTGGTGCAGCGTGGGCGGCATCTGACGTGGCATCGGAGATTGTGGGGTGTGGTTTAGATGAAGGGTATGTGTTTGGCGTGAATGGCATGTGCGATGCAGCAGGTGTGTGTGATGCATGTGGTGCATGGGGTGTGTGTGATGCATGTACAGCAAGGGGTGCATGTGATGCATGTGGTGCATGGGGTGTGTGTGATGCATGTGATGCATGGGGTGCATGTGCAGCATGGGTTGCATGGGGTGCATGGGGAGCAGGCGGCATGTGCAGCAGGCTGACTCCTGAGTTCAGCTGGTGTCGAATGGTCTGCAGCTGTGCCATCGCCTGCTGCACCTCCTGCTGCAACTGCGATAAACACATTTGGGGGAAATAAAAGAACTGGGATGGAAGCTGAGGGGAACAAAGACGCTTCAATCAGCGTAACACAGCAGCTGAACCAACGCCTGCTGCCCCTCCTGCTGGAGAAAAAGACGAGATGACTTTTGAGTTGACCCAAGAGGCAGGAGGTCGAACTTTTTAGTCAACCCAACGCAATCGCCAGCTGCACCTGCTTCAGAAAAGGAAAGAGATGTCACACCACTTGAAAAGTTGCCACTTGTATAAATCTACAAGAATTCTCAAGTGTTGTACCTCGGATAACTGTGACTGGTCGGCAAAAGAGCTGAATTTGGTTCGGGCAGCATGAACAAATCCCATGGCCCGTCCCGTGAGGCGTCCAGCTGCCCGGGCTATCACAGGGATATCCTTGGGGCCTGACGAAGCAGCAACGCGAGAAACAAGCGACCAAAAATTGGGGGGCGGGGGGAGCGGGGGGGGGGGGAAGGGGGGGGGAGAAGAAAAAAGAGGAGGGGAATGAAAGGGGTTGAGTGCAGTTGGGAGTGTATCAGAACGGAAAGAAATCATCAAAGGGGAGGCGGCTCAGACAGAGGAAATGGGTGAGGCTACGGCCTTGTGGGAAACAGAAGCACATGCATACAGAGGGGTGGGTTGCAGTGCAATGTTAGGGACAGCCAGTCGGGTTGAGGACAGGAGTTAAGTACATGATTACCTATCGTTGGGAGTGGGGTACAAGAGAGGGATGCAGCGACATTATAAGTTTCCTGAGAGAGCAGGAGAGGAATGAGGGATCGAGCCTCTGAGCACAGGACGCTTTTTAGAATTCTCAAAAACTCCCTGCAACGTAGAGGAATGTGGGATCGAGCCTCCGCAGGGTTTTTTTGAGAATTCTCAAAAACACCCTGCAGGAGAGGAATGAGGGATCGAGCCTCTGAGCACAGGACCACGGTAGCAGCGAGGGATCGGGGGAGAGTGGAGGAAGATACGTGGCAGGAATAGGAAGGGAAGGAGCATTGAGAAAGGTCGGAGCACGGAGAAATGGCGGAACGGGTTACCAAAGGCGACGATTCCCAGAAAGACGAGCAGCCCGATTTCGCCATTCGATAGGCCTAGCATCTTCGCCGCCAAGCGCTACTAGACGAGGCGACTATCTATCTAAGGCGAAATCCACCGCAAACTGAGAGGGAACTTTTGCGGCGCCTCAAATGCCATCCAATGGGCCTACTAGCATCGTCGCCGCCAAAGCGCTAGACGAGGCGACTATGTATCTAATGTGAAATCGATCGCCCACTGAGAGGGAAATTCCGTAACGAAAAACCGGGTCGCGGTTGTGATGTCGCGAATGTTTGCGCGCCGACGATCAGCGGGTAGCGCGCTTAGCCACACGTTGCGCGTTTCGTCTGGCCTTTTGAATCTGGGTGACGTGCTGAACGAGTATGCGGATACCGTGGGGCAAATTCGTTGAGGTTCTGGCTCAACTGCTGACGCGCACCGTACATAAATGGCTCGTATCGTGTTGCACCGCGCTAGAAAACAGCATCACCAGTTAACTCCAGAAATTCGTACTGCCACGGAGCAGCTCCAGTAGAAGTGTGGAGGTTGTGGTCGTTCGAAACACACCATCTTATGGCCGTCAATATGGACCCACGGCACACTCTTCGACAAAGGGTTTGCAAGAGTAGTAGTCTAATCGAGCTACAAGTTATTGATATCAGTCGTGAGTCACACACATAGCGAACTATTCTTTCGCCTTTTACTAAAGAATACCGTGTGTGTTTCTCATCTAGCGGCATACAAGAATTTTTGGAGTGCCTTCTCGGAGGCACCACAATTCAATGTTGAAATGGGAATGTAAATAGGAATACCAACCTAGGAAGCGGGAATCAGAGGGCCGTAGCTGCCTACTATTGGTTGGCTGATCATGTGATCTGCCAACTCAGGACGAACCATGACTGAATAATAAGGAAAAGAAGGTTGAAAATGGCTATATCATTGCCTCGTTAGCAGCAGCATATCAGAAGTAGCCTAAATTTATGGTAGCGCACGATCACTTCAGTTTGTTCTTTTACCTAGTCTAAAATTAACATCCTCCATTATGGCTCTATTCCTAGCCTGCACCTTTGCAGCTATGCCAGGTGTTGCTTCCAGCAACACAGCACGGCCGACAGCCATCACTGCCAGAGCAGCAGCAAAGCCTGCTACATACCGGGCAGTGCGGGCAGGGCGGTAATTTATCACTGCCCTGATCTCATCCCAGCTGGCTGGGTGATGCGACATGTGAAATCAAAAGACGTGGTGGACCCAAATAAGGCCTGCAAACACACGAACGGGTCGCACAGGGTGAGAGCAACATTAGTGGGTAAAAACGAGGGGAGCAACAGAGGGTGGGAGCAACAGATGGTCAGAGCAGTTAAGGGTGAGACATACTTTCGTGAAAAGGAACACCGGTGAAAAGAATGCCCTGTGAGGGAAATGAATGTGGAAAGAATGCAGCCCTGTGTGGTCCGAAACGGTGGAAGGGCAGAGAATGGGAGCAGTGGAATGGGGAATGCGGAGCAGTGGAGCGGGGAATGAGGGCAGTGGAATGGGGAATGGGAGCTGTGGAGTGGGGAATGAGAGCAGTGGAATGGGGAAGGCAGTGGAGCGGGGAATGAGGGCAGTGGAGTGGGGAATGAGGGCAGTGGAGTGGGGAATGAGGGCAGTGGAGTGGGGAAGGCAGTGGAATGGAGAATGGGAGCTGTGGAGTGTGGAGTGGGAACCGTTGGAGTAGTAGGAGGGTGAGACGCGAGGCAGAGGAAGGAGAGAGCGATGCCTGTGTGGCCAGAGAGGGAGGAAGAGCGGGAAGGGCGGTGGGGGCGGGGGGGAGCTGGGGGGAAAGGGCGGAAAGGAGGGTGGAGGCCAAGAGGGGGAAGGGGGGACGGGTGAGGGCGAAGGGCGAAGAGCGAATCACACCTAATTGACGGGGCGAGGCGACGAATGATGGATGGACGGACGAAAAGTTCGGAAAGCTTCTTTTAATGGGTTCGCGTCGCCGGAACAAGCGGCGCTGAAACTGGATTTCCGAATTGGATTCGCCGCCTTCAATAAGATGCCAAAAGCAAAGCAATCCCCTCTGTTGATCGTTGCAAGACCGCGATTTGCGGACAGATTCCGAACGAGCTAACGGATTTGCGACTACCGAGAAAGCTTATACGGAGATACGAAACGGTACGACTACGTAGTGCGAAGAAGAGGCTGTAGAAGCAAACAAGGACGGGACACTAGAAGGTGCATGTGAGCCAGGGCCGTTCGTTTTGTGCCAGGACGCTTCTCATCGGACTGAGGGTACTGTACCATCTGACGTGTTACGATTCACGAATCTTAGGGTTGCTTTCAAAAGAGAGGGTTGCGCCACGACTTGTCGTCACTGATATGTGTTGCTAGAATCCGCGGTACCAGCGGTGCACACAACAGATAGCACCACGGAAAAAGCTGGAGAGAAACGAGTACAGAGATTCGTTATTAGCTGTGAGTCCCTTCGGCATACAACAATCTTTGGAGTCTCCAAGGCACAAAGAAGTGTCGTAAAATTCACAATCATTGATTTGTTGGCCTACCAAATTTAACGAAGTTGTATGCTCTGTGGCGATTCCTCGTCGACGTCGCTCGCACTACAGCATGTTTCGCAACGTGATGACGTTGGCACAAAATCCACACGTCATCCACTGTGGAGGATGCATTTTGCTGCCTTACACCTGATGCCCGTTTGAGTTCCCCGTACTTGGGCTGTGCTTTGGGCTCTTAAACGTTCTAGTAGTTTCGCCTGGTTCGTTTCATTTCGCCAGGGTGTTGAGGTGCTTCTAAAAAACACAGGTTGTAACGCGTTTGTTTTTTCCAAAACAAAGCTGGTGGGCCTGTGTTGTTGTCAGTCCAGGGTTTCGGGTTTATGCTTGTTTCTGACCAAGAAACAAGAACCTACCGGGTCAGCGTGGTTTGTTTTGCGCCTAAGATTCATACTTTGGCGTTTCCTCGCCCAAATGCAAGTTGATCCGCGTGCCTATAACCTGGGTGCAGCTGAGTGGGAAAAAAAACACGGGTGCAGAGTTTCTGAAATGTACAAGGCAAATTCGCGCGCAGTGGCTGGGCATCATGTGTACTGTGGTTGAATACATTCCGTCTGAATGTGCCCAGCATTCGAAGTTCAACATGAGTTGTGCACGGTTTCGTACGACGCAGAGCGTTGACATGCGCTTCAGTACGGTGAATGTTCACAGCCCAGCATATGAAGCATCCGAGTTCCCAAGACAAGCTAGCGTGTGGTTGTCATCTTCAACAGATGCGTCCTCCTTTCTCCGCATTTCCAGCCAGCTGTTTTCTGGGACAGGTGGAAAAGACCTTCCCTTCACCTCCCCCTCACGCACACCTTGCGCGAATCACGCTTCTACAGACTACTACTGTAGTACAACCTGTCGCCAACGGAGCTCTGGGAGGTTTGTGATTAGAAACCACCTGACTGCCACCTGAGGTTTTGCCTGATTGTCACCTGACCGCATACTCCTCCATCCAATCACAGACCTAAAATGGCGGCTCGGGTTCTTTCTCACCATACACCCTCTTTCTCGCCATTGTGAATTCGGTTATAGTGAAGTCAAGATGGGAAAAGCACGGTTAACGGTGGTTAGATTAAGTCTAGGTATGGTTCAATCAGACAAATCGAAGGTAACTAGGTTTTCCATCAGTTCAGCACAGTTCAGTGTAGTGAGAAACAGGGTGTATTAGCTGGCCATCGCTCATTGACCTGCCTTCGCGACCTGCTAGAATTCGCAGCTCCGCAGCAGACCCTCCTGATCGAACGTACCCTTCGCAACCTACATCTAGAGTCTCTCGCGCGCCATCGTTTCCCAACTCCAACACGCCCGACGAGACGATTTTTTAGGTGTCTCAAAAGTAGACTTTCGCGCGCCGTCGCGTCTAGCTACTACCTCTGAAACAGCTGACTTCGCCATAGAGCTGCGTTATCTCGGGCCTCCTCGCGACATAGTTAACGACATCAATAATCCGTGTCGCTCTCGGCTGCTGCCAGCCCGAGCCTGTTCATTTCCAATACACTGCGTAAAATTGCGTCATCCAGTTTGTTTCTCTCTGAATTTCGCGAAACTCGCGTGACTTTCGCTTCTCCTTCGCCGGCTCTATCTCGCCATGATGGCCGCGGCACGCGGCGCGCGTCCGCATAGGGTACCTCTCTCGCTGCTCGTCTATCTCTCCGTCGCGCTCGCGCTCTCTCACCGCGCCCTCGCTTTCACGTCCTCAGGTATGTCGATGCAATAGAGACGCCATACTAGCAGCGCAGCTTTTGTGGGTGTGCTCTCAACGGTTTGATGTCCTTCCCATCCGTGTATTTGAAAGTCCCCCTTCTTTCCTTCCTCCCCTTCTTTCTCTCCCGCTTCCCCCCCACCCAACCTTCTTCCGGTCCTCTTCCCCGTCTTCTCTCCCCCCCCCACCCTCCTCTCTCCCCGACCTCCTCACTCCCCCGCCTCCTCTCTCCCCCGCCGCCTCTCCCCCGCCTCCTTTCTCTCGCCTTCTCTCCCCCGCCTCCTCTCTCCCGCCACCTCCGCCACCTCTCTCTCGCCTTCTCTTCCCCGCCTCCTCGCGCCCGCCTCTCCCCCGCCTTCTCTCTCCACAGACGTACTCAACTACCGCGGGCTCGTCTGGCGCCTCCTGGACCAATGGCCGTCCTCGGCGCGTCCACGTCAGCAATCGCCTGACCTAACGGCGATATCGTCATCTTCCGCGTCTCTGTTCGCTTCGGGGAATGAGACGTGGGGGGAGACTTCCGAGACGTCTCAAGGTTCCGCGAATGCGACGTGGGATTCCTATGAACCATCTCAAGATGCGGCTCGTACAACATGGGCGACGCGGGACGGTTCGGAAATGACGATGGGGGAGTCAACCGGCGGCGAACACGCTACGACGTCGGATGCGGAGGGAGCGGCATCGGGCCGCGCCGAAGCCGCTGCTGTTGGGATGAGCCATGGGTGGAGGAAATGGAGGGGACACGTGGTGCGCGAGGAGAGGCCGTTGGGGCAGCGCAGGCAGATGGGTGAGTGCCGCAGAATTTGAGTTGTCGTATGTGAAAA